CTATATCCTTATCCTGACATCTCCCCGCGACACATATCGTGGTCAGTGCCGTAAATACGGTGCGTAACAACAAGAACAGAACAAATTAAACTCTTTACAATATACTCAGTATATTCCGTATATATTCAGTATATACTCAGTATATTCCGTATATACTCAGTATATTATACTAATGATATCATGTCCTGTGTGGGTTGTTTTTTTATGGCCACATGCGGATACATTTGCTGCCACTGCTGAATCGAGTGGTCGGTAATATTGTTACAGAAGCTGAGATCAATCATTTCCAGTTTAGGACAATTTATAAAAAATGCATAACATACCTCAGTTGTTAGGGATCGCAAGCCTAACAAGTCTAACTGTTTTAAATTTTTGCACAGCGTCAGTGCTCTCAAATCGTGTTCGGTCAGCTGTCTAAAATAAACCAAAAAGACCTTTTCCAGGTGTTCACAGGAGGATAACAACCTACGGAAGCTGTCACCATAACCGGTCGTACTGCCACGACTGTCACTGTAAACAACACAGCTATGTTTTATTACAACCCTCAATTGCAAACAGAAAAACAGCACAACTATTTTCAAGATACATACGAGAGAAACGTAGATTTTAATAAAAAATATAGTAATATGTATATTAAAAAACTGGGAGGACACATAGCTCTGTATGAGAGCTCTGTAGCAGACTCGCAGTTAGCGAATCTTAGATTCACAATTCGTGATCCCATAAATAGATTTCAAATTCATAATCTGCGTAAAATGACGAAATATGCATTTCCAAAAAAATGACACACGCACGTACCACCAACCAAAATCCACTTCCCGTAGATTCTTGCAGTCAGCGAGGGCATCGATACCCTGTGATGTAAGAGTGTGTGCCTGCCATAAATCTATACTTTCCAAATCTGGACACGAGTTTCTCAGTTCCATTGCAACTTCATCTACGTTCAGATACTCGTACGTGCCTCCTATATCTAAGTGACGCATCCGTCGGTTTTTTCGCAATATCTTGCAAAGAGTTTGAGTCTTTATCCGCGTCCTATAAAGATCTAAACGCTCCAGCGACTCAAGATTTTCAAGACATAAAAATCCTTGGTCCTTTATCGAGTCACAATTACGTAGACTCAATTCTAAAAAAAAAAAAATGTACGTACTAATTATATATAATCCATGTGTAATAATAATGAACATTTTTATGTAACATACCATTCAAATTTTTGCATACCGTCGAAATTTTAAGCATGGCAGAGTCATCAATACACGAACAGCAATCTAATCGTAAGTGCGTTAAGAGACTACCGCAAGTGTCAAGGAATTTTTCGAGATCCGAGACAGAAAAGCTGTCGCACCACGAAAGATCCAATCGTCGCAAATATTTGCATTTGAATGCCAAATAGTGCAACGCCTTTGTACTAATAATATGCCAATACGGTTTTAGATTCAAACTTTTATAGAGCAGAGGGTTTTGTACTAAATTATTGAAATATTTATTTACTCTGCCCATACGACACAACGACATCAAGTCTAAATTTCTTAATATTTTTGTTATTATTTCATGCTGAAAAGGTAAAATATAAAGTCTTAATAAATAGGTAAAATATAAAGTCTAAATAAATTACAATAAAGTCATTATGAAAAACAGATTTCTTAGAATACTTTACAGAAAGCACGGAAAAACTTTGTGTGCCATGTAATGACTTCTTGGATTCATTTAAAGAAACTCGATTGTGTGTAAATGCAATACTATTAGATCCCTTTTTAAATTGAGGCTTGCTCTTGTAAAGATTCAATACTTTGCCACTAGAAATGACATTGGTAAAAATTATGTTCATTATTAACAAAAAAAAAAGAATATTGTGTTTAATGTTGCTAATTATAATACCTTATATAGCACAACGTTTTGGCATATACATGTTTGGCACAAAACATTTTATGTTTTGGCATAATACAATGTTCATCGAAAGTTTCCCTAAGATGAACTATATCCATGTGTGCATCTTCATAATCCGGCGTTAAATTATGGATGTCCCAATGGCAAGGATACTTGCAGTTGATGGTTTTTAATAGATTAGTTATACTCCGTTTGTGGGATCGATCTTTAGGAAGAATCAAGTCTGTTGTTCCGATGAGCAGTACAGCATCTAGCTCTGTGTAATAGTCCAATAAGCTGTGGTTAAACTCTAGTCTGAGTGTTTTAGTTTTAAAATCACACGACCGTAAAGGTGGGGAAAATATCCGTGGTGTTGAAGGAACAATCTGAGGTGGTCCATTCCACAATAGAAACCAACGATTGTTAGGATCTTGAGCCCAAATTCGAACTACACTCCCGGGATTATATGTTTCGTATATAGAAACTCTAATTGGGTATACAGCTTCATGATACTCAACATCTTCAAAATGGAAAAAATAATTATAATCTCTCTTCTCAACAAAAGCGTATTCTTCTTTAATAATAGTCTCGTATTTGTCAAAATTCAAATATTACGTACTAATATAATCTTGACTCATAACCTCCGTATTATTTTGTGGCATATAATCGATTGATCTCGAAGGTGCTTTGTCCCACCATGGTCCATAAGTTCTCTATAATAAAAAGTAAGCCAGGAAAGTGCCAAAACTATAAGATCTTGTAGCATTAAATTAAATTGCTATTATTAAGATAATATGTGGATCTATGTGGAAATAATCGAATCGCAATCGATGGGTCCAAAATTCTATCCTAATAACCCTCATCTCATGTATCTATTATCACCCATTTCGGAAATCCATATTTCAAAAAAGTCAGAAAAGTTACGATTATTTTCTATAAGCTGATAACGAATAACGACAGAAAATATAATACATACCATGGCAAACGTCCGTCGATAATCTCGACCATACTCTGGAAACGTGCTATATGACCCAATTATGTTAACAGCGGCGTAAGATATGCTGTTACTGCCGCCGTACTGAGAACTAAAACTAAGAACATTCTTTACAAATTGTTCAACAAGGAAGTGGTCATCATCTTGTTTGCCTATTGGTTGGCTACGAAAACTAATATTTTTCATATGATAATTAAAATGTGAAGGAGAGGACATATTCCTTCTCTGAAAGAAGATAAAACATAGAAAATAATAATATGTGTGCTTTTTTAAATATATATACTAGATGCTAGATTTTAATAATTATAACTATCATACTATAAAAATTTATAGTACCGCTTCTTAAGTTAGGTGACAAAGAACTCCTTCTTTTGGAAGATCCCTCATTAAGATCTGTCATCAGATCTCCTAACTCTATACGGTCAATATCAAGTATGTGTAGCGATGCAGAAGTCAGTCAGTTCCATCAAAATTAAGTGTTTCTGTAACTGAAACGGTTACATCGTTTATATATACACATACGATGCCTATGGGTGAACTTAGGTGACAAAAACACAATCAACTTATAGAATACAAGATGCGATGAATTATCCAAACAATATGATAAACTTTGCTTAATATCTATAACACAGACTTATCTAGATAAATTATGCACGAGAAATAATGCGCACCTCTTTTAAAGAACAAGCGATTATTTCTTCTCGTTTCTTCTCACATCATTTGAAAAGAACAGCGTTATAAGAAGATAACACGTGTCAATAATGACAGAGTACGAATGTATACAATGTATATTTTCGGAAAAATGTTTCACAGGCCCCTTTTGCGTTTCATCTAACCACTGTGTCAAGTGTCAAGTGTCACTACTATTTACATGAAAGTGATCGGTCACGTGCGCGCGCGCGTGCGCGTGCGCGTGCGGGGGTAGACGCATGCGTCGGAAAATTCCGCGATCTGGGGGGTGATCTGTGGTTACTGCTACTTGCCTTGCGGCTTGCGGCATGCGGCATGCGGCCTGCGGCCTGAATGCCTGAAAACCTGGAACTGAGAGACCTGAGGTAACCTACAACCTACAGCTAGTGGCTCTGGTGGCTCGGCAGCTCCGTTTCGAAATATAAATTTTATTTCTCGTAAGAAAAATTGAGATTGCTGTCCGATAGTTAAAAAATCCGAGAAGAAAACATGGCCGTGGTGGTAGAAACCACCATAGGAGATTTCACGGTGGATCTCTACACCGAGGAGCGTCCTCAAAGTGAGTATCCTTTCACGATGATCAATTAAGGAACGTCTCCGCACAGTTATGCGCATCATTAAGTAATTCTGAATTAAGTATGATGTATTTTAAGCATTATAAAATTGCACATTTAACGTAAAAATAAAGAAGAATGACGTAATCCTACAATTTATGAATTTAAATATTTAAAACACCTACTGCACAACGCGTAATTTACATTATATCTCTGTATTTAGATCTGTTTTTTCAACTTTTTGCTTCCTTAACGCCTAGTTATATACCTATCTGTTCCATATTTTAAGTGCACAAAATAAACAGTGCGGCTATAAGGAACAGACCTCTCGTTTACATTTGCATGATGCACTACGTGATTACTTTTGTCTTTGCAGCCACACGGAATTTTCTAAAACTGTGCAAACTCAAGTACTACAACTGGAACCTCTTTCACTCGGTGCAGACCAACTTTATCGCACAGACCGGCGATCCCACTGGCACCGGGAAAGGCGGAGAGAGCGTGTACGGACGTGTACTGGGTGAAAAGGCTCGTTACTACGAGGCCGAGCAGATGCCGAAGATCAAACATAGCCGTATAGGTCTGCTGTCCATGGTGAATTGCGGGAACAACATGCTGGGCTCCCAGTTCTTCATCACGCTGGGATCAGAGCTGCAGTCCTTGGACAACCAACACTGTGTGTTCGGAGAGATCACAGAGGGATTGGAGGTGATTCTCAAGTTTAACGAAACCATCTGCGATGGAGATCAAAGACCGTATCAAGATATAAGGATATCTCACACCGTTATCTTGGAGGATCCGTTTGACGATCCTGTAGGATTCGTGATTCCCGACAGAAGCCCGGAACCTACGAAGGAAGCTCTAATGGTATGCCACATTTAGAAAATAATGTCACACGTTCGTTTCTTTACGCGTTGATAACGCCTGCTCCATGTATGTTTACATCTATGCATCTCTTTTCCTTTGATAAAAATAAGCTTGTAAACAAATATGTTTTTTTTCCGTGCCTTTTTATTATGCCTATTTATTTAATTTTGCTTATTATATAAATACAAGTTTGAACATATTTAAGATATCTTCACCATTTTTACACATCTTCTTTGTTTATTTTGTTTGTCCATATTTAGAGCGATAGAATTGGGGCAGATGAAGCAATCGACGATACTGGCGGTATGACCGCGGAAGAGATTATGGAAATACAGAAGAAAAAGGAAGCAAAAGCGAGAGCCACAATATTGGAGATTGTAGGAGATATACCGGATGCGGATATTGCCCCGCCGGAAAACGTGTTGTTTGTCTGCAAGTTAAATCCGGTCACGAACGACGACGATCTCGAAATTATCTTTAGTCGATTCGGGAAAATTGTTGGGTATGTAAACATTTATAATTTATAGTTTTCATTATGCTGATAATTATGCATTATATAATTCGTGTTTGATTAATTTCCTCATTTATTTTATTTCATATATATATATCAGTTTATTACGATATGTGTTACACGTTTATTAAATCTTATGATTCGTTGACTGTTGCAGCTGCGAAGTTATAAGAGATCACCAAACGGGCGACTCCTTGCAGTACGCGTTCATCGAATTCGCCGATCGCAAAAGCTGCGAGGACGCATACTTCAAGATGGACAACGTTCTGATCGACGACCGAAGAATACACGTGGACTTTTCGCAATCGGTCGCCAAGATGCGTTGGCGTGGCAAGGGAAAAGGTATCCGATATTTCGACGAGGAGGACAAGACGAAGAAACGCGATGAGAATTACTCCTCCTCAAAGAAACCTGAAGCATCGCGCGATAAGGATTATGACAAAATAGAGAATAAAAATAGAGAGGAAGGAAGAAGAAGGGAGAGCGATAAAGATCGCGTCTCCGAACACAGAAAGCACGAGCGCCGAAGAGAAGACAGAGATACTAGAGACAGGAGAAAAGAAGACAGATCGCATGATGATCATCATGAGAGAAATAAGTACGACAGCGAACGAAAAGATAGAAGAAGAAGAGAAGAACGACGGGATAGGAACAGTGATCAGAGAAGGGGCCACAGCGAAGAGAGGTCGGAAAGAAGAAGCAAGAAAGATGAAAACAACGACCGAAGAAGAGATCAGAGCGAAGAGAGATCGGAAAGAAGAGGTAGAAAGGACGAACACAGCGATCGAGAACGTCGGCATCGTGATAACGAGAGGAAAAGGCCCACGGAGGATGAGGATGATACGAGACACAGGGACAGGTCGCACAAGCATAAAAGAAAACGGTGAAAAAGAAAAGGAAGCAAGAGATGGAAGAACTGAAGATGCTTTGAGTGTAAAATATAGCTAAATGGAGGTTTACTGCCGATTTCCTTTCTATTGTGACATCAAAATGAATAAACGCACAGTTTACAAGAGGGGCTGTAATTCAAACGTTTCTTTTTTTTTTACATCGAGCAAAACTGCCGGCGTTCTTTCGAGTACAAAACATTGAGAAAAAGGTATTCGTTATTAATCGGTCTACAAGAGACGGGGCGTCAATCGACGCACGCACTTTCTTTCGCAGATCGATGGAAGCGATTTTCGCAAGGCCACGGGAAGCTCTACGGATTCTACAATTGCTAGGAGCGCGTACGGTAAAGCTATCGAAACCACAGACTTCATTCGACAAGTAGTGGTCTCGACAAAGAGTGACATCGATGATCACCGTAACAGGTATGATAAATGATCAGAACGGATTGTCGCGGAGCGAACGGTCGTATTAAAAATAGAGAGCGAAAACGATCAGGCGACGTTTTATGCCTGAGCACCGCCGCCCGATTTAAGAAGGAATATAATCTCTCACGAAAGTGCCCCGCGCACTTTCGAGTCCAAGTCCCGCTTTAGTTGGCGCATGCACGTGCGAGAATATTATAGGAACGATAGATAATAAATCATTTACGTGGACACGCAGATAATGAGCTACGCAGGCTCGCGCTCGCATTTCGCTTTCGCAGGATGCTCTTTTGTTTCTTTGGTGACGTCGCAATTTGGTATTCTTGCATATATATAGGAAGGCACATTGGTTTCTCGCGATATCCTCGTTTCGCTTGCCTGTCTCTCTCTGCCCTGTGGAAAGACATTGGCAAATTTTGCGCGATTAGATTAGAAAAAGAAAGAAAAATCGGAATACGGCGGAGGCGTGTGCCAATATTCCGTTTCATTGAATGCAAGATTATCTATTAGCATCATCACCTTCACACTCACAGCATCATGTAGCATATATGCGCGATTTTGTCTCACGATTCGTTCGTTGGGTTTTATATATCACTCTCGAGAAAGAAACCGCTTTTTTTTATTTAAGGACTTTTTTCGGCTATTCCAAACTACACGAGATACGTCTCGCAGTTACTTTATAACGCTTATTCCTTTTTTTTATAGAGAGCTCTAGCCTAATCGCGCGTTGTAACACTTCGCTACATCACAATCAGTCCGTATCCATATGTTACAAGTTCGAAAGAAAATTTAGCTTAATTGCGCCGCATTACATAAAACGCTTTATATATATAAATCGGGGAGAGGAAAACAGAACTATACATTAAGCGCGTACGCGTGCATATATTAGATAACTAATTCCAAAATATGTAACACAAATAAATACTCGGTGAATTATATTAGGAGACATTTATGATATACACTATACAGGATGATTCTGATTAAACATTCTATATTTCAGAGGGTGAATTTAAAATCGAAAACAAGAAAAGTATCATGTGAACACAGGTTATTTAAATTTTGTATTTTCCGAGCATTTTCCTTACTTTAGTGTAACTCGGAAATTTTTTACAAAGCCTCTAAACTATATCGTGTATGTGTGTCTGCATTACAATTACTTTTTTCGAATAACACTTAAAAATATTTATATTTATGTGATTGAATTTTGATTGAGAATACTGAAACACCTGTCCAACTTGTTCTGGAAAGAGAGATAAATTATAATGAAACGCAAGCACTTTAAACAGTTTCTTTACTGTTACTGTGGAAACTCTAGGAGACATAACACAATATTAGATAATATTAAAAGAATGATAGAGAAAACTTTGATTGAAGAAGAAGAATTTCAGAATAAAAATTGATGAAATATATCACAATCGAAAAATCAAGAATTTTCACCCTCTAAAATATTTGTTAAAAATCACCTTGTATAATATATATGCAAATATATATAATTTGCTCTGCGATATGTATACATATAATTTTTTTTAAATAAAATAATTTGCTCGGTGCACTCCTATACACGCGTAAATCAAGGAAATTGATTTAAGATATTAACATATTAATGAATAAATTACAAAAGCCGTTCATACCATGTTTGAAAGCCACGTCGAAGCTATTCAAATCTTAGACAAGAGATCTTATCATCTGACGATCTTGTAGAAGATCTTTTTCTTGCTTCATATCTCTCGATCGGAATACAGCAACGTACATATATTGTGGCAGAACACAGAGATGTAATAATATACAGATATATCGCAAGAGAAATAATATATATAAGTTTTACACTTTGGCGTTCTTCGTTTATCGCTTCGTTTTTTCTTCTAAGCGCGGGGAGACTACCTTAATCGTCACGCGCCCTGAAAAAATAGTAAACGTTAAAATAATAGCTAGGTAAATGAGATAATCCGATTTTCTATACCTACGCGATCTCCGGGAAGGATCGTTACATTACGATAAAGCTACGCGAAAAGAAGTATCGTCTTTATATCGAACAAGAAGGCGTGTGTGCGTGTCTCCGCGAGACGACGAAACCAACCGACGACCGAGAAAAGAGAGGAGAAACGCGCGAGGGTGAGAATGTATCGCCGAACGACCGACAAACGGAAGGAAGCGCATCGTCGCGGTATCATCCCGTTCGCGATTCGGTCTCTCCTTCTTTACAAGATCGAGCTTTCGGAGCTGAGGTATCGTAACGTGCTTCCATCGGAATAGAAAATTACCTTCGCGCCAGTTTCTCTTTTCGTTCGCGGAAAAGGGAAACGGAGACGCGCGTTTGCAACAAGAAATGGATCGCGCGCGAGGCGATCCGCGAGAAAGGCACTTCACCCAGGAGGAGCGAAGTATATCCTCCTGAAAGGCCGCCGTTACACGCGGGATGCGATCAGGGAAGACAATTCTTCTTTCCTATTCTATCGAGAGAGTTACTTTGGTAATGACTAGGTCATATACTACGTCGCTACGTTAGTTATAGGTCGTGGTGTTCGTTATGGCCTGGCGATTGGCTTTACTAAATAATGAATAGTAATCGTAATGGCGCGACGCGCCAGCTTAGGCTGCTTAGGCGCTTCCCCGTTATGGCCATCCTTCGCATCGTGTTGCTTACGTGCATCGCAAGCTCGTGGTTACGTTATAACGAGACTCGACGAGAAACGTCGACGATTGTGTCTCGCGAAAACTTGTACTTGACGCTCGGCACCAGACTCGCGCTAACGACTCCCGTGCCCGCGCACTTATAGTTGTTATACTCGAATCTCGAATCTCTTAGAAGCGTGAAACACGCTCAGACTCGAGAGGCCTAGTCGTCGAAACGTAGTAATCTCGAAATACGCGAAGCAGTTTGGTCACGGCGTCACGCCTTCATTTAAAAATCAAATAGTCTAATCGTTCTCTCTCGAGAATCGCGATTACGCGATATAAACTTGAGAAAGAATTCGTCAAGACCGCATTGTGCAAACCGAAATTTCAGTAATTTCGACCTAAACCGATCAACCGTTGGAAAAACGAATTCACCAGAGGCTAGAGTTCCAAGGACTGCGTCATTCTTCTTGTCTACGATTCCGTTGTTACAGCCGCGCTTCGATTTCTTGGACGTTAAAACCAATGAAAACCCCGAAACTGTCCGTGTTCATCCGGTCTTACGAAATTTTACTTCGTTGATCAAGAGTTTGCGATCAGTTACCCCAACAATTTTTCAAACGTATACAATACAGTGTGACAGTGATACAGAAATTAAAGGCGATCGATCCTAGCACATCGATATCGAAATTCAATCATTGTCTTTGGACGAGAATTCGGCCGAATTGTCAATGCTGCAGTTTATGAAGACGTTTCATTATAAAACCGTCGATTCGGGATACCGAAGTCGAGTATTCGACCGACGAGTCTCGAGAACCGTGTCACGCTCATTTCGAGATTGTACCAGTTCCCGACCGAGATCGGCCTCTCGAATCTACCGAGCGAGGTGTCGCGCATAAATACGGGCTACTCAAAATTGGATGCGGTAGTTGCTGGGACGCGGTATCGACCTCGCCTTGGTCGGCGGTAGGGAAGCCGTCGATGCCTCGCTACTAGCGGTTCCACCGGAATCGCGGCCGCTCTTGCTGCTGACGGTGCTGCCGGTGCTCTGTCCGCGGGAGGATCCGCTCGCTCCCGTCTGTTTCCTTAAGGTGTTACCGCCGCCTTTGAGGACAGCGGTTGCCGCCGCTATCGAGGATTCGCCGTCGCTCAGGCGGCCGTACTCGCCGAATCGGGCGCGGGACGACGGCGGCGGCGGGATGAACGAGCGGTTCTGCATCTCCCGATGCCTCACCGTCGACTCCAACGCGCAAGAGTTGCCGCCGAACGACTTCTTGCGACTGCTGATCGTGATCGTGTCGGATTGCAGCCTCTCGTACTCGTGACCGCTGCCGCCGCCGCCGCCGACCGACGATTTCTTCGGCGAGCTGTTCGCCATAAGACTCTCCACGGAAGTCTTCTTCTTGCTGCGCGACGTCTTCGCAATGACGGCGCCGGTGTCAAATCTACCATATTCGATGCTGCTACAATGACCGGAGGAATCGCGCGACATCTTCCCACCGCCACTCGCGCCGCTCGTCGCGGATGAGGCGTCCAGCATCCCCGGTCCGGGATCCGACTTCTTGCGCGTCTCCGTGTCGCTCAGGCGACAGTAGCGGGAGTTGGCGCTAGTCGCCTTGAGTGCCCTCGGCGGTCGGGGTAACGAGCTGGGCGGCAGGCTCCCAGCGCGACGTGGCTCGCCGCCCACCTCTGCTGCCATCCGCTGCCGCTGCGAGCTCCTCCCCTGCTTCTCGAGCAGCATCATGTCCTCGGTTGGCTTGCCGCCGCTGGCGCCGTCCGACAGTCGCGAGATAGTGCCCTTCAGCCTGGCCGCCGCGTTGGCGAACTCGATTATGCTCGACGACACCACGTCGACGCCGCTACCGGACGAGTCGTCCAGCAATCGACTCTTGCTCGAGGCGGTGCTCGAGGTACCTGTGCTATCTACACCCGCCAGTAGTGGCTTGGGTATTTTTCCTTTTCGCGACGCAGTGCCTGGATTAGAGAATCCTGGAAAACAGCAAAGTGCCCGCTGAAACAAGAAAGAGAGAACGCACGGGTTGCAGATAGGAGGCCGGGACCTGGAAAAGGGGTTAGTGCTCGCATAAAACGCTCGCACATGCACATTCAGGGATACGAACGGACGGACGGGAGAGAAGGTAAGGATTCTCAGGGGGAATTAGTGGAACAATTCGAGAAAAAAAAAGAAGAGAAAAAAGATTAATCTGTGTAAAACGTGAGATCTATTTTGGCTAATCTACTCGAGCACAATTTTGACAAACGGTTAATATACACATATTCGATAAAACCAAATAAATAAAAATAAAACAATATTTTACGGCACACACATGTGTATAAAAGCACCGAAAGTCATTCGGAGAATATTAAAAGTAACACATAGTTCTCTCGATATATAATATATAAAAAAAATATATAAAAATAAAGTAAAATCTTAAACTGTGTTAAGTCACACAATATTATGCGATTAACTTCAAAATAACTCCAACCAGAGAATAGCTAGAATGTAACGTTTCTCGTTTCGAATTTACCATTTAAGAGCGATTGAATATCTACTTGAGATTTCTCCTCCGTCCTACGTACCCGCGTACGTACACGCTAGCTATTCTCACAAGTTCTTAATTAAGAAAAAAAAAGAAAAAAAGAAAAAAGAAAACACGACTGAGCCTACGAAAGGTGCTCCAAGAGAGCCATACACAGCAACGCACGTATACCTTCGAACGTGTGACCTGTAATATTTGCATGATCAGCGGCGACTATTAAAAAGAGTTGCTAAAGAACTACGATCGTCCGTAAATTAATGTATCTACTCTATTGATGGAAAGAAAGAAAAAAACAGGTAAACATTAATGTGAACAAAATGTAAATGTCAATGTATCAGACGGCGCACGTACGTGGTTATAGTCTTATAGATAATATGTAACGCGAGAGCAACGGAGTAAAGTGAGACTCGAGAGCTTCTGAGAGTCGATCATACGCGGAACGCTACATTCTCATCTTATATTCTGCGTACCTTGCTAAGCAGCTGAGAGTCTAGCTCTTTCAGTTGATCGTCGAGACTCTTATTAGTCTGCTCAAAGCTGCCCTGCTTTCTATACTTATAACTGTCGGAAACGCCGTAAGAGCCGGTGCTGCCGTAGCCGCTGCCACCGCCGAGTACGCTGCTCACTTTTCGTGCGAAAAAAAGAAACGAGAGAAGGAAGGTATTACTATAAATGCTGTAACTTGTAAAAGATTATCGAAAAGCTTATCGAAGAATTATCGTGATCGAAATTGTGTCTCATCCGCCACGGTTTCTCATCTTTACCAAGTTCCGGCGTGCTTGTCAGCGCGGTGTGATGATCCGCCGAGGTACTCGAGTGAGACGAGTGCGCGGCAGGATAGCTACCCACGCCGCTGCTGCTACTGCTGTCGGCTTTGTCGTACGTGTGTTTCTGCAGCACCCTGATCATGGCATCTCTCTCGGCTAGCTTGGACTCCAAGTCCTTCATTCTATTAGAATCAGGAACATTGATTACATTAATGGATTGATTCGTGAGTATAGCAATCGCGATTTGTCGGACATATATTCGACTCTTACCTAGATTCGAGATCGGCCAATTTCTTTTGTGCGGCGTGCACCTCGTCCATGTGTCTCATCTTCTCCGAGCGAGCCTCGGCGATTAATTTCTCTGCATCCTGACTGGTCTTTTCCAGAGCGGCGATTTTCGCGTCTCTAATCACAGAGATAAACAAGCGTAAGAAAAAAGGACGAACGTGTTGGGGGGGGGGGGGGCGGACGAATGAGACTATACTGACTTTGGCAAGCTGGCAGCATCGATAGCCGCTTGCCTCAATGCGCTTTCCTCGAGGTAGCGTTGTTCCCACTTTACGACATCGCCCTCGAGCGACATGATCTTCTCGTCCCGTTCGCGTAATCGTCGTTTCAGATCCGCGATCGTCTCGCCGTTCGAATTCTGCTCATTGCCGTTTCCACCGCCGCCACCTCCGCCACCCTCGCGCAACTCCCTTTCCAGCTGACCTCTCAGTTGTCTCTCGGTCTCTTCTCGTCTATCGCTAGACGCTTGAAGCGAAGACAAGGCTCGCTGAAGCTGACCCACTCTCTCCACGTACACTTGCTTCTTTCGACACTTGACAAACGAAAATAATTCTAATTATATCCATTGTTGTGACCAATATAATTACTTATGAAAGCTGTCTCTTTCTTTTTTTTTTAAATTAAATTATATTTATCAAATTTATTAATAATAAATCAACTTACTTCTTCTTCCAGTCGTACAACATTGCCTTGCGCGTTCGTCAGCGCGGTATCCAGAATGTCGATGTGCGTACGTTGTTCTTGCAAAGTGGCCCGCTGCGCCGCCAGCTCAATCTCCTGTCTCTCCTTCGCAGCGGTCAACTCTTTGTCTAAAAATACACGAAAGAATAAAATCAGAGAGAAATCGTATTTTTGCGTGTGAATGCAACGAAACGAATCGTACTCTGAGTGATGAGCTGTCCGATGAGCAGCTCGCGTTGCGTTAGTTCCTTCCGCATTGTCTCGACGATCGGCGGACTGTCCGTACGTGCGGACAGCAGGTCGATCTGGTCTCTGTACGCGCGATTTAATTCGGTCAACCGACGGCATTCGTTTTGCAGTCTCATTCGGGCGGCACGCTCCAGTTTCTCCCGTCGCTCGCAAGACGCCGCAAGCTCCTCGTGGACACGATGCACCTTCGCTATCTCCTGCTCCAACTTCTGTGTCTTGGCAACCTTGCTATAGCAGTGATCCAATTCGAGCTTCAACGCGCTGTTCTCTTGGATTATTATCTGAATCATCTCCGACGACGGCCACAACTCGCCCATCTCCCTTTCCAACTCTTCCCGTCCCTTAGTCTGCGGTCTATGGAGATGCAGCTGTCAGCTAGATATCGCAGCGTTTGCACAAAGTATAAATATGTAGAAAGTAATCAATATTACGTTACCGGGGCGACGTTGTTCGAAGATTATAATTATCGATGTCCGCCTTGTTGATCCTGGATAGATCTGGCTGTGATCGCGATACAGTTAACTTCTCCGTTGGTCCGAAGAGCCTGTGTTTACTTTTAAACAGCGTGGGTATGTAGCACGGTGTCGATCTGCCTTCGTACTCGCTGTCGTTCTGCTTTCTCCTGTCGCCGTCTCTTATTCTCATCTCTCCCAATCTCATCTCTAGACTGCCACTGTTAGAATACGATGGCACTTTTACCTCTTTCGCTAGATGTTTCAAGACCTGCAAAGCGCATACGTAGACAAAACTTAAATTTGAAAAATAATACATTAACCATCAATTTAACATTAATATCACTTTATAACATATCATACATATGATGTATTTAACTCCTGAGACATATTATTTACGATGTTACTTTTAATAAATAATTCAACAAATAATTAATAATTCAACCAATTACGTGTTGTGCTAATTGTTCTGCTAGACCAACATACCTGAGACTGATTAAGATAATCATCCGGAATATCCGTGATTTCTTGGCAACCACCACCAGATTGTTCGTGGACGTAATCCTCGTGCGGCAGATTGGACAAGGACTGTATCGTGGGACTGTTGGAATGACCTTTTCCGTCGCAATACAAGTAGCCCACATCTCCATGTTCCCTCACTATGCCCGACAACCTGTTGACGCAGATAGGAGATGCAATCCAAAATAACCTTAGAAGTAATTAATCATAAACATGTGTGTTTACCTTCCAGATGGTATCCACGAGCTGTCGTCGTTAGCGTTATGTATAATTAACGTGTTGTAAGAACTCGTCGAGACATCTAGGCTGCTCCTGTTGGAACCACTGGTACGGTTGCTCAAGTTGTCCTTCAAGCTGTTCCGATTGGATCCATTGATGCTGTCCTTCAGACTGTTCCGGTTGGAGCCGTTCAAACTCTCCTTCAGACTGTTCCTGTTAGACCCGTTCAAGCTGTCTTTCAGACTGTTCCTATTATGTAGGTTGCCCTGTATCATGACAAACTTATTAACTTTAGATAATAATACTAAATTACAAAATAATGCATTCATGTAATTAGCTGCACCGTTTGGTATACTTTTACAGTTTTGAGCGAGTACATGTTTTCAATGTACCTGAATATTTGGTATATTTTCTTTGTGACTGGAAGATCTGGAGGGACTCTGTTGCTGATTTTCCTGACCTTGCGGTTCTTGCCGAGCCGTATGCCGTATGACATATCTCTCTTCGTTGCTCAGATTCTCATTGGATGTGGAAACGTCAGTCTCGCTACCGCTCAAACTTTGAGGTAGGCCCCCTGGAAAAGAATGTACCGAGTAGACACCTTGATGGACCTAAGATGGAAAGGCTATCGCGCGCATATAGATGTTACATTTCCAAAGCTGTACCTTGCATAGACAATTGTTTTCTTTGTAAATTGTTGTTTGAGAATGGCAGGAACCTGTTTCCTTGCTGTAGCGAACTCATTTTCGCAGGGTTCGGCTCATTTATGTGGATTATTGTATACCTCGTCTGAAAACAAAAGGGCAGGAGATCTAGAATCCATGGGCGAGGGACGAAAGACGGATACACGCTACACAGGAGGAAAACAGAGGGGTTCCGTACGCGCGAGTCGTGCAATCGGGATCTCTATTGAATTTTGTTCAGATGAAGGAAGCTGCACCCGTTCTCCGGGGACGGAGAATCGTGAATCGTATGAATAAACAATAGGACGCATCGTCGTCGTATCGTCATCGGGGTGTATCTGCCAAACCAGCACAAACCAGTGGCCGCGCAAGGAATCGTGCACGCTCGCGGAAATCGAAACGCGAACGCGCTGTCGAGCCAGCGCGCGGCACGTGACGGGAAACCCAGGTCCGAGCCTTTGCCTCGTCCCCGATTTACTCACTCGATGTGAAACTGCGGGAACGAAGCCGAGAGTCGTATCCGTGATTATTTTCGATAAATTAGTACACTCCACACTCCACTTGACCGTATAGGAGAAATAAAAAGAGCTCTGCTTGCCGCATTCCTCGTCAGATTGCGCTACCGACGACCGACCATCTATTTACTACAGTTTCTCAAGTAACAATTATTGGAATACTGTCCGCCATTTTTCACAAAATGATTATGGTGCGCCTGGGTGCGCCTTTCAAAAACATTCAAATCAGTTTCTGTATCTTTGCAGTTTATTAATAAAAAGATGAATTTAATTGAATAGTTTATATATATATATAAATATTATTATTGCAGTTATAATTAAATCTCTGTAAAATAAATATTAATAAAATATAAATTTCTAGTTAGCCTGAGTATCACATATATATGGAACAATATAAGGTTGACTTGAGGAATTCTAACGCTAAAAAGAAAGGACTTGAATCCTGATTACCACTACCAGTAAAAAACATTTGGCAGCACGCGAAAAAAGAAACTTTTGTTTTATTTTAGCGTATATAGCGCAAGAAAAAAAATTCATTTTTCAATGGATTTAATATGATAAGAGTGGTAACTACAAATTGAATACAAAAATAAATATGCGATTGAGATTTATTTAAAAGAATTCTGCTGGCTGAGGTAAATGGAAATATATACTATATTCGTCATTTATGAGCATGTAGCGGCGCTGTCATATTTGCTGTCATTGGTCAACGCTTGTAAAAGCGGGCCGTGTACTGGCACGTTCATTCGTCGATGCGTAGCGAGAAGTGATAAAGTGCATTGTCATCAATCGATGCACTCATTTGACACGTATGTATGATAATGTATGTATGTACATTTTAAAAGGACGGGTGCATCGACGAGGATTTCGAAAGACGCGCATTTCAACTCTCGCTACCCGTTATCCAAATTTCTTGGTAACTCTAAAGCCCGTATCACACTATGGATTGAGATTTATAAGATTAAATTGAAATTTAATTGGACCCAGTTGCATTTAACTGTCCCTTTAGAAAAAGACGAAGAATGTTAAGCTATATAAGGTTAAATATTATGCGACTTCGGTGCAACCGGGCCTTTTAATCAATCAGAATAAATAAAACTAATCCTAAAAGTTTAATGAATTTTGCTACGAGCTTAACTATTCTTCGCGATTCGCGATATCGCGGATAAGTCTCGAGAGATATACCGCAATATCTTCCAATTGTTTTACTACACCACTCGCGTTGCTCAAATTTGCGCTTAAATTTCTTTGGATTTTGAGTGTTTGAGCTGTCAAATATAGATAGATCGATATAATGTTGCTTAATTATTTCCTGATGATTAAGCGTAATAGCACTTTCGACGCTACGTATGTATGTATGTACATAGCTATAGCTGTCTGAATAGACCTTTATGCCTTTATGATGCAACCTTAAAGGGGCAACCGGCTTAATTCTTTTGGAGTTTCGGCTTTAACCTTGAACTGGCTTTAACAAATACAACGCGGGTTGTTTCTAGTGTCGAGACCTGTCAACTTATTTTTGTCGCTTTATTCGGCTTATTATTATTATTAACGATGTAGAGATGTAGGTATTTATATACTTTATACCAAACACGAGTGCAAGTCGTATGTCGTATCATGAACAATCGTGCATCACGGTGTTATCGCGTTTCTCAGCAACAAAAAAATTGACATTCATTATGTACACTAGATTTTCTCGCCGACTGTATCAAGCGTCGACGTCGTACGCATTGTCGAGTCGTTCTCGCGGAAACCCATACGTCTCGCCGTTGTCACCGAGGTCTCAACGATTTTTTGAAATTACGCTTAACCGTCCGAGTGCCGGCAATCGTGCGTATCTTCTGTTCTATTGTAGCAGGATTTGGAGATTTATATAGAAATTATAGTATCTATAAATATCCAGATTTCTATAAATTTCCTCGGAACTTTTTTTCGTTTTTATCTTTTATTTCTTTGTTGCTTTATTTACGTAGACGCACAGTGACTAAAGTTATTTATTATAATGTTATTAGTGTTAATTAATAGAATAGAATATAATATAATTAATGTTGTAGTATTTGAAATATCGATGTTTTGCTGAACAAAATAATACAAATTTCTTTTCAGTGATACGGACTTTATATTCTTCGAATATATTTTGTCGAGAAAAGGACAGTGCAGCCTTGTGCGAAAACGGAATGGCGCTCGAAGTCAATTATGAACAGTTATTGGAAGAACAAAAGGAGCCTAACACCCTGATTGTTGACATTAGAGAGCCTTCTGAGATAAGCGAGACTGGCGCATTACCAGGAAGCATCCATATACCAAGTATAGAAATCTTTTGTTGCATACATAAATTTTGGAAAATTTATAATTTTTTGAACGTTACGTAGTGACAATATTGTATAATGTATGATTATGTGAATAATATAATATATAGTAGCAAGTAATTAAATATATTATTTATTTCAGTGGGTGACGTTAGGAATGTATTCGAAAATTTTTCAGAGGAAGAGTTTCAGGAAAAATATGGCAAGCCTAAGCCAACTACAGACACAAAAATCATATTTAGCTGCCGGTCTGGCAAAAGAAGCATGTCTATGCAACAAACCATGCAGAAATTAGGATACACACAGTATATATCTTTTGAAATTATTAGTAGATTTCTATTATATAGAACGCTCTATATATTTATTCATTTGGCAGGGCACATCACTACCCTGGAGGCTGGTTGGAGTGGGAAGAAAAAAGTGCAGGAAGAAGAAAGTGAACAGAGTAACAGTGAAGCAAAAAAGTAGTTGAACATAAAAAAGAAACTACCATTACAATGTTATTAATAGAATGATTTCACCGTGGCACTGATTTTTAATAACGATATTAAGATGTTCTATTATGCAAATAATAAAAGCTAAAGTTTTATTTTGATGTAATGGATGGACATATTATTTTTCAATTGTCGTTACCCAAACTACTGCATGAAAATTGAGAAAATGGTTACTATATTTATTCAAGTATGTATATACATTAATATTTTTTATATATGAGTACATCACCTTCGCTTAATTTACAAAAGCTTAAAATTTATACAATATATACAGACACAAGAAGGTGTGTCAATATTAGTCACGATAAATTCGTCAATTCCCTTTCTCCTGCGCCATTTTCTTGTGGTTAATCATCTCTCTAAATTGTCCCAATATAAGATTTTCCCTCTTCTGTCGTTCTTCTTTGCTGAACATCGCCAAGGCACGCTTCTCGTCGGCAGAATAAATCTGGTTCTCCTTTCGAATACGAACTGCTTCCATGCGACGATGCCTTTAGAGAAAGATAAGACGTTTGTGAAATCTTGTCTTCCACAATATGGAATATATGGAATACATAGAGATATAAGAATTTTCTACATGTTTGATAATAAGTTACCTGCTACCACTCATGACGTAACCGACAGATTCGTACGACGCGATCTCCTCCGACGTGAGACCAATCTCGCCTCTCCTGGGTATGCGCTTCCCTTCGGCGACGTAAGCCGCCATTGCCGCGCCTTCACCCGGTAGCAGCGCCTTGCCGAAATCCTTGGCCGAGAGAGTCACGTGGGGTTTCGGGGCGGGTCCAACCATCCCGTCGTCTCCGCTGTCGTCCGAACTCGAGTCTTTCTTTGGTTTCGGCTTATCAGTGACCATGGTTTTCTCCACCCAGACTACCTCATCGCTGCTGTTGTTGCTGCCGCTATCGTCAGAACTACTACTGTCGATTTCTTTTTTTGCTTTCTTCTTCTTCCTCTTTTCTCTCTTTGCTTCTTTCTTCGCCTTTTTCTCCTTCTTTCTCTCCTTCTTCGCTTTCTTTTCCTTCTTCAATTTCTTGCTCTTCTACATGTTCAATTTTATTATAACACTTGTCCATATATACTACATACACATGAATGAATATCATGTTTGATTAAATATTGATCATGATTAATCTGGTACCTTTTTTTTAGTATCGTGCCTCTTTCTTTTGCGATCCTTTGGTGAAGCGTTATCCTTGTGTTTACTCAGATCTTCATCCTCCTCGTCTGAGCTGCTGCAAATGAAAAAACAAACCAAGACTTGAACGCTATGCCACTTGTACTATTTTGAAGACTGATGGAAATCTGTTGAACGGAATTCAAGTACATTTAAATACAAACTGCTAATAGATTATACATCGTATAACAAAATTTTACTCGTGTAGAACGTATAACTTGTGCAAAAGTCACAGATCTCAAGTTGATAAGTTAGTTCATATAACAAGACTAATCCTAACCTCACAGGCCACAGGCTATAGATAATTGTTTACAGAGTTAAATTCTTTCTCGACGATCTGCTGAATGTGTGTGTGTGGCAGCAATTAAAGAGCCAGATACGTCGTCAAAGATTATTTAAGTCTATTTAATGGAGATGTCTACGTACTATTCAATTTGCGTCGGGGATCTGGTCCAAGCTTCAGGAACTCCGCGTAAGCCTATCAGCTCTCTCTCGCGCCTTCGCGCGTCCATCATCTTCTCGTTCATCATCTCTTCGCGTATCTTCTATCTTCCTTTCCTCTTTTATGAATATTTGCTGTCGTTAAGACGTGTCAAGTGTTAAGACGCGGCGTTACGGCGTCACTCTTTGCTTCGCGACAGGTGCGACAAAATTATACATTACGATTACGTATTCAATAAATTCGATTTATTGTTGCTGGACACGTTCTTCTTTTTTTATCCGATGTATCTGACCGGCGGATAAAAACCCAGCGGTATTCCTGTACCTTCCTATCCGTCCTCGCGAGCGACACGTCCGTTGTTGATGGTTGTTGACCGTTGACTATTGTTGACGACGAGAGGTTAGGTAAGTTAGGTTAGGTTAGAAAAGAAGGTTCGCACCCAAATAGATTAATTACTACACCAATAAAATTGCACAGAATCGCTCCGTTTCTCTCTTTCCCCTTTTTTAATGAACGTCCGTCTCTTTGGGACCCCATGAGAAACAAGGTACTTTTATCCTCCTTATTCTTTTATGTCTTGTAAGCTTTTCTCTCTTCTATACATTCAATTCCGAAGATTCGCAGTGTTCGCACGATAACCTTGGATAACCACGAAAGAATTTTTGAAAACTCACTCGCGAGACAGAAAAATCATATCGAAAGATGTGCTTCGAACTTCACTACACAAATTGAAGTGAAACGAAACACAGTGCGGTACTAACTGCGGTAGAGGGGTAGAAGGTAAACGGTAAACGCTGCTCGTAAATGGTACTCGTGCTCGATATGATGTTTCCTACAAGACAAAAGTTGTCGCTTTTATTGAAATTGGCGTGTATACACGAGTGGCACAGTGCTTTGCATAATACCGCAGCACTCTGCGATTTTCGAATAACGAGCGAGTTTGAGTGACTTTACGCTTCGAGACGTTATTTCCAGTTTTCTACTAATGATCTCTCTACTGGTCAGTGGTCCGGTGCATAGACTTCTCTCTTCTTTCTTTCTCTCTGTCGCCTACCTTAATTATACATATGCATATGCATATATTGTGTACATACGTAGAGAAACTAGAAAGTCCGTATCATAACGAATTCGGCAGGCATGGTAGCGGCAGTAAGTCTTCTCTTTCTGCTCTTTGTAGCTGCGCTAGGTATATTATATTTTCTGCATTTAAAATGAAATACATATGTAATACAATACTGAATACTTAACACATAATCGTTACGTTAAGAATAGAAAGTACAAAAGATTCAACTATATAAGGAATGAACTTGACGTTCTATCTCTTGTGTAGCTGCGCTACGGATATACCTTTTGCATTTAAAGAAGTGAAATATATAGGCACCGCGATTGTATGTTATTGAAGAGAAAGAAAAAGAGGGAGTTAAGAGATGAGAAGTATTAAAAGTTCAGCTACAAAGAACGAAATATCTATTCTGACGCTAATGAATACCGCTGTACATGAAGAGATCACGTAAAGGCGCAATATGAGCACTTGCCCGGTAAAATATCCAATATATATTCCGCTAAAAATACAACATTGTCTATTTCATCGGTAAATATGTTTACATTATGTCTTTACCATTAAACAGCTACATGTACAGTAGTTTTTGGCGTGCCCAAGTTCTACCGTGCTGGGTGATACGGGTGATCGAATTTGCAGTCAGCATGGCATCGGGCGATGCGAGATGCGACCTAGAGATTAGAATTTTATCAATCGGATATCTAAATATCTTTCATCTTAGTCCGCTCTGTCCTGATTCATCGAGCTACAATCTCTAGTCCTCTTGATCTTTTAAATGCGCATTCCACGTGGTCCGACGAGAGGCACCCCGGGAAAACTTATTTTTTCAACAGGGCAGTTCAGGGAGACTTGGACTAAACTTCGATTAACTTAATTAACGATTAATTTATCGAGCGATATCTTGTGTTACTTTGTTGGTAGAATTATTAATTTTTTTCTTGTTCGGTATATAAAAAAAAAAGAGATTAGGGACGACGAATTATGTAGTCAGAAATTTATGCTTTAAGCAATTCTCTGCCGGTTGAATTAATCGCCGATCAAATTAATCGGAGCCGCCCTAAGACCAGTCCGGGCCGTCCCGTATGTACGCACTACGCACATTTAACGTTACGCTCCATTATGTGTATCGCTATGTATACATAGTATAAAATTAACATTATAGGAGATATTCAGAATCTCTTGGCAAGCTTCCACAACATCGGAGTTGTCGAGGCGAAAACGCGCGATTCCTGCGATGAACGACTGAGTGGATAATGTGTAAAAAGTAACAGCAAACGTAGGCGACGCGACGCGGAGAACGTTTCCTTCGACGGAAATCTGCTCTGAAAGCTTGCCAGTAAAGCTTTGAAACACCCTTTGTAAAATATATACATGTATACGCATATCGGAGATTATATGTACAAGGTTCTTCAAGAAACTACTTGAGAAAAAGTCGGAGCAAAAGTCGGAATTGGGCGAGCTGATCATCGAGCCAGAGATCATTTTCTCCCGAAAGAGAGATATCGTAATAATATTTTGTTATTCCAGAATACTGGCAGAGCAAAGAGTATCATGTGAGCCGTTCTCTCACCGCTTTAGAATATTGCTTCTGAATATAACATTGCGGTGCGCGAATGCGACTTCAGACTTTCCTCCTGTGTGTGCCATTTCTTCCTTTCTTACAGTCTATATTGTTATACAAACATCGCTCGCGTATCGCGTATATATATTAAATAAATAAATAAATATTCATCTAGAGATCGTAAATCAATTTGAATGCCGAATAACAATCGGTAACATTAATATAGTTTGTAATAATATGTAAAAATAATGTATATATATTTTTATAGGAATATGTAAAAATGCCTACGTATATTTTAGAAGATACGGAGGTGAAATGAACTTTACATACACGATATAGCTGGGGCTTGAATCAAAAGACGCAAAGATTTTAATGCAATTTCCATCGACATCCGAACAATCCCACGTGCGAAAAAGGCAGTATATTTGTTTAAGTTCCGCCACGAGACCGCGGGTTCTCGCATATGGCGGAGCGTCCTCACTCTATACATATACTATATTCTACGAACCCTGACCTGTTATCATCTCTCTTTATCGCTAACTACACACTTTATACTTCAACATCATTCAATTAATCTCATTATCGATATAATTCTGAAATATATGATCTTATTCATAAAACGTACTTTTGTTCTCGGCTCTAATCTATTATATATGTATTATGTATATCTATCTTTTGTTAGAATAACCCACGAGAGAGCGACTCATCCTCTGTCTCTCTCTCCCTTTCTCTCTTCTAGTCTCTAAAATAATTATCACTATATGTCAGAACACGCGAATTAGGATATCTTCAGGTAATAATAGCGTTTGAAAGGTAGACTTCGCCCGAGTGCCGCATAGCTTCACGGGATTTACTTTCCGTCCGTCGAGACACGCTTAAAACTACACCTAAATCGAGAGATTCGCACACACGCATCACGCGCATGCATATGCATTTTATGTGTGTGTATAATGTGTTAAATGTGTATATATGTGTGTGTGTGTGTACATAGAGGTAACACAGCGCGTAATTGTAATGAAATATATATGTATATAGAGGACTATCACAAATAAGTACATCACTAATATATCTCGCGAACAGAAGACATTCGATGGATAGATCCTTTTCAACTCGACTCGACTCGACGCGAGTCGACGCAGGCAGACACGAGGATGAACACGACCGAACGAGGTCATGTTCTCGGTGGAGGAAAACGAATGAAGGAAGAAAGAAGCGCGTGGCGGAGTTCTGAGGAATCTCATCACCCGTTGCGCGATTATATATATGTATATGGCACCACGGGGGAGGATTTGTCGAGTAGAGTTAGTCATTGGACGGTGAAGCACAGAATTAGCGTCGCTAGACAGTCGTTTCCCGGTCCACGTGAATGTACTCCACGAAACCGGGCGGCTGTTGTCAGGATGCCGCTCCGAGAAGCGTCTCCTCGGTCGGTGCACGTCGCGGCTTCTTGCTTTTCTTCGCCCCCTGGTAGTGAAGTCTCTTTGTGCGAGCTTTGGATCTAGAAGAGATGAGTAATAAGATGAGATAAAGAGAGTGTTCTACCAAGTTGACGTATAAATACATTATATTTTTTTAAATTGTATTCATCTTACAATTAGATTAAAAGCTGAATGCTCTCATATTTCCAACGTTACATAAAATACGTATAAGAGATAAAATATAGATATAAGTATGTAATAATTTTGGTTTTTAAAATCTAAGGATTTGGAAAAACGCGATAACGATGGAAAGCTTAATAAGTCTAGCAGCAAACGCTATGTATAATAATAACTTTACCGTTCTACGTTGATAATGACAACTAATGTGAATAAAGGTGATGATTAACATTGATTTTTTTTATTGTGTTGTCAGTTACTTCAAGTTACCTGCTAATAAGAATAGTGAATAGGCACGCGAAGGCAGTGACAATTCCAGCGACGCCGGCGACGACGAGCCATGTGATGGGCGGGAGCAGTCCGAGTAGCCGCGCGCCGTTCCCGCAATTGGCCTCGTCGTGACCGGATGGGCAGTGCGCGTGACCGTCGCACCAGAGACTGGCGGCGATGCACGCACCCAGCTCGGGGCACTTGTGCGGGCAATCGCCGATGTACGACGGCACGCCGTTTGTCTCGTTCTCTATCATTGCGCCCGGGATTCTCTCCGGAAGACGCAGCTGCCGGCGCAGCGCCGCGCGACTCTTGGAGATCTCCAGCCAGGAGGCAGCTGCCTGGCCGGATTCCCGTGCCACGAAGTCCAGCAATAATGCGGGCGGTCTCGGCGGACCCGGCCACTTGCCCTCTTCCGTCGGGCCTAGCCATTCCTGTGAGAACACGTGCACGGTGAACTCGCGTGCACCCGGTTCCGCCGGGCACACTATCTTCAACAACTTCGGCGGCCAGCCAGAATAGAGGAGGATGCGATTGGTGGTCGGGCACTTGATCTGATCGCCGCTTGTACCACCAGATGTCTCGGGACCGGTGAGCGGCGGCGGTTCCAATGGCAGAAACCAGCCCCAGGTCAGGACGAAGAGCGAGCGGTTCTCGCGCGCCTCCACCAGCCAAGGAAGACCTTCGCAATAAATGTCCGGTCTCGACAGCGGGGGATTGACGAATCTCAGCTCGCCACCTTCGCCACGGATCCTCTGCTTTCTCGGGCACTCTGGCACACGAATGAGCTCGAAGCTGGCGTAGAAGAAGAGCGTCTCGAAGTCTTCGTGGGGCGCTTGCTGGTCCACTAAAAATGTTATCTCCAGCGCACGGCCGGAGGTGATGTATGTCAGCGGCAAATGTGACGTGTTGTCGCACAGACACGCCCGGGGTAGCTTCACGTCTCGCCATGGCGCCTCGTAAATGACCAGACGCGCCTCCCTGGACCCCACCTCCTGAACGCAGCGCGGTTTACCGGTGTGTGGATCTGAATCGCTCGTGCACATGGTGGACTCGCCGAGACTGACGTTATGCAACGTCAAACGGACTCGTTCCCCACTACCAGCTTCCACGCGATATCTGCACAGATCGGGCATGGTATCGAGATACATATATATTTATGGATTTCTCAATCCAACAAACCCAGTATCCACAAGTAAGGCAAAAAGATATTACAACGCTGAAATTTTGGACTTGCGTTTGCTTACAAGTCTTTCTTTGTTTTTCTAACGACTAAATCGATCGTTACTTGCGAGAAATTTGATTCCGTCTCTACACTCTCTACCTGCAATCCAGCTTGGTGGCACCACCTCGCCCGAATAGACGTACGTCGCGCGGTGACATCACTTCGCCAGTGTGCACCTTACGCCATACTCGGCTGCAGATACCATCGCCCCAGGGTTCGCCGGTCTGAACAGTGGAGATGAACTCGTATCGCGCCTGGAACGAGAACGGAAACTAATTGTAAGTAAATAATTTTATTTAAATTTGGGCCAAGGAAAGCTCTCTTTTCTCTTACAAAGAAAAATACAATATATACAATTGAATTGAATCACCAAAGCAAATGGGAAAATTTTGGGTGGTCAAGATATAGATGCAACATCCCGTATACTCACGTGGAAGTTAATCGGATGGAGAGCGGTACCCAGAACAGTTTCCATACTCAGGGTCAGGCTCGGCGCGGTCGTCAGGTAACTCTCATCTTTGGTACACGGCCTCGTGCTCCTGGTGACATTACGAAGAGCCGCATGGGCGCACAGCTTGGGCGTGTCGTCGCACAGCGTGGCCATTGGCTGGCCCGTATTTTGCGCGCCGTCCCAGAAGACGAGTTTAACCGCGCATACCGACGCCGCGGAGATATCTGGCGTCACTTGACCGGCGCTTGCGTTGTTCTCGCCGTTGCCGGTGAGATCGCGTTGCGAATATGACGAGAAGTATATCCATACGCGGTCGCCGGTTGCGCCCTTGATGTTCCACGTGCAGCTAGAACCGGGTGGTAGCGCGTGTAAAGGTGCGCGTATCGTGCCACTCCGCTTGCCGCCGACGCCGGTGCCATTCACGAAAAAGTTGCAGCCGTGCGGGCCTTTGGCATAATCCAACCCGTCCGAGTCGACGTAGATAACGCGTAACTCAAGCTCCAGTCGCAGCGACGACGCGCCCAGCGGTATCGCGACTGGCGAGCTGCGGAATTCCACCTGCATGGCGGGTCCGCGCGCGGTCACCTGCGGTAGCGGGCCACCGCAGTATACCAGGAGAACCGGGTCCTCCGTTCGCGCCCCGTCGCGGAAGATCAAACGGTCCCTCTCGGGGGAACAGTCCTGCCAGACGCTGAGGCTCGTGTTGACGGTAGCGCTGAGACCGACCGGACCGGCAAGCGTGCTCTTGACGGATATCATGGCGTGCTTGCACGTAGGTACCTCTTTCTGGCGCACGGTGATCAGGCAGCTTGCGTTTCGCGGATACTCGCCCGGATAGTTTGGACTCTGCAACCGGCACTGCTTCAGGTGACATTCGTAAAAGTTGCGGGAGCAGTAGGTGCCCGGCACCGGGGAGCCCCGCTCGATTGGCAGTTCCGGTTTGCCCAGTCGGGCGACCGCCTCGTTGCGCGAGACAAAGCGGTAACGGAGACGAAACTCGAACGGCACCGCGGATGGTGCATGGAACAGCCGTATAGAGGCAGTGACCGTACTGGTTTCGCTGCATTAATAATAAATCATTATTAATGATAATTACTACTTATTAATCATGATAATAAGAGAAGCCCTTACAATTCGCAGAACTGAATTTAGCCAGGGAAAAGGTGAAGATTCGCGCAATTGCGGGTGTAAACGACGTGCACTTATTATAAGAATGAGCTCGGGAGAGAGAGAGTACCTGTAGTAGGACGCGCGACCCTCGCTGACCCCACACCACGAGCCGCCGGTGAAGTGCCTACCGAGCTCGGCGAGCTGAAGTGAGCCCTCGGGGCAGCTGGTGAAGTAGTTGTCGGCATTCGCGTCGACGCGGCCGACGCTGAACGCGTCCCACAGCAGTTGGACCAGCTCGCCGTAACCCTGACCGGCGGCGGTAAACGTCAAGTGGCAGAGGAACGGCAGACGTTCCTCAGCGGGCCTCGGCAGGTCCAGCTTGTACGTGTGCCCTTCGCGACCGTGGTACGTGCGATTGCACGGCGTGCACAACGTCGGCTCGTCGCTGCCATCGCCGCAATCATCTTCACCGTTGCAGTAAGCGTCGATCGGCACGCAGCGGCCGTCCCGACACGTCAACTCGGCCAACCCGCAAGTGCCATCACCAACGCCACTGCCGATGATGCTGACACTGCCACTGCTACTGATACTGCTACTGCTACTACCCCCGCCTCCGCTTCCGCCCCCGGCGGCCGTGCCGCTCCCGACGCCGCCGCCGTTCGACGCGTCAGAGATCAGCAGCAGCAGCAGCAACAACAACAGTGAGACGATACCGATACGATGCGGTGATTGAAAATACTGTTGTCTGTTATTGTTGTCGGATCCTCCTCCGGCATCAGCTATCTCCTGCTCAGCGAAAAACCAATTTGTGATATATACATCTTTGAAGGGGTTTATCTATTTTATTTATGTTTGATATTTGTAATGATTATCGCGGAATTTCAAGAACCGTTCAATCGTGATTTTAGCAACTTCTTCTAACAATTCTTAACGATATATAACACGACAATATGCGAGTATCCTATTCCGCGGACCACGGGCTAATCGTATTAGTGTCAGCCCACGTCTCAAGCGGGCTCGGAGATTTAAATCGATCGGTCAGAGTCAGAGGTAAAATGTGCATCGCGACCGCGCCGCATCGTAAACACCTGTTTCGACGAGTGTTTTAAACATTCGCGCACGATCGCGCCAATTCAATTCTACTCAGCGTTTTATTCGTCATAAATGTCATATACAATTACTGACATACGATCTAATCAACAGCAGGACGAGCCAAATTTGATTTACCATAATAGTTCGCCAGCGAAACGAGCATATCACAGGGACAATTCCGACGTTGCGATTCGGATGTTGGCTTTGGACAATGATGACAGCATGACTGATGGCTCGAGACGACGAGACGAACGGGAATAACGGGAAAGAGAAGAGGACTAAAGTTACGAATCGCGATCGGCAGTGATCGTTGGTACCAACAACGACATCCCCGACGGCTCGACAGTGAACGACGACGACCACGGGTCAGCCTCCCGGAGAAGAGAGTGCGACGACGGGGACCCCGCCTACGCGCCACCGCTACCGCCGTGAGCCGTCGTCGTTGATGTTGCACTCACGAGGAGTGCCGCCACCCGCTACTCGCCGTGCACGCCCCGGAGGTCGATGCGCAACTGCACGCTACCATGTACCGATGTACCTTCCCCAGAGGGAAGCCAGCCGCGTCGCGCGCCGCCCGCGCCGCTGCAGGCCATGTATACTGGGGCAGGGGTGAACAGAACGGGGGCTCGGGGGCTGAGCTCTCCGTCCGTGCTCGCGCGGAGAGAGCCTGGTGCCTTGCCTGCCTGGCCACTAGGCGCCTCAATGCATCGATCGGCCTCTCGCTCTCTCCTCATCCCCATCCTCATCGCCATCCCCGTCCTCTCCCTCTCGTTTTCCCCGTCTCTGTCCATAACGCCCTAAACCCCGAAGTCGACGGCGCCGACGGCCGAAACGCCAGGAAAGAGGAAGAGGAAGGAAACTGCTGCGCCGGATCTACGCGGCTCCCTGTGGATCTATCAATTGGGACCGCACGATTGTAAAATTAATACGATCCGACGAGGAGCTAGCTGCTCCTCGCGCTGGTAAAAGATAAAACAGGACCTCTCGATACTTGAAAAATGTAGATTTATGGGTGAATGTATCCGCGAGAGTTACGGGACGACGCGACTCGCTGTCCACAAATTGTGATTTCGCTGGCAGCATTTCCTCGGATTTCACTTATCGGAATTTTTGTGCCCTAGTAACCGCCCTCCGGGTTCAGTTAAGCGTCATTGATCGTGTCTCAAGGAAAATATGCTATTCCCGCTTCCGATCGAATCCATAATGATATATGATGTAACAAACTGAATTTACATAAATACCCCTTATCAGGAGTCTCGAATCGCGTCCCCCCGCCCCCGATTGTTTGGAATGGGTAACCGATCTTCGAGCGGAAATGGAAAACATTAGTATTTATTTTCAGCACACACAGATGAATATGTATATTTTATATACGTATATAATCTTTTACACGCATATACATATACTGACAGGTGTCAAGTGTATATAGAGAGAAACGTTATAACATATCTAATTGGAATAATATAGATTTTTTTCAAGCGTACGTTTTATAGTAATAATTATTTATATCCTTTTAATTGAAACTTTTATCGAAAGGTGGATATACTAAAACTAAAGATTTTTATATAAATTTTTCAGAGTGCATTGGTATCACGATGACGACAATTGATTTTTATTGCAGAGATGTTAACATGGAAATTTATCTACAGTCTACATATACATATATGTATGTATGTACTTACACGGGTAGGTGGATTTCGCCGCTGCCGTCTCTCTTTTCACCCTGCTGTCCACGAGATCGTCAACTGTCGAGACTCTTGACGTCGGTATATAGAGCGTTCCACTTATTGTTAGCTTGGTTCTCTCGGTATCTTCCGTGAAATTATTTTGTTCAAAGAGACGGATATTATGATTGTCAAAATTATCTTGAATCGATCATCCATATGAGCTTTTAAACAGAGAACAATACGCCGTGTTATATTGATTGGTGCAAAGGGGGGCAGTTATTCTATGTCTCTCTTTCACTCTCTTTCTTTGTCTGTCTCTCTGTCTCGTTTCTCTCTCTCTCTCTCTCTCTCTTTCTCATTGTTTCTCTATCAAATTCTATGTTAAGTTTAAAAATCCAAATTTATTTTTGAATGGAAAGAAAAATCGAAGAGCTTGGCGCTTTCTAGTCTAGATGAAAAAAAAAATGGCGATAATTTCGCTTCGTTTTTTGTCTTTTTTCGTTTTCGCAGCTTGACAGTCGAAAGCAAAGAAGAAACATTATGCATGTAAAAGTTATACATTACACAATCTTGACCTTCCTATTATATAATATAATTTTTTCCTCGTACATTTCCCCGCGATGACACACATAGAGGAAGCGGATATAACTTGAAATGAGCTCGAGATAGGTGGAACATCCTGTATAAACGCGGTATGGTATAGAGTGCACGGGGTGCACCGCAATCCGCAACCATCCCCCCGACTGGCCGACTCTCGAGGTCTCCCCGATGTTCTCGAGCTTCTCGGAGCTCGGAGCTCGGAGCCTGCGGAGAGACGCGTACACCCGTATCGCCGAGACGAAGCGTGTCGAGGACGTCGTCGTTATCGCCGCTCGACAACGTTTCGTTGCTCCTAATACATATACATGACATATGTGCGGCCACCGGGGCGTGCATCGCGCCGGCACAGCCTCCTCGCTCGCGCCTCATCCCGAGTCCTGACGAGGCGACGGAGATATCGAACTCGGATATCGCACACCCTTTTCTGCACATCTCTTTCTCTGTTTTCCTCTTCTTCTATCTTTCTCTCTCTCTCCCTTTCTGAAGAGACCGTTGATAACACTCTTTTATCGCGTTATCTGCAGCATCAACGGTACTCGAGCGGTCGCCACTCGGCGTTCCTTTTCTTCCTCCAAGCGGTTATCGATCTCGCGCGTCGCGCTCATTATCATCTCCGCTTATTACAAAGCGGTTCATCGTCCGCGCGATGCACGTCGCCGCACGTGCCAATTAAGAATATCTAATTCCCGCGAAACGCGGTCACGGGGTAAATCCGATAGCGGCGTGAACGCGCGAGGGTGCGGTAAACAGCCGCGTACCTATAATTAGACGGGGATATCTCGCGTGTCGAGGCAGCGAGCTAATCCACTTTTGCACGGAAGAAAATCCGGGAGCGTGACGCGAAAAATTGTGCCGGAATTACGCATATATGTTATTACTGTTATTGTACACATAATATATTTATTTCGCGTTAGTATCGATATTGACGATATTATTTGTCATGTTTCTCCCGAGCGACAAATACATTTTATATTTGTACAAAGTTATCCAGATAGCAAAACGTGAGTGTGCAAAACATTATGCAAACCGTGTTGCTGAAAACAATTCTTGTATTTTGTTATTGCCACAAACATTGCGTAAACATGAATTATAGTTCGGTCTAGGATTCATACTTATAGTACTTTTACGGCAAAGATATGTAAATTGCAATGTGTAAATTGTTACCATCAATATAATATGTAAACTGTACATAACGCATGAATTTATGCGTGTATCGTACCGAAGCGTGTATGCATTTCCCGCATATGCTCCCGATAAATACTTGTTTCGTACTGTATTAGGGCAATGATCCAGGGTGATCCAGGTTGTGAATCAAGTTGAAATGAGTTACGATTTCAAGTTTGTAGGGCTAGCTTCTTGAAACTAGATAAACATGCAATGTGCGAAAGATAAAAGAAATATTTTAATGGGCGCAAAGTTTGAATCGATTTTAATTCACGTAACCTTTCGTCGAATATACGGTAAAATATGTTCTTCTAATCTAATAATTCTGATGATTTTCCATATATAGGTATCGAAAGATATATATCTCAATTAGTAATTAAATAATTGTTACAGGAAATGACATAAAATTCACATAAATTTAGATTTTGAAATGTTAAGTGAAATAGCTACTTGTGCGTGCCCAACGCACGCGAAACGTAAGGGTGCATACTGCATCAAAATTATGCAAACGCTAAAGATAAATTTATGTATTGTTGCCACAAACATTGCGTAAACATGAATCCGCTAGTTCCGTCTAGCGTCTAGGATTCATATTTATATAACGGTGCTTTTGCGGCAAAGATGTGTTTGCAGTCAAAATATGTACATTTGCTTCCATCAATAATATGCCAACTATTTACAACTTGATTAGTGATTACACCCGGAGTTTTCTGGCCAAAAATAACGAACGTTAAATAAACCGTTGCCTGAAATAAATTCAATATTTTTACTGACCATTTTGCGACTGCATCTTTACACGTTATTTGCGCAAACGCAAACGCAAACACTCGTTACGAGTTTACGTAAATATGACGGGCGTTTTGCTATTTCGGGTGTACCCGCTGTATCCTACCTAAATTCTGTTATTTTCTCGTTTCCGAGAAACATGACATTATTTTTGCCGAATAATGCGCGTGTGTTAAGTAATTACAAGTATTAAATAACAATAGAATAGAATAGTAAAATTTTCCATTGGTTTTTCCCAAATTTCGCGCCGGTGTGCAGTGCACTCATGCATTAAGTTATAGAATGTTTTGAGGAGACTGTATGTGTGCGCGTACGTGTGAGTAATCATGTGCATGCATGAGTATCGGGAAGAGAAGAGGAGGGACTGGAGGGAGATGCAATTGAGTGATGAATGCACCGCCGGGATGCATGCTCACCTAGTTATGCCATAACGGCGCATAACGTAGATAGATTCATCGCTCCACTGTTCTAATTCAAGTATTTAGATATCCTTAAATAGCAAAATCTATTTGCAGACCCTGCAAATCGAAGTCTTGCTCCTTTGGGAAAATGTGACTTCGTTCAATCCATGGCAATCTTAATAATTCGACCTGATATTAATGTTCCGTGATTTTAATTTTAATTCATATAAAATTTATATGAATTTTTAAAATAGCTCGAAATCTCTCGTCGTTTGATCCTTCCTTGAATTGCTTTATATTTTATATTCAAATGTACTGAAAACATATACTTTCATTATTAGATGTATAACATATTGCAGATAAGGTTTCTGATTTTATCTCTCATAATTCTCATCCTTTGAAAAATATGGGAAAGGAAAGGTCTCTCTAGGCGTGGCATACCAAGCCCGTTTTATCCAATGAAGATTGAATATGTAACTTATATCTCTTTCCCGTAAAAATTTGATGCGAATATAACGAAACTAAAAACGAGTTTTAAGTTTCAGTCGGAATGAAGTGGACTCGTTGACGAGGATAAGATCTACTTTTTCAGAAACTGTTGCACCATGTAATAGCGGGGCAATTCCTGATGGTCGTTAAAAATCCGCCATCGAGAAAATGCTCATAAATCGAATAGGAAAATTTACTTTAAAACATTAGGCGAACACCCCGTGACTCTGTGGAGGAATGGTCGATTCGTAGCCGATAGATCTCAAGTTTCGATCTCATGGTTTACAGGAGATTATTAAAGAGTTAAAAAAATATTTTGACTGAAAATGCATGAAATGATGGCAACTCCCGTTTTAGGAGCAATAAACTTAAAAAACATATATACATACACAATATAAAAATTTACAAGTATATGAAGTATACTTGGAGAGAGATAGCGAGATATTGTCTCTTGAAGAATAGAAAGAAAGACGGTGAGCATTTCTCCTTTAAGAAATATATTCAAAGATATTCATGCTTAGATATTCAGAGGATGGATATACAAATCAATATTAGGTGATGAATTGATGTTAGATTTGGTAGGTGATTTAATGTGCAATTTGCAAGACCACAATGAACGGAAATTAATTGCTTAATCGCTGATTCGAATGGCAATGCGTTAGTTCGGTATATATAAGTGGTGGAACAACGTCATTACATTTATATATCTACACTCGTGGTATAAATATAATTAAAATCTATTTATAACGTAAGAGCCAAATCCGATAACTTTCACACTTTTATGAGTCAACGTTTCGTGATTTTCGTAGTGATTTATAATTGTTACTGAAATACAAAAAGCTTACACGAGTCTCTAAAGCTATTAAAATACTGTTACTTTTTTTCCCATTATTGACAATTTGTTTAAGAGAAATTGAGAATATACATTACATCTCGATGTTAACATATACATATTCTAAAAGTTATGTTTATGTCTATATAATATAAAGCTATCACACGTATAAAAAAAATCTCGAATTTTTACACAGTTTTGAACTTTTATACGCAATCATCATGTACCTATAACAGAATTTAGTTTGCACGATCAAATCGACGGAAAAGATGTATTACATTGATCCAATAATATGCAAAAAGAAAGATTGATTAATAAAAAAAATTAATAGCATCCATCGCGGATTTTTTCAAGATCATTTATATATTAAAAACATCAGAGTTCTAGAGTTGAAAAAACAGTACGTCGAAGGACATGGTCCTCGCGTCTGAAAAATTTAGAAAGCGTAACGCGTACGTATGTCCTCCAACTTCTTCGACACCTCGGATGGCGTTCTCTCGAGATCGCCGGAGATGCTCTTCTGTTTAGCAGGCTCGATCGAGTTGAATTGTTCGCAGAGATCGCCGTCGATGACATTTTTTACAGGGTAATAATACGACCGGAAGGACAGATGATCTCTGCCGCATAGAGGAGGATGCTCGGATCGCATGTGCATCTCCAGATGCTGGAAGAAATCGTGATCCTCGTGGCTTGTGAACGGTACGAGCACACCTACCGTTCCGCTTAGGGTTGTGTACACCAGACTCTCAGAGCCGCCCGGTATGAGAGTTGCCTTCTGCAACGACATTACCGTCTCGCCGACGTGGAAACACGCCACTGTGTCCGCTTTCTGGCTCGCGCCATTCAGTAATCCTCGGTCCCAGAGAGCCTTGTTTCCGGTAGGATCTTCGTCTACGTCGTCATTAATGCCAGTCGCCAATCGTATCTGAAAAGAGGAAAGACAAGAATATAATAAATCGTATATAATTGTTATACAAACGCGTTGCACATTGCTAATAAAAATAAGGCGACCACGGTAAGAACTCACCACAGCTATGTTTCCGAATTTATCGGCAGTGGCGACGGTATCGTAATCCAACACGCACGTCGTCGTGATCCACCTGGGGTGCGTGTCATCCGCAAAAACGATTAACTGATTCTCCTGGCGCTTGTACCTCACAGCGTACACCGATTCCTGCACGTCGCTGACGTAGATCCGTTGACCAATCGCGTTGATCGATACGACAGCGTTTGGTATATGCTTGTTCTCGCACTTACGCAATAATTTCTTTTTACCCATGTCGTAAAGCCGTAACATCCTACCCACGCCGACCAGTACTCGACCTTGATACGGACAAATGGCCAATGGTACCTCATCTAATGGAGATTTGTGCAGTAGCTCGATACTGGTACACTCCGCATTTACTCTGGAACATAAAGCAATCACTTTTGATTATTTCGTCACGAAAAATATCATGTTCGTTGAAAGTTGCTATAAAAATCAGCACTGCAGGACTACATCATTAAAATACAGACATCCAAATTGATAATCATCATTTTAGTATAAAAATATCAGAGAGAACACTAGGAATAAAGTGAGATATCTTACTTGTACGTATAAAGAAAACCGCCATTGCTAACTCTAGGATTCAATTGAAATTCTTTCGCGACTCCAACGATGAGAAACAGCTGCTCACCTTGATTGGCGAACTTCACGAGGCAAAGGCTGTAAAGGAACAACATTTATAACATTGGACATCTATGATTTTGATCAAGCTTGATTGTTCTTTTTTTTTTGCTTACCATAACGCAGCTAGGTTTTGTTCGAAACGATGAACTTCGAACGTTTGCCCGGTAGTTGGTGCCATTATTCTCAGCATAGAGGCCCACAGTCCCGGGCCTGCCCGCGGAGCACCGAAAACCGCCTCGTTTGGTTCTTCCGACAGAAATGCCTCTGCCAATTCCCGAGCGACGGCCGCTTCTTCGGCACCGGCCGCCTCTTGCATCTCCTCTGCCATCTGCAGTCTTCTCTGTTGCTTAGTCTCTTCTGTGTAAGCGTTGTGTTCAGTCTCAATGACCACTAGATGCGCGGAATCAGGATGAATCGCGAACTTCCTCGGCGTGTATTCCAACGGGAAGCTCACTTGATTGAACACGGCGCCAAGTTTTTCGAGAGCCAAGATCCTCAATGTGTTCGTCGATATGGCGACAATACCCTCTGGACACTGCTCGGAACTGAACCCCGACGCGAATTCAAGACTCTCATACGATAGAGGCGTTAGATGAAAACGATTCTGATGGTAGTAACTCAACCAGGATCGGCTGCTCATCGCCAGTACCGCCTGATTTCCTTGCATTCGTATTCTGAAGAGTTTAACGGGACGAGAGCCTAGGTAGCGAGTTCTCGTGTCTGCGAGATCGCCGGAAATCGGATCCAACACAGTTCTGAGTAGCACTCCATTTTGCAAACCTGGAATTAATAGTAACATACAACACGTATTAAAGACGATTTAACACAATTTTTTTAGAAATGAAAACTACGAGCAAAAATATAGATGCAAGTTTGGAGATATAATTTACCTATATTCAGGTACAAACTGGATTGCTGTGGCGCTGCATCCTCGGAATTATCCGCCTCCTTGGCGCCCATTTCCACGATGCATAAACTTTCCGCAGCTGCTGGTAATGCCTGCATGCTTCTTGGCGCTAGACAGTCCGAGGGATCCAACGATATTATCCTCACGGTATTGTCCTGTAGACCGACAGCCAGGAACCACGAGCGTTGCTCGCCCACTGCCACGTTTCCAAGGGCCATGCACATTACTTCCGAGGGCATCTTTTTCCTTTCCGTATACTCGTTCAATTGTCCGGTCTGAAAAGATACGTGGATTAATAGAAAGCCATTACTGACGAAAAATTTTGCGATGTCTTGTTCACTCTCCATCAGTTCCAACCACTAAGCAATAGGCTCAGTTAGGTTGGTCATGCAAGATGAAATGAGTAGTATGCTCTTCGCATCCTCTACTTCTCTGAGAACAAGAATCAGACACCTCAGAGAGAACAAATAATGCGATCGTTGGGATAATCGCGGAAGCGTTAAGAATTATTGCAAATACATACAGGATCCATCTCGAAGTAGACTAGTTCCCCTCCAGTGAGGGCAATCACAACTTGACGTTGATTGACCGCGCATTTCACGATGGTCTTCTTGCCGGGTGCCTTCCATTCGTTGACACGCTTATCTGCTCGGATGTGACGTATACCGTCAGGATATACCTGAAAGACGTTTGAGATTTCAGATGATTAAATTATATATTTCACGTGTCATATACTTAATAATAATAAAACAAAATATATTGGATTATGTATCATTGTAAAAATTAAAAGATTTCTGTAGTACGATTGTTGGGCCTGTAATACCAGGAAAGTTTAGACTAAATCCAGAACGTTCCAACGATGCGTGAGCCCGAATATTTTAGCACTTTTTTGCGACCGGCACGTGGTCAACCAGGTGCCGGAGATACCGAGTGCAATCGAGAGAAAAATTCTACAATCCCATGCATATACCATTGTCCCAAAAATATGAATTTAAAAAAACCATGATTATTTTGATCAGACAATCTATTAATTGAGATTGTTATTTATAATTTAACCTAAAGTCAATTTAAAAATGTTTTAATGATCGAATCAAATTTTACTTACTTTAATTTTACATTACTCTCAAATTTAATACATGGGATGTATGGTTCACGCATGGGGTCCACGGAATACCATACAATATAATTTCCATGTGTAATGTACCTGCACCAATGCGTCCTCGCCCAAAGCGGAGCAACTCAAGGTCGGTGTTGTACCGAGAAAACCCGAGTCCGTTACTTCCTCGACAGTCTCGCCGATACTGAGTACGAGTGTGGCGTTCACGAAGGACACTATGATGTATGCATCATATTCCTCTGCAATCAAAATTACAAAGCTCATCCTCAATACGTAGGAAAATGCGTCGCCGAATCGAATATTTGAATTTGCACAGAGAGATATAATATAGGTGTCCTCGATCATTCGACTGCGCACGCTCTCGTGCGGCACAGAAAGAGTCAACGGGCTTTCGCCTACTTTTTTAAAATTTTTTTTGTCGAACGAATCGACTCTTACTCGTGCCAATTTCGCGCCGAAGTTCCTTACCTTTCGGTCATTCAGAGTTCTGTGGGTCAACCAATAGCGCGCTGGCATCCTGAAAGAGAGAACTGGTGTTTGATAAGAGTGTATCAAGCCACCAGGTTCATTAATATCGTTTTATAAAACCGATGCCGTTTGTCTTTTTAAAGCAAAACTACAATTTTCTTTTCCAAGTTATATTAAGTACTAATGTTCTTACCCCAAAGCTTTACGCAAATCTGTTCGAATTATGCTATTGAGCCACTTACGATCCACTTTCGCAAATAGAGAATGGAAGAAACATAGAAGTATCTGATACTTGTAATGCTGACTGAATAGAATACTTCAGTCCTCGTCGCTTTGACGTAAAAAAGATTTTAAAAAGGATAGAGATTTTAAAAAGGATAGAGATAGACAAGACATGTGGAAAGTAAATTCTCAATGAAATGATAGCTAAAACTTATCAACTGTCGATTAAGCAATTCAAGTGGAAACATGCAGACAATTGTTATGTAGAAATATCATTTGACTAACCATCGATTCTTCTCTTCACAGTCCATACAGCATTTGGATTACCAGGCAGCTCGCTCACGGCCATCTCGGAAACTTCGAGACCATGGCGTAACACTCGTAACGTGGATCGCGGTCCTCGTCCGCAAGCGATATACAATTGCGGTGTATCTTCGTTCGCCAGATCTGCTACCTATACAGTCAAAATCTCTCATAAAGCTTCTCATATTTTCTGCAAGAGACACGTGAGAAAAGAAAAATATCGTGATTACAAGTGTACGCTTGTCTCTCCAAGTATTCACTTCAATTTGCAATAACAAACCAAAGGCGACGAAGAGAATTCTGTTATTGCACAGTATCCCACAGGAAAGAGACGCACGAGTAACGTCTCCTACCTACTTGACGTGCGGCATAGTCGAGAATAAGAAACTTGTATCTTATAAAATAGATATATCACCTGACAAGCCATTATGGGCGAGAGACTGTCCATCTCGTCGACTAGCACTAGATTTCGAAGCGGTCGAGGGGCGAAGAAGAAAGTGTCACCTTCTTCCAGTGGCATTGCCGAACTAAACTCGGGCTCGTCGTCGTCGTCTCCGAGATGCGCTATTTGATACAGGTAACTAAAAAAGAACAATGCAATTGCGCTGTTTGCAGTAATTCGAACGCATTAGTCATGTGGTCTATAGTACTAACTGGTTGCCAAATTCCGAGGCGACGAACAGGAATCCCGTTTTCAGGACGCACATACTCGCAGCTACCGGTACCGTGTCGAAGTATTTCAGCTTAATTTCGGTGACCATGTCCTCGTCCGTCTCGAGGGTAATTTTGAAAATATCACCCTGCTCTGTCTGCGCCAAAAAGAAGAACATGCTCTTCGTCTTGTGCGTGGCCGAGCACACGAATATCATTCCTCTCTCAGGATCGTCCAAGTCGTTACGGCGTCGTGGAATCGGACAACGTATGTCGTGCTGATCCCCGAGGTTCTTGTACGTGAGATAGTTTTCGGAACAGATGAGTACGCCGCTTGGACCATCGTTGCCACCGGGCACAGACACAAGGAAGTTAGCGTGTTCCTCCAATGGCTCACTGTACTTCCGTACTACGTGATTTAGACCGAGATCAAGCTCATATAGGGTAAGCGTTTGCTGCGTTTTCACTGCCGCGTCGCCCGTGGGATCGCTGTCAGCTTCCTGAATTAACATTTTTGCAAGAGATATTAAATATACACGCTTTATATGAATATAATACTGCAAATATGATCGTATAAGTATATCATAACAACGAATAGATGTAATCAATGCTAATCAGTTGAAACACGGAATAATAATCATGTGATACTATCAACAATATCTGTTATTAAAAAAGTGATACAAAAATTACACAAGTTTACCTCGTAATCGATCTCTAAACACGCAAACATAGGATTCTCAAAACCAACGTCGACGCCAACAGTATGATACACCAGAGTGTTGCTCTTATGAGCTTCCAATGGAGAAGAGATTGTAAGACGGGCCTCAGCGTCTCTGTTGAGAATGTACACAAGTTTCTGCTTTTCAATAGCACCTACAACAGTAAATATAACAAACAAAATATAACATTAGATTCACATCAAAGTAATTAATTGTATTAATTGTGTTATCAATAAAATACCATCATAATAATAATAAAGATGTAATCAATGTTATTCAGTTGAAACACGGAAAGAATAATCACATGGAGGTATTTAACAACAAGAATAACAATATAAATTGTTCCATAAAACTGCCGAAGGCAAAAATGTGAGATAAAAATATATATACCTATCATAACCGCTCTTCCTTTCGGATCGATAGCAAGATATTGGCCAGGAACGATGCGCCTACATCCACTCTTGCCAAAAGTCTCCTGATGTACCTTTTCAAAGCTGTTCTTAGCAGGAATGTACTCCAATATTACTATACGCCCAGAATCTGATCCGACGACAATGTAATCCTTCGTTCCGCCGGTCAATCTAAATGCCATGAGGGATCGAATGATGCCGAAAACTTCTACGGTCAGCAGCGTATGGACTTTTCCTGTATTCGGATCCGGTCGGAGCAGCTCTAACGATTTGCCGCGGGAGACGAGAATCTCCTGCATCTTACTGCCGGAGAAATTGCCGTGCACCGCGTGCGTGATGCCCGTGGCACGTTGGAGGGTCAAATTGTACAGATACATCTTGGCTAGCTAGATTGTCGGCTTTTTCTATTCCTTCGTCGATTTCTCAACCGAGTGATGATGATGATGAATTAACGGAGGGCTTATAATCTCGACAAACGTCTCCGAGAGTCCATGCTCTGCAACGAGATGCGTATATATGTAAATTCAACACGACACGCACGACACGGCCCGTCGTTCATACGCCGAAATTAAGTCGAAAGGAATCGTTAAGCACGAAAATGAGGTTGGCTATGAAAGCGGACGACTTCCAAGGATATTCTCTTTACCTCGATCAAGTTTTCGATGTGGTAACGCTCGATGATGCCTCCGGATTTTCCTTTCACGATCAAATCGAGTATACTCGCCGTCACGAGCAGTTACGAGAGAACCATGGAGAGAACAGACGCCGTCGTCGCCGCGTTTCGCGGATTTTACGAGTAATAGTAATCCCGTAATCCGCCGGAAACGACGCGCATCTGTCCTCGTCATTGACTGCAGAGACAAGAGTAGTGCGTACGTATAATCGAAAGCGTAAACGAACGTGATTGGTTACTACCATTGGATCCAACGAATCAGTATCGGTTTTCAGTTTTGTTACAAGACGATGACAATGACGATTCGATGATTTGTTGTTCCGAAAATATCCATTCAATCCATTGGGCTTATTATGACGAACATCATATCCGGTGCGCGCGAAATCCATATTCATATTTGTAGAAATTTGATGTTATAGACTTTTATTGCAATAGAGAGAGAAAAGTGCGTTTTCTAGAGACTGTAATTAGTGATATTTTTGTTTTAATAAACAAATCTCTTCCTATTGGATATCGCACATTAGATTTGGAATTTGTATACGTCTTGAAGAATTGCTCAAGTTACTCCAATGGTTATTGATTGTTTCTTCTATATATGATGATATTAAGTATTTATTAAAATAGAAGACAATTTTTTGTCAAAGAAAAAAAAATGACTAAATATAATTCCACGCAATCAGCTGACAATTCTTCTTTATGCACTTGAGCTATGAATATACTAAAATATAAAGTTTATAAAGTCAATTTGCATTCGATTAAGCATTTTTATTCAATTTAATTTTGTACAAAGTTATAAACACGATGTTATTTAAATATCATATATTAATATATATTACGCTAAATAACCATAACCGCTAAAATCACAGATCAAAATCTGTAACAAGTTTTGAGTATGTCATAGAAAATATCTAAATTCAATTCCATTCCAAAGTTATGGAATTAGAATTGAATGATCAATTTCAAACTAAATTTTGACATTCAAAAATTTATACACAAAATTTAAAATCGAGCGAAATTTTAATAAATTCAATTTTCAATATAATAAAAAAATATTTCTGATTTTCCAGTTACCGATAATTTAGACCATATTACATATATGAACATGGAAACCTATCAGCATCAAAATTTGAATTCATTAAAATTCTGTTGCTCTCTTTTTACTCTAATCTATCCTTTATATCTTCGAATGCGTCGCGTTATAATCAAAGTAATTCGATTCCGTCTCGCTAGAATCATTCGTTATTATCGGTCGTACTGAAAAGAACTTGTATTTGTAGACCTGCGGCACCAAGCATTCGAGTGCCATGTGAGTGATAGCGCCGGTAAATCCCCAGACACGGTGCTTTCCACCCAGATAACACGGCAGGGTCATAACTGGATGGCGGAAACTCGTAAAATGAATTAGCTCAGGATCGCACAATTTCTGCAAACTAACTACGAACGCTTCTTCCACCTCGTCATGATTGATCTCCAGCTTTTCCGGCACTACCTCGCCGACATAAGCTAGAACCGGCATTACGTTAACGTTGCCCTTGCCGATGAGATTTCCCGCGGTCCACACGTCGACCTTCTCCTTAGGGATCTTGAGCTCCTCCCAGGTTTCTCGCAACGCGGTTTCCCGTAGATCGACGTCAGTCTCGTCGCGCATGCCACCCGGGAAAGATACCTAGAACAGATATCCTTAAGAAGAGAGCAAAAATTTATTAACTTAAAATATACATTTGTTCACATAACTTTTTTTAAGATATTTACAGATACTAATTGTAAGAATATAAATAACTGACTTGTCCTGGATTGGATGTGACCCTCATGGACCGCAGCATATATAAGAAACCGAGTTCTCCTTTATATAAACATAACGGGACCAAAACGGCTGCTTCTGCCACGTTGCTCGCCTTTGGCACCCGGATGGACTTGAATTTTTCGATGCAAGCCTTACGACTGCTCTCCGAAAGCACGACTTCGGGCTTCAGGGTGGAATCGATCATGTCAACACGATGTTCGGGCGCTATGGACTTGAAATAATTTAAACAAAAGTATTTTCAGTATATAATTTTCATATAGGATTAGTACATATTGATTAGTATATTTTATTGGGTTTAATATTGTAAGTTAATAGATAAGATTGCAAATTAATATAAAATATATGTAAAATGTATGCACATAACACATAACATACATACGTTAATACATACAAGCGACCTTTCATTTCAAATTTCCCACCATTGGCACTCTGACCTATCCTACGAGTTTATTTTACGACAATTAAGGTTAGTAGCGCATATGGTGGCGGTCTGACGTAAACGCGATGCGATGCGTAAGCATAATGCATGATCCGAGGTTCCCTCGAAATGTTGACGACGGATCGTGAGACACTTACGAAGGCACGTAGAAAAGGGCGTATCGACGCCGCGGTTAACTTCATTAATCGGCAGATTGTCGTGACATAAATCAGTAAAACGTAACCACGACGAGACCGCAGGCGCGCACTTCGACCGTTGACGGACCACTTTGCCAATTGCCAATTGCCAATTGCCACCACTTGCTCTTTACTTGCTTGTCGACTAAAGTTCTGAAAACGGTTTACAGATGTCACCCCTATAGTCTTTTTTATCTTGTGATGAATAAAAGAGAATCGACGAATTATACTGTTTACTACACACCGGACACTCTACACCTTGAGAAGACCGTTGACCGAACCTCGCTCGTAAAGAATTGGGACCATTTATTTGCATTTATTTAACAGAAGAAGAAGACGAATTTACATCATCCTGATTGTCGTGATAATGTCATTATCATGGTAAGTCTTAGTACACCTTGTATATATAAAATTATTGTAAATAAATGCGATATATGAATTTATAATAATATAATAAATATGAAGAATATAATTACAAAGGTAATATATACATATATACAATAAGATACAATATTTTGTTTGAATAAAGTTTATTCAAAATCTTTCGCAATTCTGGAGCATTATTATTGTTACTATTATTTTATTAATGTTTTTTTACTATTATATACTCTTACATTAGACTTATACAATTTTCATACAATCCTCAAATATGCACGTGCAATTTACATACATACATACGCATTTACGCATCCATACATGAGTTTCTACTTTAAATATCGGCCTTATCACATACGCAAAAAGAACGGAGCGAGTAAGCGTAATCATCGCGGTCACCGCCGATTTATCTAGCGCCAGCGGTGACAATACGAAAATTAGGTCCGTTTCTTTTAACTGCGTTACGTTATATATTTTCTGCATTTATATCTATATAATATAAAATATAAAAAAGAGATATATTTTAATCTGTATTTCCGAGATTTGGAAGAAGGAAGAAAAATGCAGAAAAGTATGCAGAAAGCGCAGTTAAAATTGTTACGATATAAGATGTATTTTTTTATGGTTCTCGAGCGATCAAAAATGTGTGTGCGAATAATAATGATGAGCGGAAAGTTAAAATAAAAGTAGGAAAAAAGTGTGTGAAAAATGTGTGCAAGAAAACGTGGAAGAGAATGCGATCGTGCTTCGTTGGCTAAATTCGCGTGCGGCTCTTTCTCTTTTCTATTTATAGAAATTATTTCATGACAAATAATATTTGTCAAATACAATTAACAAAGCGGCCTAGATATTAAAACAAGTTGTAACGGCACTTGTATTAAAAACCGCACGGATTTTCTCGATCAGCTGTTGATTTGAAGAACTCGTTCCCGAATAGTTAGAACTTGACCACCTTGACTTGTGTTTTCAGCGCATTTACCAAGAAGTGTCAGTGATTCGCGTCGAGATTCACGTAATCTCGACGAAACAGCCCTCATCTGTTACAGAGATTCGATTCGAAAATGAGCTCTTCGATAAATAAATTCTTCATTAATCTAGCGCGCAAAGCGCAACAAAGAGTTGGGAGAAACGCACGTCACAGTCACACGTTGGAGTTTGCTTCTCGCCACGTGACCTGCGTGCCACCGAGATTCTGCAACCGCAGACTGTTTCCGGGGCTGTCGTCGCCCTCGTAGCCGGCGTTCACGTGCCCCGCTGCCGACAGTGCCGACGTTGCAGCCGGGTGTCCCTCGAACACGTCCTTGACAGAAATCTGACTGCTGCGGGACGGCCGGCCCTGGATCCCAAGGGGGTTGCCCGCCACGCCGTAGATGTTGTTCGCGCCCAGGGTCTGCATCTGCGACTTCCGGCGCATCGCCATTATGCTGTTGCGCCTACCCTCGAACGCCTTAAACGCCTCGCGTCGCGTCGACATGTTCCTCGACAGGCCTGGGGATTTTCCGTTCGATATTACGAAAAGCGATCGCTTAGTAAACTTAGTTTTAAAGATATATCGAATATTATACGTTCGGAATTCCTTTCTGTCCTATTTTTTTATCTTTGTTTTGCAGACCTTACGTGGCTACACTTTGTGTCTCTCCCTTACCTGCGCTCTCGTTCATGCTGAAGAAACGTTGCCTGAAGGCGACGTCGAGCGTGTTGATCGCCTGCGTCTTTCTGCGACTCTTTTCCAGATTTCTGATCGTTTTTCGTCTACCGGGCCCGCTACCGCTGCCTTCCTCGTAGTCACCTTCTATCCCGTCTAGTCTCTGAAGATCTCTCACTATGTCGACCGCGTGTTTTGACAGCAGGGCTTCCTCGGAGAGATCCTTCGTCTGCGAAGATCATTGAGCGTTGACGTGAAACAGCTCAGACGGATCAAGTTGTTGTAGCAAAAAGTCCGTCGTGTATTTGTCCAAGTGATTAAAACGACCAACATTTTGCACAACAATTCGACAAGATAGTATAGGTATTGTATAATTCTATAAGAGAGACGTATGCGCGCACCTTCTTGCAACAGTCTAAACTGGTGCTGGCCAGAATGTGGGCCAGGGTGCCGAATCGGTGGAACAGCATCGCGGTGAATTGTATGACCAATATCAGCGCGAAGAAGAAGACGAACACAAGACCGATCGGCTCGAGTTGCAAGTACTCCTTCGTGATGTGCACCTGCAAAATCGCGGCGTGTGTAGAATGCGTTACAATACGCGACATAATGTTATTTTAGGAAGCAACGCTCGCGATAGCGACCGAAATCTAAAGAGAGTGGACCTCTGTCTACTTAATTTAATTTAAAAATGATAGAAATGATCAAAATCAGTTAATGTAAATTGTTATTGAATTATTTGATATTTTGAATTATTTTCTCGCATTCATAGAAATTTCATTTCAAGTTACATTCAATAAAGAATTATAATCCGATCGATCGCCATCGATAATCATTCTTTCGTGAGTATGTGCATCAATTAAAACAATTGAGTATAAAAGGATAGGTCATTAGATGTTAAGATTCGGTGACTTTCGTGCGTGTTAAGATTAACACACTTATAACAAACATACATAAAATATTTACACACGCTTATCAGATAACGAGTTCGATACGAGTTCGGTTGAACTCCCGATGAGAAGACACTGAAAGCAATTATCGCGTTATGTACGTTAGTGGTGCTCGTCCGTTGCCACAGCTGGCAATAATGGTGCATGGTCAAAGTTAGACACAACAAAAGAGAGAAGAGACGCAAATCTCTCTCTCTCCGAGGATCAACAGATCTCCAGGAATCTGTACAGCCTCAGATCTGAGAGTTCGCGATCCCAAGATTCTCATGTCGAGAGACAGATATATTCTCTTCAGTATTATTCAGTTAATTTTTTAATAGCAATTTTAATTATAGAATAATATTAGTTTTAATAATTAAAAATTTTTAATTTTGATTAGAAAAATACTGATTTTAATAATAGTAACAATTTTCACGTGATAATAGTTTTTATAATAATACTAATAATTTTTAGGTATCACGTAGAATAAGAAGATTAAAATTAAAAAATTGTTTTTTTTGCCCAAAAATTATTAGCTTCAAGTCTTTCGAGAAACAGGTCTTTCGACATTCGTCTCTACTTTTACATCGATTATGTAATAAAATTAATAAGGCTTAATTTCATGTCATAAATCGATCTTGTCTAATTTTGGTAAAAAGGATCAAATGGGAGAATGTTATTGTGACATTAATCTCTGGTTATTCCTATATAGTCAGGATCACTAAAAATCATCTCCCACGCCATAAATTTCCATTCCATTCGACCCAGGGTGAGGGTGAGGTACCTGTGCGTGAGAATATTAATCAGAGACCATCCACGTGCTGTCGAACGACCCAGTTGGGTTAATGACATAAAAACATATGTACATATTGAATCGGTTGCAATGTCATCACCGAAGTGCTGCTCGCCCCCGACGCATTCGGGTGCTCGGATAATTTGATAAACTGGTTTCGAAATTTTGTGGAATATTAAATGTCTGAGAACTTAAATTTCTAATAGTTGAAAATTCAAAGTAAAGAATCGTTAAAGATTCGAGGAAACTTTAGCGTCGTAATTTTTAACAAACTCTGATTATCATTATTCCTATTTTTATTAATTTTTGTTAATTTCCTTATCAAGTATTTGATAATTTTGCCAAGTCTCATTTGAAAGATTTATAATAATAATAATAAATGAAAACTTCTAGAGGTGAGCATCCAGACGCATCGAGAGCGATTTTAACGAGACACCGTGTGTAGGACACCACCATGGCACCGATTTAATCCTTTCCCCCTGATGTTTGATCATCGGATACCTCCGAGGTCTCCTCGACGTAGGTGATGTTGGTCTTGACACCGAGCGGCCAGACAACGTGCAGCTGATCCTTGTTCAGCTGTAGCAAGAATACGATCAGAACGAACAACGCATTGAACATTAGAAACGCGAACACGCTCTTGTTGCGTAGCTCGATAAGATCGGCGGCGATGCGGGCCTGTTGCGTGCGCGTGGTAAATGCGAGAGAAACAGAAAAAAAGAGACGACACAAGATTAGAATAGTAAGTATAAGAAAGCTCCGTCGATCGGTCCATCGATCCGTCGATCTTTCGTTATCTCGGTTAACGATCCAATTTCATTGCGCGTTTATTCTCGTAAATTTAACGCGCACAAATTGGAGTACAAGTTTATCGTTAACGTTTTGCTCGAGATAAATCCATGATCGAGGATGCGAGGCGCCGACGGAGCTAGTTTTACCTCCATGGTAGTATGGTCATACGTGACGTTCGTCTTGATGCCGAATGGCCACTTGATGTGCAACAAGTCTTTGTTCAATTGCAGCAGAAAGACGATCAGGACGAAGAGGGCATTCATCATAAAAAACGCAAAGACGCTCTGGTCGCGTAGGTCCTTTAAATCTTTGGCGACTCGTGCCTGATTGGAGCAGCATGGGGTATATTAATTGGAATATATGAAAAATGCGCGTAAGTAATATATACTTTCTGCAAAACATAAAAATTACTTTGCTTCGAGGAACAAGCCTTCAATCTTTGATCCAATTTTATTTAAATTTTAGTCATCGGTAATTCTTCCCAATTTTTATTTGTATAAAATTATTTTTTATTGTATCAAGAATTATCTCTTTTTTAATTTAATCATTCTTAGTCAAAGGACGATTTTCTTCAATTTTTAATTTAATTGTTTATTATTTAGCTGCGCGATCAAAAGCGGAGGATATAGATTTTTTCAGATTTTGATTTCTCAACAATAATGATCATTTCTTAATGATCATTTCTTTCATCTAACAGGAAGTAATGTTGAAACAAGTTGATTAAAGTACAAATATAAATACTTGACAAAAGTAATTTTTGTTTCTTCATCCTTGATCGACACTTGCAGCGACAAAGACGTATTTTGCGGATTGTATCGTGCAAAATGTTCTGATTCCGACATTTTATTTCATTGTATCAAATTAATTTACATTAATTATGTTAATAATTAGTTAATATTTCTCTGTAAAAAAATTTTCTGTATAGAATTTTAAGTTGAAGTACAAAGTAAAAAATTTTGTGACGCTTAACGATGTAAAAAAACGTGACTGGTAATAATTGAATGAGAATCCCCGAAATAAAGAAAAAACCGAATTTTATAAAATAAACTGTAATAAATTTTTCTTTTTTTTTTCTTACAAGTTCCAGAGAGGATTAAATAAAGTTCCAACGTTTCGACATGTTACCTTCTCCGCTTTGTCCTCGTCGATCGGGTAGAGATACTTCTCCAGCAGGTCCTTCCAGAAATGCTCCTCCTGCATCGATAACACGTCCACCTCTCCCTTCTTCAGACCGTCATCGTTCAACCAGTACGGTCGCGTGAGGAAGTTACTACCGTCGCGATGACCTTCGGTATTCTGACTAGTCACCGTCTCCGTCTCGCTGCCTTCGTCGTCCTCGGGATCCTCGCCGATGGCACCCAGGTGATCGGCGGTGCGCGAACCCACGGAAGAGGCTCTCCTTCGTCCGGAAGCGTGACTGTGAGGATCCACCGCTCTGTAAGTAAGAGAAATTAATCTTTTTTTTTTTAATTGATCTGATTGACTGCGCTTCTTTTATATAAATAACAGAAGAAAATATCTGTCATCTACTTTTCACAGAAAACTGACGTTTTCTAGCGATCTACTTTTCCATAACGTTACTCGCATAATTCCGAAACTTTTTCGCTTCGTAAATCGGAGTGTCTCACATTTTTGTGAGATCTCTTTAATTGTAAGGAATTCTTACTCTTGATCTATAACAGTTCGCAATAATCTTTCGTCACTCCGGATATTATTACACGTTGCTTTCCTACCTTTCGATGGTCTCAAGCCTTTTACCGAGCTGCTCGAGCGACTCGGCGATCGCCACGAGCTGTTGCTTCTCGGAAGACGGCTTGCCATGGGTGCACAGCAAGCATTTGAACAAACCGGCCAGCGATATCTCGATAGATCCCTGATCATCGTCATTGGTGCCGGCACCGTTTTGCAGAAAGCCCAGCAGGGATTTCTGTTTGGCCTTGCGCTTTGCCTCCTCCGCCTCCCGCTTCTCTTGCTCGAGTTCCTGAATCGTATCAACGATTGTGATGAACGCGCGAAAACACGATCCTCATTTACCATGTGTTCCTCATTAAATAATGTGAGTTTAAGTTAATTAAATAAGTCATATAATACAGACAGAATATTAATAGACCAAAGCGACGACCTTCTAACAGCTTTTATGAAAAAACTTTTATTATGAACGGAATGATTTTAGTAATAAATAATCTTTTTTAGAACTTATAAATATACAATATTATACATTTAACTTTATATTTAATCCATATAACATATAGATTATCTGATATTTTTATAATTTACTATTATTAATTCTAATTGAAATAAAACCAACTACAAATTATTAAAATTAATTTTTTCACATTAACAAAATTCTAAAAGCTTTTGATTTCTTTTATTTCTTAATTCTCTTTGGAGACCGATTAAATAAATTTCTAAAAAATCTTAATTCTCGACGTGTTCAATGGGTTAATTGAAAAGTATAAAATATTTTTGTATATGTTAACAAAGCTGCAAAAGCCGAGCATTTGCCGGAGTATCTCGACCAGATTTTAGTTGGAGTTAGTAAAGTAAATGAGATTAATTACCGCGCAGCTCTTCTTCATCTTAATTTCCCGCGTGCCCCATGAGATGTTATTGAGATTGCAGAGTGAGTATATGATTAGTAGCACATACATCGAGGGCACCGCTAGATAATAGATCAGACCGTGCAGTAGGCAATTGACCTCGTAGGGATGCAGGAGACCCGCTATCACGAACTCGCCCACCACGAGGAACATGAACCACGCGCTCGGCGACATTACGGTATCTTTCACGATGTTTATCGCGAACGCGACGGTCACCGCGGTCATCATGATCGCGTACATGGTGCTGATCACGGCAGCTACTATCACCTGTCATCAAGAACCGCCAACCTTCGTGTACGTTAAGTCGCCTTCTGTTCTGAGTTAAACAAAGCTGAAGCTGAAGTGCGATGGACTCTTACGACGAAGCGAATGATTGTGAGATCGTTTGATCGAAGGAATTTCGACAGGATTATTCCCCCTATCTCCGAAGCGCAGCCTTATCCGGTTCGTACACTGGAGAACGTTCAAGTTGTTTCAATACACGCGATTAAATACACGAGATAATACGTTGAATTTATTTAGCAAACAAATAAAAATTTATTTTTATTTACAAAAAAGTTACTTTGCACAGTAAATTATGATTTTAGCAAAAAAGAATTTGAGATATGAGATATTAAATATCTTTTGTAACGGCGCCGTTGTTACATCTCAGGAAAAAATATCGAAATGATAAAGCGGGATCCAACAGCCTAAACCTTCACCTTTTCAAAGCCCTGTTTACCTGAGATACACTTGCATTTAATTACACCAGTGCTAAAAATGAAAAATAAATTTTAAAAAATGATCGACCCTGACGAACCTTCTTAGTTTTTTTCGTTTGGACCTCCCTGGTGCCCCAGGACACAACATTAAGATTGATGATGGAGTACAATATGAGGAGCAAGTACATGGACGGAATGGACAACAAGTATATGATGCCAGGCACGATACACCAGAATTCTTGAGGATGTAGACAGGCTGCTATGAAGAATGAACTCGACAATGATATTAGGAAGATCGCCGAGGGCGAGCCTATGCCGTCCTCGCCGAGCTGTAGGGCAGTACCTACGATCACCGCCATCATGATCATCGCATATGCCGTCGACAGGATCTGAGCGCATAAAAGCTGAAAACCATTCACTCTTAATTTCTTCCTGGCCCACGTTTCAAGAGATCATCAGGACGGATTCGAGTACTACATCGGAAGTCGCGAACATTGTGCGAAAAATGAATCGACGTCGCGTGACGATACATATTATTGCGATATTATCACACAATATTATAATTAAGAATTCTGGTTCTGATGAAAGTGAATTTCGCGAGCGAAAGACGATCACAATGCGCGAAAAAAGCGGATACGCACGAATCAAACACAGACGCGACGAATCAACAGAGAGATACTTACCTGTATGTTTGATTTGCACGTGAAACAGACGATCATGAAGAGCAAAATGGGAATGATGTTGTAGTAGAAGCTAGTCCAGTTGTCAATTTTGAAAGCCGCCACAAAGGCACCCACCAACATGAGAAAGATCGTGCCGGGTCCCAGAATCGTACCACCTGTTTTAATCAAAGTAAAAAGATATATAAAAATTAAAATATTTCAATAATTTGATACGATAAAATTATACATATATATATGTATAATTTTATTTTATGCTAATTTAATTATAATCTAATCTTGTATTTAATCATGAAATTAAATCTAAGATGCTATAATTCAATCAATTTTCTGAGTGGATTGAGAGAAGCACTTGCCCATCAGTAGGATTTGATACGAGATGTAAGGCAGCGAGATATTGTCGTTGATTTTAATCGTGCGTTTCGCGTCCATTAGCAGATCCATAATATTGGCAATGGTAGAGGGTACCCAACGGCGCCGTTGGTTATAGAACTCGTTAAATCCTTCCGGTGCGTGGGTATAAGCGTCGCTCGCTGCGGAATATTCTACCTACAGTGCAACGTAAAAAATTGAAAATAATTTTAAATAAAACAATTACATCAATATAATAATCAATTATACAATGAATCAAATGTAATAATGTCAGCTAGAATAAAACGGTCATTAGTGATAGCGAAATCGGTGCATACCCTGTATCCTCGTTGCAATAGCAATGTGCACAGCCAACGGTCCTCTCCCTGATCGTACTGCACGTAGTGCCTTGCCTCGTCGGACTTGGTCGTGTACTTCTTCATCACGTTGTCATCCATCAGTGCTTTGCCGCGAAACAGCGAGAAACATCCGGGACTGCAGAGTACGCAGCCGATCATGTGCTCGGTGGCCTTCTGCAGCCAGTGACCGATCGCGTATTCGAACATCTGATACCACACCATGGGTCCTGGAACATTTGCGAAACGTTTGTAATCGGTGCGATATTTAGATAAATACATGCAATACAACCTTTTTTTTACTTATTTAAAAGTATGTAATCGCATCTATATTATTTATTGTACGTTATTTGGTACGATTTGATTACGATCGCGACCAGCAACGTTAAATCGCTGGCACGACTTACCAGAACCAACTGGATGAATACGACCGCAGGCGGCGCCTAGGTTCTTATTCTTCTTCATCAGATCCACGAGAAGCTTCACTGCCGCTGGTTGAAAGTCAATATCGCCGTCGAGCGTTAACAAAAACGTATTCTCGGCGATGACCTCCTTGCGATCGACGCTGATCGGTAATTCCATTAGCCGATGTCCCAGCAGATAATACATGTACATTACCTAGTTGAGAATTGAATATCCGTTTACGAAACAATCTCTAACACTTTTAATAAAACGACTTACGTGTAATTGATTTCGTTAAAAGATTAGATTCCTTCTTCTGAAGTTAAATTTTTATTCTGAACGGATGATACCTGACTCCATCGCTTCCTGTGTCGGATCTTGCTCTTGTCTTTTAGATGGGCGATCATCTTCGTCTTTCCGGGAAGAGTCCAAACCAATCGTCCACCATACGGAGTCGGATACTTCTTAGGCGCTCTTACGTGCATCCTCGTTTTGTGCACATCCGATGCGGCCTCGTCCAGCGTGCCGACCAGCAATTTCACGAATCTGTTCACCTGCGACTCGTTTTCGTCGTGATCAGCCAATTCAAACGCGTCGTCGAAGAATATGTGAGCTGGAGGAATACATTCTCGTGTTATACAAAGCAACGAACAATATATGTATATATATATTTACTAGGCTGCTAATTCCAACGTTACTCACTTTCGAATTCGTAATAGTCGGGATCGACGACTTTGAGATATTTCTGAGCGACACGCCGCGCGCTCTGGTCCTCGTCCAGGCGCAGAATACTCTTCAGGAATTCCATCATTTCTTCCTTGTTCTCATGCCACATGGTAGCGCAAGCGTAAATCCTGGTTACATGATCGCTGCTCTTCACCGCGGACGGAGGTGTGGTCGATCCGTCCGTCTGTTCGTAGATTGTCTCATAGTCGCCATCACCCTTCTCCTTTTCTATTTCCGCCAGATCCTATCGATCGATCCGATGTCGATTAATTTAAGAACCAATACATTCTCTCAGAGTAATAATGTTTTCATATTTTTATTTAGGGTAATCAATTATTTTAGGATTTGAGAAGTTAACAAGTTAATATTAACATTATTTTATTTTGCATTATTATATTGAAAGCCGTCTGACTCTGAAGATACTTACTTCGACTTTGACTTCCGGCTGATCGTCCCTTCTCCGGTTAAGGCCCATCGACTGGTCGATTAGCAGAGAGTTGTACATCGGCACGACGAAGAGCTTCTCCGTGGCCGCAAGACGCTCGCATTTCGGCGTCCAAATGTGTAGGGTGATCCAGGTCTGCGACAACAGCCACAGCAACCATACCCAGGCATACTGCTTCGACACGAATTCGTTGAGGAAATTAGGCAGCGGCGACTCGTAAAACAAGTAATCCGGTATGGTACCGTGAAAGAAGCACGGATCACTGTTGCGGAGACCGCACGCGGCGATCAGCAACGAGATCGACACCGGTATCGTGAGATTCACCGGGAACGCGTAGCTAAAGCCTTGAATCAGGATCTTGCATGCGAATTTGCCTACGAATGACAAAATAATATTAAAAATTAATTAATTAGAAGGTATCTTAAATTGAGAATTCAACTGAGAATCTCTTAGTTAATTAAAAATACCCCTCTCCAGGATAGTCAACATATGTATACCTATATCTTATTTTACAAGAGCTATGATTAATAATATACCGCAAGTTTGATTGTTATTTATTTTCATGAGTATTATTCTTAAATCATTCTCCAAGTTAGTTTCAATACGCGCTATTCGCTTACCAAACACGTAGGCGAAGTAAGCACCGGCGATCTGCAGCAGGAGAACGTAGATGGGCGTGTTGAAGTCGGCGTTGACGACCTCGGTGATGTCGCCCGTCAGAATCTCCGAGAGATCGGGCAAACTCCCGCTAGTTATCGACTTGATAGACGTGACTGTAATTTTGTGGTCACCGAAGGCGCTGCTAAACATGGTAAAGAGATGCCCGACATTTTCCCCTTTGATATATAGTATCAATATCGAGCTGATGAAGAACGCCACAATCTTCCAGACAGACACCAGCATATAGGTGAAATAACGCGTCAGTCGCATCTCCTTTTTCACTCTGCCGAGAGATCTGATTAAACCTGAGGGAAGAAAATGGAAAAAATAAAATAAAAAGGAAGATATGTAAAATCGTTTTGAGTCAACCACGTAATGTGAGTTTAATGAATTAATTAATTAATTCAAAATTGTAATTAATTCAAACATGAATAAAATTACCATCGAAACACATAGGAAAATATGTAATTAATTATTTAAGCCATTAAACAAGCTAAGTATTCTGAAAAAAAAGATGAAGAAGCTTGTTTTATTTCTTCTACTATTCAATTTTAATTTGAAATAAAAAGATTTTGGGTCCTGAAAGGAGCAGAAACTCACTAATCCGGCTCTGCGTGGAGACATAATTTTCCCACCAGCCGCAGGAGACGAGAAGTAGTGCAACAGGAATCAGCCATAAGGATCGCCTCGAGCTGTCTAAGAAGGGCCAAAGGACGAAGCTAGTCGCCTGGGCGGCTAGAGCGGCGATGTCGACGAGAACGAGGACGTATCGTTTGGACTCGCCTTTACTTTTGTTGCGGGAAAGTAGGCCTGCGAATGTGCGCAGCACATGTCTTACTTTGCCTATTCTCGCGCGATCACTACTTTCATGATTATTCGCTCGGCAATACGGAACCATGGAAAAATCGAACGCGAAAGTCGGGCAATCGCGGTTGAAAGCAAGCGAATCCGTTTGCATTTCTTTCACTTAATGTAAAATATTGATCCTAGATCATATATATTGCACTGTTTGGCAAATGCGATTATATTAACGCACTATATATAATTAATATTGCAAATAATAAATTAGATTTATTAACATGGGTAATTACGTTATTTAATTATTTATTTTTATTGTATTTGATAAGTATTTTAACTCTCTTGTTTTCTTGGATAAACCTTTTTATGATTTTTTTTCAAATATATGTATTTTTCACGTTTCTCATTTTATTCTACATTATAATTCTTTACATATTCGAAGTTCAAATAAGATAAAATTAAATTAAACCTAATTAAATTGAATTAGAATCAAATTACCCAGCAATCCAGGAACGAAACACACGCAGTTAGTCAACATTGCCCCCTTGACGACGTCCAGTTCCGGAAGCACCGCCAGGAACATCAAGGCCAAGCCCACCACGTGAAACGTCTCCATGATGGAAACTACGAGAAAGTGCGCCAATTGCGGCTTCTTCCATGACTTGAAGATGCACATGCGAATGCTACGCACCAGGGTGCCGAACTCCGGCACCGCAAACGCGATTATTATGCACCATATCCACGCGATTCTTTCCTCCTCGGGCAACGTCACCAGGTATTGGTTCTCTCGGTCTATAAGAGGACGCGTGATAATAATTATCGAGGACTGAAACTTGGAAATAATCGTCGGATATTTATATGAATGTATATTTATTATTTTTTACTCTTTCCTTCTATTTCTTTATAACCGTTCATTTAAAAATAAAATTATTTCATTTATAATACACAATCTTTGCTGTTCGAATTAATCAGAATTGAATTTATTTGATTGGATTGGGTCGAGTAAACTTTTCACCAGGATAAAATTTATATTTAAGTCTTACCCAATTGTCTGTTGCAGTAGAGTATTTTTCTGTCCTGTCGGAGCTGCGACGTCATGAAGAGAATCGTGCCCTTGGCGACCACGCCGCTTCCCAACACTATGACGAAAACAAGCAGGTAAACGAAGACCTTGATCACCTGCACCATCCTCTCCAGGCATTTCTGGTTTGCCATGGAACCCGAGTTCGAGTCGGACTTCATTGGCGGGTTCCGGAACACGTCCCATCCTTTTGTCTCAACGATCGTACGTTGACTACGTTACAATAATTAATCGCTTATTAATCAAAACATCATTGATTAGCAAATAAAAATTTAGTTGGCATAGGCAGCAATTTTTTTTAAATTAAATCTCGAGAGAAAGAGAGAAAGAGATTTCAATCTTTTTATTTTAAATAATCGATAGTAATCTAAACTAAATTATCTCATCTCAGCTTTAATTGTAATAATATATCTTCATCTAATTAATTTTAATAATTTTCGCCTTTAATTGGAATTTAATCTAACTTCCAATAATCCAATGTATATTATTTATTCTCTTTAGTTTTCAATTTTTCTCAACTCTAATTCCTTTGTTTTAATTTTTAATTTTATTTAATTTTTTCGTCCTTGAAATCTTGGTTCTTAGAGAGAAGAAATTATTAATAATGATGAAATAGTCATACCTGCCGGCATAGTCCTGAGTCAGAGGAGTGCTTTCACCATCTGAAAAATCATCCGGGCCGGTAATACCTCCCGGTATTACGCCATTCTGATGTTGATTCTTCGCCATTCTGCAAATTGATAATTTATCTCAATTATATTTCCAATTCTTTTATTTTTAAACAACTAATGCAATTGTTATAATTGAGACCGTTAAGGAATAATGAAAAATATTTTTTATGTTGCGAGCCTTCAGGGAGTGTAAGAATTGAAAATCGGATGAACCAAATCGTCAACATCTAGATCTCGAGTGTATTAAAATATATATCGAGATTTAATATGTAAAGCCGATATATTTTTTCCTCTTTTGGAAAAAAATTACTAATTATTAATCAAGATTTCATTACATTCCGTCTAGAAATGGTATTATAAATTATACAATCTTTTATCCAAACTATATGACCAAAAAATTCGATAAATAATGATCTACAGGGGTGCAAAAACAAATTAACAATAAAGAGCAAACCGATAATAAAATTTAATTGAAAATATTTCTTTTGACGTTGACAAAATTTTTTATTTTTATCGCGGCTCCTCCATTTGTCTTGTACGGCCTTTAACTTCTTTCATCCTTGAGTTTACGATCAGCGAGATTATTTATTGCTTTATTGCTTAACGACAAGTTTATTATTTTACTTTAACAATCAACAGTATTTTTCTTTCCCTCGTTTACGCGTTATTAGCCGTGACCGTAATCCAGCGAACGCTAATTAATCGCTAATCTATCATTAATCAATCCAAGTCGCTGCGGTCCGCGGGCCCGACCTCGTAATTTTCAACGTACGGTGACCTAACGAACTTGGCGTTTATCACGGCGTGATTGCGCGTTCGCGCAATTATCTCTCCTCAGCATCTGGCACACGTCCCCCCGCACAGGGTCCCGGGTACGGCGCGCGTATCTTTGTTCGGCGCGGGCCCGCGAGCCGCGGGTCGCGGGCCGCGGGAGAGAGATCCGGGGTTTCTGGTTCCTGGACTACGGTTGAAAGTGAAAGGGAAACGAAACGAACGACGTGGCAGATAACGTAGCAAGGACGTCCACTGTAACTCGACGGCTCCGCCGCCGCGCCGTTCCGCGGCCGTTGTCGCCCTCGAGGCCGTGCCACGGTCCACGGGTCCACGGTATCCCTCGGACACTCCTCCGCGCATCCCCCGGACCCGGACCCGCCCGTCGGCGTCGTTCCTAAAAATCCGTCGGCGCCGCTTATGTTAGCTAGTCCCTACGTGCGCATCCCTCTTGGCCTTTTCTTTTTCGCGCTCTTTCATCTCCTTCTCTTTCCTTTTCCTCTTCGTCCTCGCGTTTTTTCGTCTACGTTTCTCGATAAGGAGACGACGCGTCTCGTCGCCGCGATGTAACCGCGGAATGCGTTTTCGTGAGGCAGGAGAGAAGAGATCCATGAAGCGAGAGATGCTTGTTTCAATTCGCGGCTATATTGACCGATAATTAATTAAATTGATTATACATTAATTACATATAATAATTATTGTACTATTTATTGATGAAATCTTTTATATTAATCAATTGACATGAATTTTAATTGCTAATTAATTATTGATTAATTTAATAAATATCGTTTAAATGTGAATTTTTTGTAGAAAATTTTTTTTTTATGCTTTTTCTTAAATCGTGAGAGAAGCGTATCTGAAAGTTTACTACAAGATTATTTCAAATTCGTATTTTATGAATTATATTATATTATATATATAATGAATGTTGTACACGCATTACAAAATTATGGAAAGTAGTTTATAAATAATAGCATAAATAGATAATATCCAATTTTTTAAAATTGTATTTACAGAATGACGAAGAAACATTTACTTGGTACAATTATTCATTTAGCTTATACAATGATACCAGAGGTCAAGATAATTCTTCGCGTATATTAGATTTTTTTCTCAATCAATAAAAAGTATCAAGGAAAGACACTTTTCTAATTTTGAAAGTTTCAATTTCTAACCGATTTTTTAAATTTTTCTTTTAGAATTCTCTCAGAGTCACGTCGAAACTGAGGAAGTCGCGTACCGTTAGCTACCAATTCGGAATAATAAGTTTCTGGGACGATGCACGCGATCGGGTGCGACGAACTGTTATTGCTTGCGAAAGGGAATGCGGTTGATCGGAGACAGCCGGCAGTGGAGAGCTAAATTTCTAATAATCAGTTAGATTATACTGATTATTGCACCCTGCATGAATTACGACACAAGCGTCGTGATCTTGCGTCTTATTCGTCGAGAGATGTAGCAAAAGATTCATCCGATAAAAGACGGATGACTGGTCAAGAATGACGTAAGCATTCCTTTGTTAAAACTAATGAAACGTTTGTTTAATAAAAGATCCATTTATCAAAGACAGCGAAAGACTTAAATCAAAGTTCAATTTGTTGAGGACAATAGAGGATCTAACAACTTTGTAAAGAGAACGAAGATTATCTAATAAAAATCTATTTATTGCAGGGTGAGAATAGAGATGAGATTAGAAAAGGATAAGTGGAAAAGTCCGTTCGTCGATACCAAAAGGATTAACCCAACGGGTTAAAAGGCTTATTTATCTCTCGTCGATCTTTCATCAAACTTTCGACGAGACAGGATATGCAGCGGACTCCGGGACGAGGATCGCCAAAGAATTTCGCTCCGCGAGTGTGAGTGTGAGTCACATGTGCAGAAAAGAGCCAGAGTTCTCGGAGGAACGCGAGGTCACGAGGAAAGGAACGACCTTGCCACGGAGAATATATTTCGAGAATGGATTTTAACGCTACGACGATCGGCAGCCGGATCCAGTTCATCGTCCCCGATCGCCCGATCGTGTGGGTATGTAGTATGTATGTGAACCAATGTTTTTTCCGATCATTCCTAACCGTCTGCCTCATCGCACATTGTACATCGCTTGCTTCTTCACCGAGGAAGCAGGATCCTAGCGAGTACTTACCCACGATTTCTCGCCGATTACGTGTATACACAGGATGCACCGTAAAGCGTAGATCGGTATCGGTATCGAACGTCGATCGCTCGAGTGATTTGTACTTATATCTCTCGTGGCTAAAATTCTCTAATGGTGCAATCGCACTTCTTCGTTTGTCCTGTTGTACTTTACTTAGGTTGTCTGCAGTTTTGGATTAGATTACATTTAAAATCCAAATTTGATATAATTATATTATACTATATTAATTTTAAATAATAGCCATTATACTTTTCTGTCGGCGGAAAGATTTTTGCGTAAATGTATGTTTCATTAAATTGTTCGTAGATATTACCATATTTAATAATTTAACGATACAGATTAGTATAATCGTATTGATTTATTTATCCAAGTTTTAATTTCATATACGATACGTTTCAATAATTAGCATTATTGAATTTGGTTCCAGCGGAGGGGGTGGCTTACCTCGCAATCTTTCGAAAGATTCGCGATCGAACTCTCGAATGAATTTTCCGCCAAAACGTAGCTCCGTTGCGCTATTTTCTAAATTCTCCTCACTATCGCAATCGCAGCTCATTCGCAACTCCGTGTACACTGCGTGCAAGTCGCGCGAAACTCTCGACGATGGCGGTGGCGTGTATCCCGCCTCATAACGCGTTTACTTTCTCTTCTTCCCTGCGTGTCACGCCGCCCGCGGTAACGGTAACGAAATCTATTTCTGCGAGACCGGAGACAGCTCCTGCGATCCATCCGTTGGCCCGCAATGCGATCGTCTCGGATTCGTGAGGACGCAGAAAGTGAAAACGCAGGAAAGATTTTCCCGCGACGCTCTCCTCGCGCACGCGAAAATCCCGCTCCGATTTTATCTATTATCCACTATTTTATCTATGTCACACCTTTGGATTTGCAACGCATGCTGCATTTCCGTACAGTGAATCGGCCGCGCGATTCCGGTAACTGATATCGGCGATATTGACAATGCATGAGGAACCCCTATCGTTGCGCGCGCGATTAATTGCCTAATGCCTTGAAATCGCGATAATATATCTTTCGATATTCTACACGGTGGAAAAAACCGGAAGAAAGACTTATCGCTAGGGATTCACCACACGTTAATATCGATAATCTCTTTCGCCAATTTCCTCTTATAATCAATTTTTAGACAATTAAAATGACAATAAAACGGCGGATTGTTGACAATGACTCACGAGATGACCGAACTCGGCCATCCGATAAAGAGCTTGCGCGCTTGATGACATATCGCGGACAAGTCGAAAAATTTTGCAAGACGGTTGAAGACGCACTTCCTGGTTACGCTATCGCGCGTCTTTGTCGCCGATACACGGCTGTTGACCGCGAGATCGGATCGGCGACGATCGGCCACGACCCAAGGATCTAACGCGGGCGGGATCGATGGATCACCACGCGCAATTACACGCGGATCGGCGATAGTGAAAGTAACGGGCGCAAGGTCACGCCGTTCCATGCATAAATATGCAATTATCGTCTCCCTGGGGCCGCGATCTCTCGCAATGCACCGTCTCGTCACGGGGGGATTCGCACGCCGCGACGCCGCCCCCTTACTCATCTCCCAAGACGATCAATGAAGCTCTGGGAGTAAATGCGAGACCGTTTCGTCACGGCCGCGGCGCGGCGCGGAGCGTTCGCGCTGTACGTTCCCGTTACGGTATATCGTCCCCCCGACTCCTTTCGTCATTATCACTTTCTGGACCGTTCGCTAGATTCCTTAACCCTTCGTGTAGATTCGCGAGAGTTTGAAATCTCGGAATCTGCATGTATAAATTTTGCTCGGCTTAATATTAATAACTGCAACAATAATTCTTACTTTACGTTTTCCATTATCTTCGGTTTCTTTTAGCTTTATTATTTTTTTAATATTATTTATCAAACTCTCATCTCTTCTCATTTTGTCGTCGGATTGTAAGGTCTTAAAATCTTGAAATTTTAATCGTAATAAACATAAATTTTGTTAACATTATTCTAATATTAATAATTTAATGATAATTATTTTAAATTCCATTACTCTCAAATCTTTTCAGCTACTATTTTCTTATACTGTTTGTTAAATTCTTATTTCTTCTCATATATCTCGATGTTGTTATACAAAATCTTGAAAATCTCGAAATTTCAATTGTAATGAACGTAAAGTTTTCATTATGTACATTGAACACAAAGGTACATTTGAGCGCGCAAAGTTCTAAAATTTTAGATTCTAGTTGACCTACACGAACGTCATTCATGCTATTTTAGTATGTCATAAATATTCGAGTTTCCACTGGTACCCCCACGATTCGCCGGATTCTGCGTCATGACGTGCGTGAAATCCCGAAATCTCGGAATCCGAAGCTTCCCGTATGGAAACTTCAGGCGCATAGTTCTCGCGTAACAGCGTAAACGGGGCACGCAACAAAACTACTTTCATTTCTGCTCGCGGCGATTAATAAGTAGGAAGTTAACCCAGTAAAGCCGTGATTATAGCATAAAGGATCTTGATTAAATAATAATTCTATATTTTCGAAAGTTCACGGTTTAGATCTTAAAATTAAGTCGTCAATAATTTTAGAAACTTGAAGGCGTGTAGAATCCTTGTAAGACTTTCGATCCACCAGAATAGAGAGCCGTAATTATAATATAAGCGATTTTAATTAAATCGCGACTGATTCTACTTTCTAAAAAATTTTCGGATTAATCTGTTGAAGCATCAAGTAGTTGATAATTGAAATTTTGGATAGTTGGAACTTTAAGAAACCTTTGAAAAACTCTTAAGCGTTGAAAAGAAATAAAATCACGATTTACAGAATTTCAATTACATAAAAAAAATGTTTTTAATTGAATGCAATTATTTTCTTGAAAAACACTATTATTATTATCAGGCATTATTGAATCCTGATGGTAAGTTTAATGAAAGATGATTTGTTATTAAAATTATTTTATGTCCAATAAGATAAATAAGATAATCAAATAATATCAAAGCGATGACGATGATAATAATAATAATAATGATAATGATAATATTTAATATCATAATACTAAATAAGCAACAAGATTTAAAATAGACTAGAATCGCGTGGAATAAAATGTTCCTTCTGAAAAGGAAATGTTGGTCGCTAGTGATTAATAAACAACAGCTGCTAATTGTCGATAACGTTTAAGTGTTAGTAAACACAAAGTTGGCGCTCGCTGATGCGGTAATTGCTGAAAAGAATAGAAGAAGGACAATAAATGATTTCTTACTTGCTGATCGGACGATTCGTTTTCTATTGAATCCTTATCCTCGATATCCTCGCGACGCAGGCGGTCATAGTCGTCGCGTGAAACCGAAGGGTCGCATCCGCTTCCTGGATCCACTTCTCCAGGATGCTCGAGTCGATCGACGAGGCTGCCAGGCTGGTCCGTTCCACCGTAGTTTCGCACGCTCTCTCCCTCTCTCCTTCTCTCTCTTCTCTCACTTATGCTATATCCGTTTACGTCGATCGCGAACAATGTGAAGCGGTGGGTGTCACTTGGTACTTCGGACGATGAGAAAATTGTCGCGACGTCGTCGACGACGTCGGCGACGAGATCGCGCAAGATTGCCGGAATCGGTCAGGTGAAAGCGGAGTCGAGGTGAACGTCGGCCGAACGACGACTGCCGTGGCATCGTCTACCAAGGTACCAGAGGCAGTTCTCGAGGAGGGCCTCCCCCCGCTTGCCGATCGGTGGAGTACTTTCACGAGAGAGTAGGTAGAGAGCGAGAGGCAAGAGCCGAGCAGTTGAGGCGAAGCAAAAGTGAGAGATTTCAACGCGAGGGACGCAGACTCGCGGGCCACCGCACCGTCGCGCGTCATCCACCATCCTAGAACGCGCAGTCGCGATTTTGGAGCTGTTATAGAAAAATCAACAACTTGTTTTCTTCATTTTTCGAGCCGCTAGAGATTTTTCCTCGAGACGACAGGTCGACCGGGTCGAATGTCCGCTTTCTTCTTCTGTGCGAGCTCTCTCTTGGAATGTCGAAGTAGGATGTTGCCTACGGATTGGCAACGCGCATTGCGATCGCGCAAAACATTTTGCCGATCCGCAAGGCGAACGGTAGCGATAGGTACGCATAACTGCAGGAAGTTTCCGGAAATGCGCTTCATTCTTGAGAAATGTGGAATGTTATAATTGTTCGTAAATGTCGCCTTCAAGCCGGTTCCCTTGAACCGAAGCTATATTTGCGCGATGACGGGTGAATGACGGCGATGAAAGGTGTCAATTTATGAAACAAAGGTTTTCTAAAATTAAATTTTTTTAAAAATCATTTTTAAGCGGTCAATTCCGGTGTAATTTGCTGAAGCTCCTTTGCACTTTATTTTTCTTATTTAGTGCATGACAATGTAAACTTTTAACTTGAGATTTGTCCAGTTTAAGTTTTCTATCGGTTTGTCATAATAATTTTTAATTATAATTAATAATAATATTAAATAACATAATGATAATATCTAATATAAATATATAATTATATATAATATAGTATTATCTAATAATAAAGTATAATTGTCAAATTATCTAATGTATAATTATCTATGATGCACTTCGAACTCTATTGTTACTTCGAAGTCATTACACTATTCAGTATTCATAAATGCAAAACATTCTCAATAACTTTCAGCTATACGCACAAGAAATGACATTCTGCTTAGACAAAACTGCTTAGAAATCTGATTACGGTGATTTACATTTTTATCATATAATTACATAGCTCATTAAGCATCTATTGATACTCAACTATTATTCATTATTAGATGAATGGTTCTCAAGCTTCTTTCGTTGGCAAAAGATGTGGTGTCTAAATAATTTCGTGTCTGCTTTATCTTCCCGAATGCCGTTGTTGTTTCTTGATTATTTTTTTTGTATAGAAACGTGTATTACAAATACAGTACACACATAAATCTCAAAAGTTTGATATTTAATTCTCTTTTCAAATTATCTCATAATCTCTCTTCTTCTTTCTCCTAAATTTTAGTCAGAATTTATGTTTTATCTGATAAGCTCAGAGCATTAGAAAAATGTTTATATCACGCGTTTGCTTTAAAAATATCTATGCGAAGAAGATAAGATACGTCATGTTGAATGAGAACTTGTTTTCATGACCTCAAGGTGTATATTATTGATTAATCATTTTACTTTGAATACAAAATGTTCCATCTTATTATTGGCATTTTCTCTAAAATGCATCTTGTATTTTATAAAATCGCAAAGATATAAAAAAGGCAATTTCATATGCAAATAATGTCATCGTGAAAAACAAACAATATATGTTTTTCAATGTTCCACGTTTCAATCAAGTAATTTTATTTACAATAATAAGCGAATTTTATTTTATTTATTTTTTACATATTCGTCAAATATCTCATATATTATTATTTATTGTAATTTGTAATTATATTGATTAATCAAAGTTTAATATTGAAAAATAATTGTGTCTTCGAAGAAGTCAAGATTAAATTGCGATTTACATTTATGAGCGATAACAGCTTCAGTTTTGCCAAATTACTTCGATTGTCGCTCCGAAATTTAAGATTAACAATAAGGGTCTATTCGGCAAAGACAAACACGATAACGATCCGGAAATTGCTTTGAATCTTTGAAAATTTATCTTGGTGCAGGAAAGTCGCGTTCCGTTGAGATAAGATTTTCATTAAAGTCAACACGTTAATCGATGAATTTATATGTGTAATACGAATCATCCAAATACATATACATAGTATGCGTTCATATACATACGTATGTATAAAAATTGATTTGCCCTCGGATCTGGGGCACTCTATATGTAATATGTCTTGCGTACATACGTGTACGTGTACGTGTACGTATATGCATTTACATCATCAGAATCACAGATCACTCTTCGCGCTGTTAAGATATTAACGCGGCATAAAATGGTTTAGTGGCAGATTAAAGGTTGAATAATAATAGCGTGTATCGCTCGATGCAAAAGCTCGACTACGGCGAACGCGTTTCAATTGCTTTAATTGTTTCAAATTATCTCAATATTGCGAGCAATTATAAGGGATCGCGTGACCCGACAATATTTTCATTCGATATTAAATGTAACGGTAATTTAATTCATGCCTGCATGTCGAGATTGTCAAGACGTTAACGCGTTCCTTCAGGAAATCACGGATCGGCAAATTTTTTGCAGTTAATCGAGTAAATGTTGACATTGACCCCGACAACGCAAGAAGCAGATGAGAATATAGTTCCTCGCGCACGTTGGTCGGTCGAACTCTTCTGACTTTCGAACCTAAACAAGAATTGCAGCTGTGATTTTGATAATAAAACAAACAAAAAAATTAGTTCGGCGTAAACCAACAATAGTACACATTATATTTCACACACACATGCGTTAATTCATCTTCTATTAACGCATTTTTTAGTTCTGTACAAAAAATTCAATATGCGTTCGAGATAATATCGCATTAGGTGATAATTGCATCGACGATATTAATATATCGTTTTAAGAAAGGCACTTAATTTTTTCTCAAGAGCGGTATTTTTACATTTAATAACATTGCGCGATAATCTTATTTTAAGAAATAATCTCTATTGCATCATACACGTATCAAAAATATTAATATTTCTACTTCAAGGATCATCTGTCTTGTGAATAGAAACATTTTAAAATATTTATTTTTATGTAAACGTTTACAATTGCAAAAATTCTGTATATAGTATCTTATATCAATATATCTTATAATATACGATAGTCAGTACCAAAGTATAAATGCCTCCCAATTTTTTTCTTTCGAATCTGCCGTCATAGAAAATTCGCGTTTTACTAAATAGTTACTTGAAGTCTCTATAGTTGCATTATGTTAAGTGTTCTTATGATTATTTACGTGAGTATGTCACACGAGCAGTTCGAACTGGTATGTGTTTCAAATATCCGTAACAGACAAGGGTAGTGATTGAACCTCTTACCGTGGAAGAAGTGAGTCCTATTGAAATCCATTTGCATTTCAGAAATTGTGTTATCATAAACATTTCTGAGACGCGAATTTCAATGTCATTCAGCAGAAAAAGCAACTCAGCGAGCGATCAGTATTTTTTTTAAATAATTGGAGTCTTGTCTTTAGTTTTTTCTTGGAATCAAGTGTAGAAATCAATCGTAATAAAGAATCATTGAGCGCTCATTGAACTGCTTTCCCCGCTGAACGCAGCTACTAGAACTCACTTCTTCCACAGTAATTATAAGAAATTCAACCATTGCCCTTATCTGTTATGCATATCTGAAACACACACCAGTTCGAACTGCTCGTGTGACACATTAACGTAAATGATTACAACACCACTCAACATGGAGACTTTAAGTAACACAACTCACAATCATGGAAACACAAAATTTTCTATGGCGACAGATTCGAAAGAAAAAAATTAAAAGGCATTACTCTCGTACCGACCCTCGTATAAATGTAAAATTGTATGTGTGTGATAATCATAGATACACAACGTGCAATAAATAAAATTTTCAAAGCGGAAACTTGTTTATTTCCCTCTTGTCAGTGATTGGCAGAATTATGAGAAGAAGAATAGAAGAAAAAAAAAGGTAGAAAAAAAACTTGAGAGATTTATATCACGTGTGTTCCTTATTGCTTATCACAATACGTGCATGCACATATCACACACGCTCGCATCGCGGGAAAGGTTTAAAGGTCAGGCAAATCATAAGGATTAGTGCGCGGTTCATCTAATTGTAAGTAGTAACAGGCGAAGCTGTCGTGTTGCAAATCGTACATATGTACTATATATTTAAGACTTATATATTTGTATATATATATATATATATATATAAAATTATATATATTTTATATAAAGCCATTTTGCGAAAAACTATCCGACAATATGAGATAATCGTGCGCGAGGCCAATATCTGAGACGGCAAATTATAATAATTTAAGCACAAAGTAGCAAAAAAAGTCGACTATCGCCAAAAAGGTCAAGAAATACAAAGATAAGGGAAATACGTGATAAAACGTTATTAGATTGTCCTGTTTCTACGGCAATCATCTTGAAATAAAAAAGACTTTAACGTCGAAATTTTTCTTATCAAACAGATGTCAGGGGATCAGCCGTTTATCGCAACTTCCTCACTTTCATTATATTATCGTATGTCTCTGCAATTAAGCAACAAATTAAGATTCCGTTGAGGTAAAGTCCGCTTGAGATTAACTGAAGAGTATAATTTTGCAACCAGGTATTTGTTTCATAAAATTTGTCAAGAGATCCTTATTTTCAATAAATTTACTATTTGACAGCGATAAGCTGCATAGTATTTTCGTTAAGAGAAAAAAATCTATGCTAAATCAGCCAAAGAAAAATGCACTGGAAAAACGGGATATTCTACGTAAGGTTCAAAAGCACGTCGAAAATAAAACAGAACATTTTTGAATTGACGCTTACAATTATAATAGCATTTTAATTAATAAGTGTGCACAAAATATGTTTCAATTTTACTTTCAAAAATATTTTCTATTTTAAATTTCAATTTTTCCAACATATAGATTCTAAAATTACAAAATTTATTGAATTTAAAAATACAATTTATTTTTCAAAATATCACAAAAGAACAACTGTTATAAATATAATTATTATTGTTAAAATTTTATCTAGAAATTACATTAACGAATAGAATATAATGCGGACATAACATATGTATCGCTGAATATTAAAAATAAAATATCCTATGTATTATGTTATATGTTTAGCGTATGTTTGACACGCGTACTTTTAAACATGTTTTTACAACGTCGAAACATAATATAAAATATTAAAAACATGTTTTAAACGAAAGAAATATAACAAAATTTGTTGCTTTTGAGGAAAAATATCTATCGAGTGACAATGTCTTTATTAGCACGTGCTTGAGAACGCGTGTTTCTCTTAAATTCGAATAATATTGATTCGGAAAGATTAATCTCGGTACGCGGAGACGCACGAAAAACAATCGACGTAAGTACATGTGTACGGCGCGACGTCACACAGTCATCTCGAGGATCTATCAGTCGAAGTACACATGTCCCCTCGAGCTAGATCAGTGCGTACTGTACTCATGGCGGGGTGATAAGCGTGATCGAATCCATTTAGATTTAGATAGTCCGCGTGCACGAAGCGGAGCGTGCATAGTCGAGACCGGGATTGAGCAGATCGCGCCTCGCCCGTCAAATATATCGTCGAAACCGTGTTGTACTCTTGGAAATCCTGAAAGAAAATCAACGATTGCTAATTAAAAATTGATAGTAACGTATCGTGCGCGATAGCTGAATTACGAGTGTATTATGTTCGGAGAGCTCCGATCACGCACATTTGAGAATCTGAGAGGCTCCGATTTGTTCTTATAAACCGGTACGGAGCCGTTGACTTTGCAATAGGACCGCAAATCGCTCAAATTCGGACCCTCGGACCGTCCTCATTCAGTCATGAATTCTGTTATAGAAAATTTAAACGTTAAAAGTTCCGGTGTCACGAGCGGTCTTCACGAGAAAAATAAAGATGGTAAGTAAATGACAATTAATCGTAAGACGCATGAAAATCCGAATTTTCAAGATAATTAAATTCTTAATTATCTTGATTATTATAACTGTCTTGATTAAGATAGTTAAATGCCGCAAGAGACTTAAGAAATTTTAAAAATAATTTCTAGTATTTTTGGTATTCAGTTTTTCTAATCTTTTTATTTAAAACAGACAGATATAAATCAATATACTTTTTAAATTTTTTAAATGCATATTTACTAAATTTCGGAGAAATGATCTTTTTTGATTGAAATTTATCGAAAGCATTTTCTTTACTTATTTCAGTTTTTTTTTAATTAAATAATTTTGTTAGGAAACCGCGTTTAATTAATTTCTCCTATGCGAAGTTTACATCGAATTTTAATGAGCTTATTATTCGCAATCTTATGTCTCATGTTTTATGTATTATAAACATACTTATGAACGTATTTACGACCGAGTGTTCGACGAGCTAAGGTTTTGTGTATTTATAGATATACTAAGCCGTCTGTATTGGAGACCTCCTTACAACTGTGATAACTTTTCAAAGTTGATAATAAACGTTGATATACTAATATATATCGTGCTGTTATGATTTAGTTGCGTATATTCACTTTTTGCTTGAAAATGTTTAATAACTCAAACATTTCGCCGCTTTTCCACTAACTGCCGCTGTTACTTGAATTAATTTTCAAAGAATCCTCGAGCTCCTGATTTGAAAAAACAAGTTGAACAAAATAAATAACACATTGTGCTTTTCTAGAAGTTCTTAACTACAAAACAGCAATAAAGTTACAAAATAATTGTAACAGCAGCAAATGAATTCTTATATACATATATTTACATTTGATTATTATTACTATTGTATTTATCCTAATACATAAAATGAGTTCTCATATTATAACTTAAAAGTCGATAATCAACAAATGAAAAGACATAAAGGAAAACATGAGAACGAAACAATAACAATTAACTTAAAAATAACGTCGAACGGTCGAGCCTATTTCAAAAAGAATTATTATCATAGTATTTTTTAATCAGGAAATTGAGAAAGAGAGAGTTCATTTTAGAAAAAGTCAATGAAGTCATGAGCATGTCGATTCATAAAAGTTATTCGGCGCAGTTAGTGCGCGTGAACTCCAGATTCTTGATAAATATAAACCTACTCTCGCGTCAATCCGATATTTATTATCTGTGTTTTCTTTATCTGTATATGTAGATATACATATCTGCAGTGTACTATTCTCTTTTCAGCGGCCAACGGAAATGCGTCCACGGGTGTTTTACGTGAGGCGACCACCGATGTATTACGAAAAAGAATACAGGTGCGAAAGAATATCACTGACCTTGACTTAATCCGTGATTGGACTTAATGGAATGTGAACTAAGTAGTTTCGCGTTAAGTTTATCGAGCTAATGATCGTTGAAAAAACGCGACGGTGTCAGAGAGCCGTCACTCGAAAATTTTAACCGATAAGATATGGATTTTGTAAGAGATAACGTGCCTCTCTCCGGCTTATTGTTTTTTGTTGTAAGATGCATTTCTTCACAGGAAATAAAAGAGGATGTTTTGGGACACGTTAACAACCGTATTAACGACATGATGTCCGAGGTTTTGCAGAAAATAGATGTACCATCGGGGAAGAATGGAGAATTTTCGTACAGCACGGACAAATATCGCGACAAAAGGTGAGGAATTATATTCTCGTTACGTTCAAATCGGAATCATCAGGAGAGAGAGAGAGAGAGAGAGAGAGAGCGCAAAAAAATGCAAGGTATCTACGAAATATAGAGTACAGTAAATAGATAAAAATATTTGAAAGAATATAATAAAATTTATACATACTATAGAATTCTTTCCATGCTTTGGAATTTTGGCACATGTTTTGATATTAAAAATGTTATATCTAATAAAGTATAACATGATTGTGAAGCTGAATATCTCGAAAAAATTATTCCGAGGTATATTTTGTAATGTATCTACGAGAAAATAGGTATATAATGCAGTAGATATTAGAATAAACAAGAGATAGATAATAATTGGAATTCTCTTGCATCGTATTTTCTCTTATTATATTTAGGTCGTAAAGTTTCAAAGGTGTGTATCTAAAAAACTAATTACCTTATCTAGCCTCGATTTAATTTCTTATCATTAATAGTCATCAATCGGCAAATGAAGTTATATAAATAGTCAAATTGCGAATGAAGATGAAGGAATTAAAAAATAAATTCCTGAATATGCATATTTAACAGTTGCCGCAGTATTTCACAATCATTGTGGATTAACATTACGTTAAAACCACATTTTTTCCGTTAAAGCAAGAATGTGAACTTAACAAACTTGCACTTACAATTAGACGTATCGAGAAAATATATGATTGTGTATTTGCAATATGGGGATCATGTTTACATCTCTGATATTCTTGCAGGGAATCCAGCAAGAAAGATGCGCTGCCGGTTAAGGAGTTCCTTGAGAGGAATTCATTGCTCACCGATCTCTTCGAGATCCCGCACATTCGCACGGTTTATAATCTGTTCATGGTGACTCTCATACTCATGTTTTTCAACAATGTCGCGTCTGATATCATGGAAACGGGAACGTAAGTTCGCAACGTGGGGAACATAACATATTTAAAATATATTTTTATTATTTATAATGCCAATTAAATAAATATTTTTAGTCAAAACGTTTTTAAATTCAGTCTTAAAAATTTTTAAATATTTTTAGTTTAACAATTTTAAAAGATATTTTGCGATGTTACGCAGTGGATTTTACACTCTATCGTAATTTTATATTTATAATGTCTCATCAATCAAATTGTGCACTTTTTATCTGAAGTATGACGAGTTATCGGGGTTGAAGTGAACGGCAAAGTCATTTCATTATTGCGTCTGGAAAATTACTCGCGACAAGAGACGATAATTAAAATATCTATGCACTTATTCCAAGTGCGATGAATCTCCGTAAGAAAATAGAAAAACTTAATTAATGAATTAATTATGGGGTAACTTGGTCGGACTTAAGATATTTGTTGTTCATGTAGATTGTATGTTTCCTATGACATATGTCAACTATGCTTTAGTTCTTACCGCCTAATTTCTCTTAATTAATTAATATAATTGTTAAAGGGTCCACGTTGGTACCAAAACGTTACGGATTGGTTTCGCAAAGTTCTCAACGTGCCTCTATACTTGGTCGTTCATGCAGGCTTCGACATTCAGTGTCTACGTGGCCTTCACCCTCTGGGCGCACCAGCGACTCCGATTCTTGCCAAAATGTAACGATTTCTTCTATTCAAACTTAGATGAATGTACTTAATTTAATCATTAAGAAAGTTAAATCTATTGAGAAAAATTTGAAGTAAGATTAGAGTAATTTGATTGAAATAAGCATGCATATAAAATAAAATCTTAAATTTTTTGTCAAAAAATAATTATAAAATAATGATTGATCAATTGACCTGAAATATAGCGCACAACAACATAGTGCAAATATATTAGACAATATTGATTGATTTAATTTAAATAATCGTAACGATTTTTTCTTTTTGCAGCCTCCATCCGGAAATTTTGGGATTACGGCTGGCTATCAACATTTATATTATATCAAGTTCTCTTCATCGTTTTTCCTGTCAAGGTGCTGCTCGACAAGAATTTGTCCATAGGTTGCAGTTTCATTGTTCTTTTAGAACAAGTACGCATCTTTAAAAACCTACACTTATAGCCGCGTTGAATGATGACGTTAGAAGCGAAAAAAGTGTAAATTTTTCTTGCAAAGTATAAGTCAAAACAAATCGATTTTCTCACATCATTTATATTCAATAGTACAAATTGGTAACGTGTCGAAGACTTTCTTTCCGATTCGCGAATTAATAACAACTGTGCGATGAATCACGAGATTTATTCTTGCTAGAAATGTGGAACGTATGGAAATTAAATTGTACGTGCGTTTAGTGAGAATAAAAAAAGAGTTTTCGGTAGAAGAGATATTAACGTAATTCGTATTTAAATGAATTTTTATGCAATAATTCGCATATAATATTGCATAGAAGAATTTAGTATCTTGGATATGTTATTTCAATATTGACTACAGTCGATCTTGGAGTAAGGATTCTTTTTATTCGAAACGATATTTGCTTTCTTTAGATGCGCATGATAATGAAGAGTCACGCTTTCGTCAGGAGTGTGGCACCTAGGTTTTTGTCGTATAAACCCCATAACGAAACTCCACGACCGAGCGGCCCCAGGTTCTCACAATATTTGTACTTCCTATTTGCACCAACTCTTGTGTACCGCGACGAATATCCCAGGTAAAGATAGCTTGATATTTCATGATTTTTTCGGGGACATAGTAACTGTGCGATAAAAGAGATAACTCTAGTTGCATAATTATCAGATTTAATTTGTTATTTAACAGTATTGGGTCCAAACGACTTAAGAAACTTTAGGGAAAACTTCGAAGATCGTCCGCGAAATGTACAAGCAAAAAAAAAATACAATTGGCGATAATAAATTAATATTAAGAGACTTTAGAAGAAAGCGTATATTTAAACACGAATGATTTTTCTTAGGACGAAAAGAATCAGGTGGATGGTAGTGATTTGGAATTTTGCCGAAGTCGGCCTAGCGATCTTCTATCTCGCCTTCATCTTTGAGCGCTATGTAGACCCGGTCATAACGTTCGGCACACATCTGGAACAAAAGTGGCTCGTCAAGACTATCATCGAGTCTAGTCTACCCGGCACTCTCTACTTCATTACCGGACAATACCTCCTGCTGCACGCGTGGATGAACGCTTGGGCGGAAATGCTGCGGTTCGCCGACCGTTTGTTTTACAAGGTGAATATAACTCACCCCCCTTTAGTACTTAATCTGCCTCGCAAAAATTATACGTGAGAGATATGCAAATATCTTTTACGCACTATATAGTTTTAATGTAAGCGATAGCTTCAATATACGTAATAGGTAATAAGGTAATAGTAAGAAGTTCCCGTGAAACACGAAACAGAAGCATCTCAGGTTACATTTTGAAGCTTTAAAATGACTCCCGAAACTTGTTTACATAATTTCATGAAAGACGCATATTCGAGATAAATGTTTCTCTCACGCGAGAGAAGTCGCGATATTGTACCGATATTGTACCAAATCCGATAATTTTTCAGAAACTATTATGGACTGTCGACTTTTGTAAAATGTAACTTTATGAATTATTGTATCGTTTGTTACAGGATTGGTGGAACTGCACGACTTACCACAGGTACTACCGCACGTGGAACGTGGTAGTGCACGACTGGCTATACACGTATATCTATAAAGATATGTATGAGATCGTGGTACCACGCAATCGTACACTGTCAGCAACCACCGTATTCTTCGTCTCCGCCATCGTCCACGAGTACATACTCGCGTTCGCATTCGGCTTCTTCTATCCGGTGATGTTTATTTTATTCGCCGGCATAGGTTTCGCCATGTTCTTCGTTCGCAAAATCATCACCAGCAACGTTTTCATGTGGTTATCCTGGAGTCTCGGCAACGGCATCATGTTCAGTCTATATCCGATGGAGTGGTACGCCCGCTTCAACTGTCCACCTCATTCCAATTACTACTTGGACCTGTTTATACCGCGAAGCTGGACCTGTCAAGGGCAATTTGACACGTAGATCGTCCTATTCGCAGTGGTGAAATTATTCCCCGTGCTATCTGCTATCAGACACTGTTTATCAAGACTGTTATATACGAGTTTGCGTAATTAGTTTAAACTGATTAGAGCGAAGAACTGATTAGGTGTTAAATTGATTAGAGCGAAGAATAGTTCGTTGACGTAAAATCGTAATAAGAAGACCAACGGAGAGAGAGAGGTCCAAACGCAATTGTCAATGAACATCTTATTATTTTTGGATTGTGAAGTTAACTGCAACTTTTTCGCCGAAACATTAATTCAAATTCAAAGTGGACGAAAGTATTTTTTGCACTTTTGCTGGAACCCACCTGGTTGTCATAACTGATGACCTTCTTGACTCGCATGATTTTCAAACTATATTGCACTAAGCGAAGTGATAATATATTGCTCTTTCATGTTTCTCAGTGAAAATTATTAACTTTACAGTCGAAGACGTAAAGTACGGAGAAAAACTCAATCCAACTTATTTTTCGAAGATGCTAGACTGTGATCGATTCGTTTATTTATTTATTATTTCAAATTCCGTGTCTCTCCTCCTAAGAAGTCTTCCAAGCTTCGTTTCTAGTTGCTCCTTCTTTTTTTATTTTAAATTTCATTAAATTTAAAATTACGACTAAATTCGTAAATTATTCACAGAGAAACTAGAAAGGAAAACAATGCTGTTGTAATAAACGGCATGATATAAAATAAAAAAAAAGATATATAAAACTTATCGGAGGTGAAGCGGTATCATTGTGTGCAAATCGTTATATAATTTCCAACTACGAGGGGCGTTCAAATATAAATATAATAATGATTTGATTATTATTAAAAAAACCAAAAACAACGCACAGGTTTCAGTTACCTCACTTTTCAGGGTAGTCTCCCTCTTTTGCAATGCACTGCGATTGCGCCATCGGTCCGGTAACTTCCGTAATCGCGTAAAAAAACATTTTTTAGCAGACGCACTCTCGAACAGCTGCGATGACTTCCTCATTACAGGTGAACTTCGATCTTTCTAAAAACTCGGATTACTATCTCTTTGGACCACTGAAAGAGTTTTTAGGCTATTTTAACAGCCATCCGTAACAGCCAAAGGACAGAAGTAGCTGTTCGAGAGTGGGTCTGCAGTCAAAAAATTTTTTCTTAACGCGGAATACGGAAGTTATCGGACCGATGGCGCAGTTGCCTTGCAGAGCAGAGAGAAACTATCTTGAAAGTGATAACTGAAACCTGTGTTGTTTTTGTTTTGTAATAATCAAATTATCATTTATATTTAAACGCTCCTCATATTTTAATCAATAGAAGTAAAATCTGTATATAGAAAACACGTGATATGTCGAGAGGGTTCGGAGTCCTCTTAGACTTAATGATGACGCTCGATATCTTGAATTTCGAATTAATTGTAATTAGTTTTGTATAAAAAGGAATGTGCAAGAGTCATTAAAAATAAACGCAAGTTTATATAAAAAGGGATAATTTTTATAATTGAAGTTTTACATACGCCTCTCGATTTCCGCATGGCAACGAAGAAGACGTACGTATATCTTCCGCCCTATACAAATTAATTTATTTCATACAGTCGATACGCATATACAATCCTCTTCATAATTTATATGTATATAATTATTTTCTTTTCACTTTATGATATATATGTATATACATATTTACATAACTCGTGCTTCCTCCCTTTTTCTTCCTTTCCTTCTCTATCTCGCGCTTACAAAGAACAAAATTCAATGAGAAAAAATAGGAGACAAGTACACGTCCACGCGTACATATAATACACAGTTCATTGATTTCTCCTAACTTTACACGACTTTTGAGTCCCGTTCTCGATACTGCGACGAAGCTACTTCTTCGTCAAGTTTCTCCGCAAAAATAATCTATACAACGAGAATCGCTCTTTTGCCGGCACATTCGGCTCTTTCTCTCACCGTCTCTCTTTATCTCTGTCATTCTCTCTTCCTCTCCGATTTCTACTAGATCGAAAAATAGAGGAGGTGACCATATCTTATATTTATAGAGTTGTACATATCTTATTTATAAACATTTGTACCTAAATTTGCGCTCGTCCGCTCAGGCAGTCGCATAGTACTACATAGTACGTCGCGATGCAATACGATTAACGATCTTGAAAGCTACAGATCAGATCTCCTTTGTTCTCTAAAGTCAATCCTCCATTCCAGGCTTTCCTAACTGAACTGTCTCTTTCTAAATTTAAATCTCGTGACTGAGATAGAGGCCGGGTGAAGACATTTTCATTCATACATAGGGGAACGGGGGATAGCCCCGGACATTATTGAAATTCAAGTATACCGCGTATCTATGGCCATTGTTTAAACATTCTAATATACCCTTCTGCGTATCTCGACATATGCAGAATGTTTAAACAATAGCCATAGATATACGGTATAATTGAATTTTAATAATGTCCGGGGCTACCTCCCGTTCCCCTACTATTGGAATAAGGATGAAGACTTAAGGGAAATATTGAAATAGAAGAAATGTTCTTCCCACTGATGTTAAAGTAAAAGAAATCGCACATATACCTACATACGTGTACGTACGATTGTTTAACGTGATTTTCGTTTATTACGGGAAATATGTAGATGTGCGACGAAAACAAACGCGGAAGCGCAACGTTTATCAACACAGCACTGCTCTAAAATTCATTAACGACTAATTGGAACAATGAGCTTCTGCTCTCCGACGTTTTACCTTAGGATAAGGTAAGCAGCTATATAGAAAGAATCCATTTGCTGGACGATGTCGTTCGCAACGTACGAGATACCACGTCGATGCGAGCGTGCGAACGATTGTCTGGAAGAATTAATTTTGTACCCAAAATATATAGAAAAACGCTTCTTTCTCTCTCTTTCTCTCAGCACTTATTCAAGAGCACCTAATAATAAATAGAGATTTATCTCTTCATTTTCTCTCGCTTTTTTTCTTCGAGATCAACGAGATCGCTGATCTTTCAACCGCTTTCCATAATATTACTTCTAAATCCAGGAAAATAGCGAAATTAATTCACGTCTTTGTACACGTATTAAATATGTATACTAGACTTGGTATCCTTACTCCTTCCTCACTCTTGTTTGAATTAGCAATTTATTTCATTTTCCATCAGCCATGCTGAAGATCTTTTCCTCTTCTTCTTAGACACTGCCATAAGGACATAGTATGTTTCTTCTTTTTTTTTTATCATTGAATTTCCGATCATCTGGGTCACAATTCTGCATTTTTTTTTATTCTTCTTGGTTTTCTAAAGGATGCAGTACTTATCCTATTACCTTGGAATTTGTTTTTATTTCTGTCGCAGGGGAATATTTCATTAGTTTATACTATAAGAACTCTTTGTCATACACTCTGTAGATTTGATTGAATAGAGAAACGCGCTGCTCCTACAAATCACTCCACGCTTACACCCGAATTTCAGGGAAAAACAGACGTAGAAGGCACGAGGAGGAAAAGATGTCGCAATACGCTCCTCCGCATTCTTTCTTTATCTTTATACACAGCCTTTTTTAAAACTCTTGCTCGCACTGACATCAGAAACGTATATCACGCAGCCAGTATTCTCACTCGCATCATTGACAACGAAACGAAATTTCTTCCTAAAGAATTGTCCGAGGAAAGAACCGTCGCGAAAGGCGCTGGCTGAACGTAACATATCTCGTGAAGGGATTACGCAAGAAGGAAAATGGAAATCTTTCTTGGGAGACATTAAAAAAAAACGATCGATATACACTTGGCAGTGTTGGAGAATAGTTAATACGGCTTGACACGAGCTGTCGCATCATCGCCGAGTCAAGAAACCGGCTAACTTCGAATGATCACATTCGAGTATCCCGGAAGCGCGATATTTCCTGAAAACGGAACAGGAAACAGGATACCGAAACGATGGAAGGATAATGTTGCCGGTAAAAGAAAGGAAGATTTACGACGACGATGGACAATCTTTGTAGACTGAAAATCTAGAACGCCTCGGCGCAACCGATCCTGATTCACTTAGACTTTACTCCAATTGCGCTTGTCTCAGCTTTCTCAAAATACATTAATTAGATATATACGTTTCGTAATTCAATTAAGAAATATATACACATTTTGCCTGACGTAGTTGTTATATATCCATCTTTTAAAACATCGTAATATGTCCAATTCTTGAGGAATGCGCTGTTTATTTTAAAATTGGAAAATGCAGTCCTCGTAATAAACTCGAGTTAAAGTAAATTCGTGTATCAACGTATCTTTAAAATATCCAAACCAACTATCTGCTTTTAACAGTGAGTGTTCACATCATTGATGAAGAAAGGTTCGGTTTCGCTCTAATATTCTTTTCGTGCTAAGCATGAACGACACACCTATTCAAATTCTATTAAAGAATATCAAAGAGCAACGGGACCGCCACTGTGATCTTTAACGTGAATCAACTCGTACGACGCCAGAAAGACCGAGAAAGGACGTACGATACTTTAAGATAGATCTAGACAAGAGCGCGAACAAATATGAATGAATGACCTTGCTTCAATATATGCGGGCAGTGCCGCAATTCAAATGAGTCGAGAATCAATTGCGACGACAAACATGTTCCAACTCTTTTCTTTTCAAAAGAAAAAGCTTTCACTACAGTCGTTCATGTTTGTTCGTTTGTCCTTTAGTTTAGTCTTGATCGATCCATTTTGCATCGATCATCGTCACACGGTTGAAGTTCTATGGTTCTGCTTGATAGAAACTGATTTCCGCGCTCGCCAATTTCACAGTTTCTCTCTCGCTTTTTTTTCTGTAACACGCATTTACACACATATTTACGCATTTCCATTCATCTCTTCGAACGGAAAGCAGAACCAAAATACACTCTAGCATTCTTCTCGCATTTAAGCTTCAAGTACATCGACTTGACCGTCCCAGGAATACGAAATACATCTTGGTATTTGAGTTTTTCTGAGTCGGTTATAACGGTCAATACGGAGACTACAATAAAAAATCTAGCCAATAACATATATAGAGTGGTCCATCAGAGTAGAGAGAAGGAGAGAAGGAGAGAATGAGAGAAAGAGAGAACATTCGAATAATTTCTAAATTCGAAGAAAAAGATGGGTACAATTTGTACAATTTTAAGAGAAAAGTTCGGTGTTCCCGTTTCCGGTGGGATCTCTTCCCCGGTCTAGAACGTAGATGAATGAAAGAAGCGAGTATTCTCTCTTTGTCTTACAGTTTGAGTAATCTTCATTTGCCCATACCGACCAGCGCCTCGTCCATGAGCTCGTCGTCGGTGATACAGGGTGACGCGGATGAATGGGGGGAAGGTGGAATCACTCGGGGGCTCGGTGCCGGGCTCTTGACGATGTGCACACTGACGGACGGACTCGCGGCAGGCGGGAATGGAGCCGGAAGCGGCGGCGGGGGCGGCGGTGGAGGTGGGGTATTGCGACGCACCGTTGGCGCGGCCTGGGTCATCGCCCGCTCCGGGATCGTTGTCAAGTGATGCTGCGTTAAGGAGGCCGGCAGACCGTGACTTCCCTTCGTCATTTGATCTTTATTCACCGCGGAGAAGTCCAGCAGCATCTCTGCCGCCGCCGCGGCTGCCGCTGCCGCTACCTCCTGTTCTCCGCTACCACTATTCCCACTGCCACCACCGCCGACGCTGTCGGATGTCATGATGCTCTGATTACCATCAGACGTAGTCGCGACGCCGCCCAACGACGAGAAAATCGATGACGATGATGACGAGGAAGATGATGATGTGGAGGAAGACGACGACGACGACGATGACGAAGACGACTGCTGCTGTTTCTTCTCCTCGACGGTGATCTTATTGTATTTGGTTTGCAAAGTTGCCTGATCGGCGGGCTTCGTACTCAGATTCAGGCTCTCGGCAACGATGACGGCGCCGCTCGGCGCGGTCGAAGCGCTGGAACCCGTCATCGTTGCGTAGGACTTGGCACCTGACGACGCCAACTGATCGGGAACGTTGCCCTTGGGGAGGATCCCGCCGGCGGTTGTGTCGTCGATCTTGCCGAGAAACTGCTGACCTGTCGACGTTTGTCTCATTCCTAAATCCTTGCAAGAGTCGCGAGAAGGCTCGTCCACCATCGGTTGAATGCACAGATTTGTAGGTACATCTGGATCGGCAGCCGATTGCGGAGGCAGCATCAACCCAGCGTTCTCCCCGACGAGATTCAAGGATATCGCACCGGCTGCGGACGTGGCGATTGACAGATTGTCCAGTTTATTCTGCGAATGGTCCCGTCTCGATTGGTCGTCTGGTATCGACGACTTGGACACCGACACAGTGACGTTGGGCAGACCGGTGATCTTACCCTGTTCCTGTTTCAGACCGTCGAGAGTCTGCTTGGCGGAATCGGACAGGATCGACAGCTTATCCGATGATTTGTTCTTATCGCCGGTGTCTGCGACGTTCGCGCGCGCCGACAGCTTCGGTATCTGAAATTTAGTGTCTAGCTGCTTCCTCAAGCCCTCCATCACTAATTGAGGTGGCAGGCTTGGCGGAAGGCTGGAAATAGACGCGTGTGCGGCTAACAGCTTGAATGCGCGCTCGCTCTCGCTCTCTTCGCGCAGAGCGGACGGGCTCGACTTCCTGGCATCACCAAGACCCTTCGACGCGAATATTCCCTTGTCACCAGATTTCGGAAGTCTAGGCTTGTCTCGGCCTCGACTAAGATCAGTCGCCCCGGAGCTCGTCTTGGGTGAACCGGAAGCTTTGGAGGATGAGCCACCCTTTGATAGGGGGATGCCCCCTGTTGCGGTCGCGCCAGTGATACTCGCACCACCACCAGTATTCGTCGCACCCGAGGAAGAGATAGCGGACTTTATACCGGCAGTGGCTAACATCATCTTCGCGGGAAGCAATTTCTGTGCAGTCTGCAACGTTTGCGGTTTCTTCGATGCCGGTCCAGAATTTACGCCAGGTTTGAGACCCGTATTTGTCCTTGGTGAGCCATTGCTGCCGGGAATTACATTGCTGGATGATGACGACGATGACGAAGAAGCGACGGACGACAAGGAGCTCGAAGATGAACTCGCAGCTGCTATCGTTCCCGACGATAACTTCAGGTTGGCAGCCGACTGCTTGGAATCCTTGGTACGAGTTTTGTTGATAGTGATCTTGATCCCGTCTGAGCTGTGCTTCACCATGTATTCGGCGGGATTCTTCGTCTCCACGGACGCATTTTTAGTGACGCAAGAGGACTTCCCACCTTCGACGATAGTCTTCCCTCCGCTCGACGACGATGAGCCACCGCTGCCGATACTCTTCTCCTTCTGTCCAGTGCTGCTCATTCCGCCAGTGTTGCCACTGCTGAGACCTGCTGAGGATCCGCTGCCTTTCACGGAACCGCTACCGTTCCCGCAGGCATCGGTTTCGGTACAGTGCTGCGCGTTCTTCAATTTATCGATCACAGCATTGAGAGAACTCTTACGATTCCGTGCCTGTTGCGCCGCAATCGCAGATTTGCTCGCTGCGTCAACCTGGCCAGATGGTGGAGTGCTTCCACCAGAAGCCTGTAGAGAGGAGACCTGTGAAGCTTCGCCACCGCCGGGAGAAATCATCTCCAGTTGCTTCACCTTACCACTGGATGACTTAGTTTTGGGACTCTGATGGCCACTGCCCGAACCGCCGGATGACCCGACGGATGACGTTCGTCTCTCTTTATCTCCACGACCGGAAGAATCCTTCCCGGAGGACGAAGAGGAGGACTTAACTTTGGATGGGGTCGTTGTAGTGTCGGAAGAGCTGCTGCCGCTGCTCTTACTAGACGGCGAGTTTGCCGCCGATTTCAGGGCTGACATACTGGGTTTGCCGCTGCTCGCAGCCGAACTACCATGTTTCGGAGATGAGGTATTGCCATGTTTCGGACTCGCACTAGCAGGTACTGGGACCGGTACAGACACTGCCACGGACGGCACGTTGCCTACTGTGTTGGGCACCGTGGACACGGATAATGACATCGGGACTGACATAGGAACGACCGGAACGTTCGGCGCGTTGTGCTTCGGGCTGCTGCCGTAGACGGGTGAGTGCTTCGGGCTTTGCACTGGTTTGCAGGTTGCTGCTGCCGTTTGACTGGCCTTCAAGGTGGGACTGGATTTACCTACAAGTGTGGCGAGCGAACTCGAATGAGTGGGCGACGGACTGAACTTCCTTACAGCCGCAGGGGAAGTAGGCCGTGAAGATGAGCAACTCAGACTGACGCCAGTACCACCACCGCTCGGCGGTGATTGCTCGGTGCTCGGCTTGATGCTCACCGATACCGGCTTCGAGAGTGGGTCTTGCTGTTGCTTACCGCCTGATGGGACTTTGTCCGGTGGACCCATCGGACCATCCTCTCGTTTACGTTTGCGCCGTTTCTCTAGCTTATTCCCGCCGCTCTTATTATCGTCGGAGCTGCTTTTAGCACTGCTACCACTGCTCTTTCCACCGCCACTCTTCCGTTCGCTTCGCTGCCGATCGTCCGTTGCGCTCGTCAAGCCGCTGGTCTTTGGCGATGGTGCCGGACCGGCAATCGGTGTGATGGTGATTGAGCTCGGTAGATTAGTCTGCGATGGTGAAGAGGCGATGGGTATAATCTCGATGCCAGGTCTCCTTTCCAAACCCATGCCCGTTAGTACGGAATTGTAGTTGGTGGTGCTCGATTGATCCAAGTTACCGCATGAAATCGGAGTAATACTTACTGATGGTGGCACCGGTAGACTTTTGTTACCACTACTTGTTGTCGACGTCTCATCGACGAATATATTTGTTGGGCTCGACTTTTTCTCTTCGCTACCACTGCCACCTCGATTTTTCTTCGACTTGCGCGTTGACGAGGACTCGCGTATCTTTATCAACTCCTCCACATCTTGCTGCTGTTGTTGTTGCTGTTGTTCCCCGCCGCTGTGTTGCACCTCCATGATCTCGCTGTCCCTCTCAGAATTGTCGAGATCATAATCCGAGGCACTCTTATCGAGTATATCGGTAGCGTCCAAATTCGAAAAATCTATGCCGCTTGTCAAACTAGTGGCCGAAGTCGGTGTAGATGTTCTAGTCTCCGATGTGAGATTCTCGCGGCCGCCCGTGGGCGTTCCCAGTGGTGTCGAGTTCTCCGAGCTCGAGCTCTCCAACAAGATCTCTGTTGCCGTGCTACTGTCTCCGCCGTCACTCTTTCGCTTTGGACTACGCCAAAGACTGTCTGTGCCAGTCTTTCTTTTCCGCGTCTTTTTGCCGCGCTCATTTGTGTTTGAGTTGCCCGTCAGCGAGTTTTTTGCCTGTCCTAGCAGTGCACCAAGCTGCAACGGGTTTAGCATAGAGGCAGAGGCGTTGTTCGTCCCAGCAGTGCTCATCGTCATCGTCGTCGTATCGGATTGGCCGGAATACGACGGAAAACCGATACTATTTTCCGTTCCGGCATCTAAAAAAGACTGCTGTTGCTGTTGTTGCTGCAATTGATTCGATGCCGATTGCTGCGTTTGTCTGCCTCCCATACACCCGTTACTGCCGTTATTCAAACCGGGTTCTTGCTTCACTTTTGTCTCGCCATTCGTAAAGTCCGGCATGCCGGACGCGGTGCCAGATGCGTTTTGTCCAGTCTGATCCTTACCGCCGGATCCCAAATTGAGATTGTAGCTACCGTTACTACTGCCGCTGCCGCTGGTCAGATTGTTCATCACTGCAGGTAAAGAGCGACCCTCCCAGATTTTCAGTAACATTCGCATGGTCAACGGGATGCTGAGGCAACGTTGCAGCACCCTACCGCTGAGATCCGACGTCTGTTCCGCGTTCGTTGTCATACTCACGCCGTACAACCGGCACTTAAGCGTCGATATGTCTGTCAGATCCAGTTCCGCGGTGGCCATTGTCTCTTCGTACGGATGCTCCACGCTCACGCTGATGTGCTGCCACGAAAGGGCGCTTACCTCGAGTATGGTCGTATGTTCCGGATCTTGGCGTGCCATGGGCCGCACGCAGCTCGCGATCAGGCAATTGAACAGCGCTTGCTGCCGCAAGTACACCAGAATTTGCGGCACGTGCGCGGGATGCGTGAAAGGGATACTGCACACCAGTACGCCCTCCATGCTCTTGTTTTCCGTCATAAAATAGCAGTGCTGCTGATCCGGCAAGGTCTACAAGAGAGAGAGAGAGAGAGAGTTGCACGATGTGTCTCAGGATATAAAAGACATAAAGAAACATTTTTTTAAATCTTGTCACTTACCACATATAAGCCTCTATTGTTTCGACAATCCAGCTGGCCATCGCTTGCGTGCTGTATTATCAGACTGAGAAGCGGATGTGGCGCCGAGATATCGCCACACTCGAGCTCCGTGACTTTCTGTATCCTCTTCACCAACTCCATGCAGATGGGCATCTTTTTGCCGAGCTTCAACACGAAGCAGGCAGGCAACATGGAGGAATTTGTACTGGTCAATGGAGCATATGAAGGAGTGCTGAAAAAGAGAGGCAATGGAGTAAAGAAGCACAAACTCTTTTTATTGCAACTGTTTTGATTTAAAATAAATCTTGACAAACATGTTTTGATCAACCAACTTTCTCTTTGTGTCTTTCTTATATCTATAAAATGTATTTTGCTAACTTTGTACAAGGGGGACAAAGGAAGCAATGGTCAACTATAGATTTTATATATATATAACCAAGTAATAGAAAATACGTGCAATTAACGAAAATATGATTGTAATTGTTTGATTTTTAACAACTACATACGAGAAACGTATAAAGAAATAATAAAAAGATAAAATTTGATGTTACACACCTCTTGCCTGTAGGACTTCGGTTTACAGTTATAATACTAGAAGTAGGCAGCTTGTGACCCGTCGAACCTTCCATACAAACAGTCACCGAGTATCCAATCTTTCTTTTAATGATTGTATCAGGATTAAGAGTGTCATAGGTTCGATTCTCTTCGTCGATTAAATCGTATGGTGAGACGAAATATGTCAATTTCATCGGGTGGCCACCTCTTCTTCTTTCCAGAATTCCTACATAACGATAACGTATAGTTGAGTCACATATCTATTATATATAACAGCAGTGCATATATGTATATGCAAATCTACTTGTGCGTAAATAAATAAATAATGTGGAAAATAGATATAACAGCACTCTTATGCGTAAAGCTGGATGCACAACGAAAAACACAGGCAACAGGAATAGGAAATAATACAGGCAATATTTTGAAAAATCTATTGCCCGTGTTCTATTTTTGGTGCCTATGTTTTTCATTGTGCATCCAACTTAAAATATAATACAAATTATGTAAAAACTGATATATGTCAAATCACTAACCGACGGGACTCTTGTGAACCAGATTGAACGGTTCTTTCATAAACGTTTGCAGCTGTGCCAGAACACCCAGATCAGCCTCGAGGGATTGTAGAGCGCTGAACGCCTTGCATTTTACTTTCTTGTCAGCGTTCAGCTGATATATCGATGCCAATCCTTCCAGCTGCGTGGTAAAATCGATGAAGTCACCTCGTGACAAAGCCGATGCGAGTGCTTCGCAACTCTGCAACAGCGATTTTCAGGATTAATGATAAGAACACGTAACAAGAAAAACATAATCATAACAATTATGTCCGTAGATCTTACCTGCTGCTCACTTTTTCCTTCATGATGGATTTTAACATCCCTAACAAGCCCTGACGGCTCTAATAGAACTTCCAAGAAGAACATGTCGGAGGATATGAATATTTCCGTGCCTGGAGGACCAGACATCATGAACTTTAATCTGTGTAATGGGACAATGGTTTATATTTAAGCTCAATTTATTTTACATGATATATAAGTTATCAAGTAATAAATAAATAAAGAAATATTACATTTACTAGATCACAGATTTACAAATGACTCACCCTAACTGCCTTGCTAAACTTTCCAAACGTTCTACCATAGACTGGAAGGAAGTAACCTTGATAGAATGCTGCAGGGTGTCCAAACACTTTTGCAATTGATTCTTCTCTATGCTGTCAATTGCAAATCGCTTGTCCTACGTAGCAAGAAGCTGTATTTATACCTTGGTATAAATATAAAATGATAAAATAAATAGAAATCACTCACCAACATGGCCATACGCATGTTTTTCGCGGTCTCTACTAAAGGTTTAAACGTAGAAGCCTTGGAGCGTAATTTTTCCATCAATAACTCCATTTGCCACTCCTTACCCTTGTCGGAGACAGATCCTCCTCCGGTCAAAGGTTGCCCCACTGTAAAAGAAGTTTCCGATATAGAAGACGCTGTGCCAATACTAATTACCTTGCTACAGATTAATTCCTTTTATACAGATATACAACAAATAAATGATAACGTATTTAATCATAATAATTAAGAATTTTTAAATAATTTATTCAGAAATAGAAGAGATTGAAATTAGGTATGTAAAATATAATTGCACGGCTGTACGTTGTAAACCTCTTTAATGATGCATCATTAATAAGGCATATCAAATTCCGTCAATTAATTAATCCACCAGCGATTCGTAATTTCACGTGTTACAAAATGATTTTCAAGATTTAGAAAACTAATAAATCGAGATTATGCCAGAATTAAAAAAACCTTGCTCACCGTGGGGCTTCTGTCCGTTGGTCGCATCCATGTGCTCCGGTGGTTGGCACAGATGCGTTCGCGGCGTTTGCGCTCCTTGTGCAGCACGCTATCCGCTATCGCGACGTCGCGATGCTACGCGCGACAGCTTGATCGACCATGACGGAGTACAGAGCGGCGACGTACAGGCGGTTGAGGCGATACAGGTGAGAACTGAGACTTGAGAGGTGTCAGGTGAGTACAGGATAGACGGAGAACAACGCGAATTGGGAATGCGGTCTCTCGGGGTCTCGTCTCGGGTCGTGTGTCGTGTCAGGACGCCAGGCTCATAGGCTCGTACTCGCCCGGTCGCCCCTACGTTCTGCGTGATTCTACCACCGCTTCTCTCGCGACTCGCGAGTCTCGCGACTGATCGCCAAATTCCTCCACCCAGTCTAACCTAACCTAGCCTCATCTTGCGTCTCGGCCGTCTCAGGCACAGTAGTCTCGGGTGTTGTCAGATGGCGACACTTGCTCCGTTTTGCATGTGTGTGTGTGTGTGCGCGCGCGCGTGCATACATTCACCACCATTCACTATGCTACATTCTACAATACTCTACATTTCCGTTACTTCTATAGTCAAAGCTCTACACTTTTTATAGGATACTTTATTCAATCAATAATAAAAAATCAATATCTCTTGGATATAAATGCGCAATTAGCATTAAATTTATTATAGCGCAACCATTTGCTGCTTTCTTTCCGCACAATTCTTTTTTCCCAATTTTCGTTTGGCGGCGCTTTTTCTTTTATATATATTTATATATTATGTATTGTATATCGTATGTCGCAGAGAGAAAGAGAGATCGAGAAACTTTTAAGTTCTTTGGACTCATGTTTCACATTTGAAACTTTTAAACTGAATGAGATACAATTCTAAAACACTGTTGCTCCTTAACGAGTATATCTATACGCGATATCTTCGATTCCGAAGTATACTTAATTGTATTCAAACACGAAACTACGAAAACGCTTCTCCCGTCGACTTTTTCTTTTACAATTTCAAATTTCGTGTTTACAAATTACAAAATGGAGTTACGAATGCATAATGATATTTATTACCAATGATTGATTGCGGATTTTTCATTACACAGAGTCTCATCTTTATTGTATATAAAAATTGCGTACAAAAATAATCTCGGTACGAGATGTAAAATAAGTCATTTTATATACACAAATCGCAAAAGCGCAAAACACTAAACTTAAGTCGTTATAGTTTTATCTCAACAATCGGACGGCGCGTATCACACGCTTACATCGCGTTTACCTTTATATAGCATTTATAAAGGTAAACGCGGCGCAGCTTAGTCATGGATAAAAGTTAAGATGTGTGCCTAATTAACGAGTGATGTTATATATATTGCGATATTTGTACTGTGGTGTATTTTTCTTAACCCTTTCCGTAATAATCTTCTTCATTTGTTTGTAACCGAATAACGTTCGCAGCAAAATTGTTACCTTTTTGTAAAAGATATCAAATACCACGACGGGTTAAGATTACTTTTTTATTGCATGTCGGACTATTACGCGAAAGAAAATTCCTTAAAAAAACTTTTTTGTAAAGAGTTCCTACATAAAACATAAATGAAAAATACACTTGAGCAAGATAAAACTGAGTTACCACTCAATTCTCATCTGTGAAAGACAACAATGCCGAGTATAAAGAGATCGAAAAGTCCTTCGCTACAAATTTTTGGTTTGATGAAAGTTAACTGTTCCACGTTCAGTTGTAAAACGTGAATCAAATTCGCTGCAAATACGCTGCAATACGTAACAAAATTCGCTGTAAATACTAGAAAATATTCGATAAAAAATGAGTTTTGAATCGATTTTTAGCTATGAAACACAAGTGAGAGAACTGAAGAGCCCGTTCACTATAAATTTTTGGTGCTCGGATGAAAGGAGATACGTTTGTTCCAGAGTTTTGGAACCGGCGAGAGAACCTGCTCGAGAAATAAATGTTGCTTCTCCTTCAGATTGAAACGCATGTTGCACAACGACTTGTCATTTTTATCGTCTTTTTCTATGGTCCAAGCGTGCCTATCATTATTGTCCCTGTTATCGTGTATATTATTAATATTAATCCGCCTGTTATTGTTCAACAAGGTCGGCGACAGATTTTCTTTATCCGGCGATTTTTTCGATATTGTGGGAAGACTGGTCTTGGCAACGCTCTCCGCCTCGGCGGTCTTCGGGTCAGCGAGCCTGGTCTGGCACGAGTTCTCGCCGTTCTCGACGGACACCAAGGGACTCATCTCGACATACAAGTCGCTCTCGTTTGCGTCGAAATCGCTCTTACGATCCGTAAACGTGACCTGTCGCACGACTTTGCTCGCCCTGCTGCCCAGAATCGGTGAGTCCGACAAAATAGCATCTATCAGGGGCGTCTTCTTGATGGATTCTATCGCACAACACCGGACGAACTCCCTGATCGCGTCTATCTCGCGTTTCTCAACGTCCCGCGTGGTCAGACCGATTGGACCAGTCGTCGCCGGGGCGGTTCTGAGATCGTTGTCGAACAACACTTTGGCAAAGTGCGCTCGCGCCATCAAGTTCTTGGGATTCAGATCTTCCCACTGAGTCCCGGTGGTGTGGTAGATATGTCGCGGCGAATTCTCCGCTGTATACCGCCTGATCTGATCTATCGTGCTCACTAGGGTACTCGCGGAGTCGCGCGACGGTTCTGTCCCGTGCTGAAACTTTTCGTCCGACAATGAAGAATCATCGCGCTCTTCCAATATTGTGTCCAACGCGAGCATACCACCCCGGTCGTCGAACACCACCGGCTTGGCTACGTACAGACTGGCGTTCTGATCGTCCACGGTGGACGCGGAAAACGTGCTATCGCTGTAAGACGATTTATTGCCCTTAGATTCCACCAGATCGTAAGTCAGAGCATCCGCGTAATCGTCCTGCTTTAATATCCCTCGTGAGATCATGCCGTCAGAGTATTCCGAGCTGTACGTCGTGCCGGTCGTGCTCGTCAGAGTGTCCCGCCGCCGATCGCGCACCACGCTATCATCGTGGATGTACGTCTCGATGTCTGTGTAGCCTTTCCAACTGCGGATACACCAAGGCGGCCGAGCAATTCCCAGCGGGCATACGTTCTCGTAGTCGTGGATCGACGTCACGCAGCTCATCGTCTCGTCCCGCTGCTATAAGAAAAACAATATACGTGAAGGAAAAGTAGCATAAGTAATATCACATAAAGAAGAATAATAACGAAAAGTAATGAGTTTAAAGTAACAAGTAAAGCGAGAAGTTATAGATTTTAAATAACATATTTTTAGACCTGCTGCTGCAGGTCCTTCGACACCTTCTCTATATCGAATATCCTGCTGCTCTCCAATGGCGTCGGAGTCGTCAGCTTTTCTCTGTTCTTGATAACGTCCAATGCGCCGATCACTTTACTGCAGGAATCTAGCGTGAGAGAATTGCTCCGCTCGGAGTTGTCGATACTGCCGAACTGCTCCAAATCAATGTTCAATATATCCGGCGCGTGCCAGTCCAATTGCGGCGTGATGTCGTGTTCGTAAATGCCGCGGCGTTTTCGAGACGAGTCGATGTCGGGCAAGCCCGGATACAGAGAATTCAATGGCGCGCTGCTGGTAAGCGCGTTGTCCGAATTGTCGTTGGACAACGCGACCTCTTCCTTGTGCTTGGCACCGACGCGACTGTGCGGCCTCTCGCACTCGGTGGAGACGCGCACGGCGCTCGCGTTGGATTCGTTCTCCGAGCTGTAGTTGCGATTGACAATCCCCTCCTCCGCGCAATCGGAAATTTGTGCGATATTCGTAAGCAAAGATTGCTTGTCGGTAGGTACCTCCTCGGTCCTCGGCGAGATATCAATGGAGTGATGCAACGACACCAAGGAGCCGCGATGGAACAACTTGAGGGACCTGGGTGTGTCAATCTTTGTAGTTGTACAATGCTCGCTGATATTTCGGGAGATGCTCGTCACCGTTCTTGATGGATGAAACTTGCCATAATACAGTGACATGCTCGCCAGACCGACGAGCATACAGCCAATTATCAGGGTCGCGATCGCGATCATTGTATCGCTCGCGACAGTGTCCTTGAAACGCCATGTGTACATAATCAGGAAAACCAGATTCTGCACCGTGATCACCGAATAAAAGACGAGCACGCGATAGCGCGATCTGCCATCGCGCAGGTTGAAGAAGTCGAAGCAATAGATTAGTCCGATGATGCAATTGTAGATGCGCTCCTCCCATATGGTAGGACAGAACTCTGTCTTTTGCAGGATCACCCAGATCGTCATGAATAACCAATGCAGCCCTGGAAAATAATTACAATTATTTCATATGAATATAATACTTCCGTGTTCTAGTTACAAAAGTATTTCTCGGTAAAACTCACCCAGAAACAAGAAGAACCACGTTTTCAGAAAGACAGCCGCTAGTACCAAAACTCCGATTCTGGACAGCAGCATACCGCTGCGCCAGAGAGCCTGAAGAACAAGAGCAACCCAAGTCGCGTTGCTGCGTTCGCGATTGATATTGTGCATGGCCCTCACGTATGTGCTCACGGCCCACGTCAGGGAGCAGAAGGAAGCTACTGCGGAGGCGCCTGTACAAAAATTTCATATACATTAATTCGATTAGAGTAACAATATTAAGCCTGTAAATATAAATTATTATAAAAATATATTTTTTAAATTTGGATACATTTGGATTAATTTTGAAATATCGAGGATGTATACGTATTATTATCTTAATTATTAGAATTTGTGTTCTCTACGTTAAAGGAATGTCGAGAATATATACAGGATATAGGTATTTCTTGGACAGTATCGAGGATATATAGATTATCATTATTATTCATTAAATAAAGTTAGGACGTACATAAATTAAAATAAACATAAAAAAATAAAAGGCCCCAAAGCTAATATATTTATCCGTGGCTATTGTCCGCGACGAGCTACTGTGCCTTCTTTTCGGCTATTTTTGAATACGCTTCGACTTCGCTTCGCTATGCTTCGCGCTTCGTCGCTTTTATATTTAAAACCGTGGAGGAGGACGAGAGTCCCTCGCTTCGTGGAACTTGTGTCGTTGCGTCCACATATTGTTCGGGAGAAACAGATAAATTGTCAGCGATATTCCTTCCTCCTTCCTGTTATCTGTGGAGGCGGGACACGAGAGAGGAAACGGAAGAATAATAATATGCGACTTGCCGACTTCGTTGTATTGTTTCGCCGCAGAGATTCGTAGATATTCATATTCCTGAGTTCAACATCGGCCGTAACGTACAACCATAATTGAGTGGCGTTTTACCTGAAGTGACTTGTACGAGTGACAAGATAGGAGGCACGATGCATACGTCGTACAAAATATTAACGATCGACATGTTAACGTCGAGTGATAATAAAAATTCAACGGTTTATCCGGGATTATTGAAAGCCGGCTTTTGTTATTTCCCAAAAAAGCTCTTTCTACTAATGCAGGTAGGAACATATCCCAAGCATGTATCAAACGCATTCTCCTCCTTCAATCAAGCTTTAAATGATTTTTCCGTGTTTCTTTCTTTGCAATTCTTCACACGCAGGAAATAAAATTAATTTGATTAATTTGTAGAAACAGGTCACGGTGATAGAATCGATCGCGGCGTTAGCGACGATTTGCATTGTTACGTTGTTGATACTGGCAAATTTAGCGCAAACCTCACACACGGAGACAAACATAGAGCCGGCCGCATCGCTGAGGTATGCATCGTCAAAATATGTGTCTGTTGCACGTGCCGTCACGTCTGGAATAATGCCGCGAGTTCCGCTGTCGCGGGACCAGATGGAGGATGTTAGGCGTGAATTGGACAGGAGGAGGTGGTGGGTGGCACACGTGTGTGAGACAATCGACACGAAAAGATCGCATCGGAACGCTTCGCTGACAAACATGATCATCGACACGTAAGCGATGGACTGAATAATACAAAATTTAACAATTTTTAATAAATAATTTTAATTCAAAGGGAGCACAACGTGTCATGGTGCCCTATATACAAGGCGGCGAGTTCCACGTGGATGAATTACTTTGCCGTTTTAAAGGACACTTTGACAGATGTTACTATAGACTTGGTGCGTCGCAATCTTACCCAGGTCAGCGATATCGTGAGACAAAAATTTCAACAGGATGCGGATTTTAATAAAACCTATAAGGTATGGTTGTACAATGTTTTATAAATAAAATCACATAATTCTAAATTTTCTGGAGAGTCTATATGAGCAAAGAGACAAAATAAATCGCGAATTTGCATTCTATTTTTAGAAGATGAGCAGAACGAAGAAGTTCCTAATTGTGCGACATCCGCTGGAGCGTCTCTTGTCCGCGTACAGGGATAAGTTGGAGCACATGCGGAATCGCGAGTATTACTACAAACGTTTCGGTCGGCGCATCGTGCTCAAATACCGTCGATCCGGTAACACGACGAGATTGGAACCGACGTTTGCCGAATTTCTGCGATTTATAGTCAGCGAGAAGTACTTCGACGAGCACTGGACGCCGTATTATCGTACCTGCGAACCCTGCACGATCCACTACGACTACATTCTCAAGTTTGAGACTCTAGACAGGGATCAGAACTTTCTCATCCAGGATGCCAATCTGAGCGGATACCTGTACGAGAAAGATTACCCGCGAAACATTAATCCCCTGGGAGTGACCACCAGAAAAATACTCGACGAGTACACCCGAGGAATATCGCAATCGCTTCTCGATGCAGTTTACAAGATTTACGAGAACGATTATAAATTGTTCAATTATTCGTCCGTTGTCTAATGCTATTGGTGTATTTGTCGATTATATTCATGCAGGCAGCTCTCAATTTTTATACGACGTACAGACAGATGAAGAAATGTTAAAACTTGATGAAAGTTTCGTGATGTAACGTAAGAACTTTTTAAATTCTTTTCATTTTTTCAGATTCTTTTCAGAGAAAACATTTTGCTTGTTAAAATATACGTTAAATATATTTAATTAAAAAATACGTATATTCTTTTTCTTAGATTTTAAATCCCGTGTAATCGCATTATACTTAGATATTTACATTCAAATACATATTGTAATATATAAAGTATAAATTAAGATAACATTTACGAATGGTGAAGAGATCACTTACTCGTCCAAAGTGGTACATGGTTTAATCTCGCAATGATATACAGCTGCAATATCAACTGCGGAGCAGCCCCCATGAACGACTCAAACAAGTGCAACATACATATATCGCTTTCTTGTCGATATACCCAGTTTTTGTCCCTGCTGAAGCTGGACTTATTTCTCAAAGAGTACACCGCAGTGTAAAGCAAAGTCAAATACCTGGGAAAAAAAGTAAATGATCTATTATTAATAGAAAATATATTAATAAGCGTATATATTAATTTAGAGAGTCGCAGACGCAATCTAGCGGAAGAGATTGCGCAAAAATAAACATAAAGTACCTGTGCAAGAAGCCGAGTAGCAGGAAGTGCAACAACCAGTGAACAGTCCGCAGGGAACCGTCGCTGCGATGCCATCTCAAACTAAATAGTTGGGTAACACAAGCGGGTAAGACGGTGAAACCCATTGCAAAGCATCCCCACGCTGAGTGGCCTTGCAAAAGGTATTCCACACATACAATGCTGTCTGTGTGTGCGAAAAATATCTTACAAGGTGTTTGAAGGTTTACGAAGACAGAAGCTTTCCAGCGCATGCTTTGAGCAAGTGTGCAAAAACAAATTTTATCACATATATATTATATGTGACAACATTTCAGTGCAAAAGGCATATTGAGGGTGTTAACGAAAAGTATCACGATTTTCGTTATGATTATTTATAAAATTTAATTATAATTATAAAATACAATTCAACACACAATTTTCTATTACCATTTTATTAATTACATTATTCTATTAAGCATAGTAAAGAATATGCAAGTATAGAATAGTAAAAATAAAATATTAATAATAAAATAAAATAAATTATATGTAAATATAATAAAAAGAAATATAACTCTATATATTAGTATTTATTTTATTATTTTATTTCTATTGTAATCCAAATAAGAGAAAAGAATTAGTCAATTTCAGTTCAAAAAGCTACAGATTCGTAATCGCGATACTTTTTTTTATCACCATTGACATAAACAAAGCTGACGTAAGTATAGGGGGTGTTCCGCGATCTCAAATTTTAAAGTGTCAGATTTCGCGAACTTGCGAAATCTTGTTCGTCGCGATTTTTTGCAATTGTCATTACGTTCGTAAAGTTTAAAGCTCCAATAAGTAAAATTTTACCAAAGTAGAATCGAAAGTAATCGAGTATGAATTTTGCAATCGAACAATCAAGTCCGCTCCGTTCCATTCGACCGTATCGCAAACGGACCTGTCACTGTGTCATTCCTGTCAATCGGGATCGGAATCGGGAATCGCGGGACACCCCGTGTATCGCACGCAGACGCGCGTGTATGCGTGTGCGTATGTGGCACTCTTTGTTCACCTGTTGCTACGTCCGCGAAAAAGAAACTGACCGAGGACGCGTAGTACAGCAGGTCGGTGGCGCGAAATTGATAAAGCTCGGGCTGCCGGCGCGGCGTGGCCGCGCGCGACGCGTCCGCCTCACCCGGCCTGTCCGTGTCCGCCCGCGCCGTCGCGTTCTCAACCTCAACGGGCTCAACGTCGCGCGGAACGTCAGCGCGCTTGACGACGCACGACTCCACCGCCGCCGTCGCCGTCGCCGCCGCCGCCATCTTCCCGCATCCTCGCCCTCGCCCGGCAGTCCCGGCACCCCGGCAGTCAAGGAGCGTCGGCGTCGCGCCGGCCATTCGCGATCCTTGACACCCTCGAACCAATCGAACCTCGAATGACTCGAATCCGTCCGCTCCGCGCCCGGCGCGCAGGGCGGCGGGCGCGCGCCGCGGTTTCGTGAATCGTGATCCGCGGACCGGCTTCTTCCTCGCACATGCGCAACGCGCAACATCCTCGCAGCTCGTTCTCCCAATCCCTCTAGCCCTCCGCGTTCAACGTCCAATCAGCGATCTGTCGCCCTAGTCGCCAGGTCCATTCTTATATTGGTAGGACTGGATCGCAGGAGCGTAGCGTGCATCGCGATTCGCGATGCCCGCGAAGAGGGGAGTCGTTGAAGTAGAAGAGAAGTCTCTCTTGTAATCTTTTCTTCCTCAAAGTTTCATGTTTATCTGCATTATAATAGAGACAAAATATTAAAATAAATACTAATGCAGAGAGAGAGTTGCATTTCTTATTTATTTATAAATATAAGGATCAGACTACGGATACCGATCAAGCGAGGCTCAAGTGGTGGTTACGCACGTGCATTACGAGCGGAGCAAACGGAGCAAACCAGTATACCACTATATCACGCCACGTTACGAGACGAGCGCATCGGGGTCGAGGCGGTCGACCACAGTCGAGCAGACGGTATTGGGCCTCGCCGAGGGGTGTTAGGGGCTGAAACATGGCGAGTCTCGATGACTAGACGTGTACGGTGGTGTGGTGTATGGTCGTGCGAGATCCTGTCGTGGTCGTGACTGTCGCGAGTCACTGTCTCCACCCGGCTGACCCGGCGATGGACTGTGGTCGGTCCACCGAGTGTCGCGTGGTATCGTCTATTCGCCGTCGTGGAGTTCGTTAAGATACCGACGTTCTGTCGAGAACCTTCGATCGCGTTTAACCTTCGAGAAGCAGCCGAAGTTTGAAAATTAACGAAACTTTCAGACGTGCTCTGGGAGAAACTTTGCGGAGGAGAGGGGAATATGAGAGAACATTAATTACGGAAAATGTCCCGTTAATTTCTTCCAAGGAAATGAAGATTGTTCGATTGTCTCTATAGTTGTTATATTTATATGAGTATTGTCTCTGATTTGCGCCGAAGGTAAGTTCTAAGCCTGGAAAGTGGGAAGCATGATTAGGCAGGATGCACAAGTTATTGTCAAGTCTAATGTAATATATTTAACATAATAATAATAATATGTAATGTTAAATATATTTCTGATGTGATATTAATGTAACAAGCAAAATATTTAACATAATTGCAATATACAATTTATTTACACAGAAAGAGTCATTTATGTATCAGAGACAAAATTATCATTTAGAAAAAGTACACCATTTAAAATGTAAATGATCGTTTTATGTGAAAAAATATTTGTATTGCTAATATTGCTATTAGATTCAATTTACATCATATTTTACTTGTTTTATGTATATAATTATTATTATAAATATTAATGACATCATTGTCAAATTTTTCAGAGACAAACTTAAGGTATTGGGCAACTGATCATGACTCAGCATGTATAGCTTTGAGGGAGAGTACAGGCGTAAGCCGCAACAGAATCTATCAGGTGCCAGCAGGCGGGACGAGAGAGCTGATCTTCTGCATCATGTGCAGTTAGAGAGGCTAAAAAGAGAACAGCAGCGCAAGAAGCATGATGCAGCGTTGAAGATACAGGCGCGCATACGCAGCTTTGTCACCAGGAGGCTGGTGTACGCGCAAAAGAGGAAAGAGTTTGACGAAGCGCAACAGGCAGCTGGACGCAGGAATCTGAGCCTGGAGGAACTAGTGCCGTACCTACGAAAACTATTATTTTTTTATGACCATGGCTTGGATGCTAACAGACTGATATGGGTCCTTCAGCATTTCTTGAAGCACCAGAGAGAGATCAAATTGAAGTCGATAAGTTCGTCGCAATGGCTGTGGAGACTGCGGTAAACGTTATTTAAAGAATGTTTCTATGAGAACCATAGTTGTGATATATATCTTTCAGAGTATCTCAGCCACTATGCGATATCATTCCTCGCATATGTCGTATTTTAAGTAATAAATGGCGCATTATTTGGTACAGGTGGATCCTTCGTATGTGTATGCGATACAACACGGAAATGCTACCGGATGGAGCATATTCCTTGGCGATACCGTTGCGAGTCTTGGAGGTATTCACAACGCGGGAGGACACGGAGAAGGTGCTACGTGAGCACAGTTACCGGCATCTAGAGAATATATTTGTCTACCTGATTCAACACAACTATTTCGAGCAGCTGAGGAAGCTGCTGGACGAGAAAGTGCCGCCGATGGCGGAAGTAACGTCGGTTGCGCCTACACCGATCTCCAAGTGTTTACTGGACATGATCAAGCGCCCCGTGGACTTGATTTCTTACGTAAATCACAAGGAGAGCTTCTCCACGCTTGTGCTGCAGGAATTGTGCGGAAGCATATTCTCGCCCAGACTGTCCGATCCGATTCGCATGTTTGTTGTGCCAGCATTGGCAGAATTCAAAGACTTTCCATATATCAAATTAATTGCCTGTATCAATCGACTCCAATTGGAACCTACGATAAACTTGCTCTATTGTGTACTGTCATTAGATTCATCTAATCAGTTGTGTAAGTATAAACAAAAAGCTCTATTAGTTTTAATCTTAAAGCAGACGGACAAAATATGTTGTTCAATCTTCTTGATAATATTAAATTAAGCATAACATTTTTTTTTAAATTTTCTTAATGCATATTGACTCTATTCTCTCATTTTAATTATATATGTAATCTTTTTTTATATTCTATAATGACAAAAAAATTTGCAATTTCCATTCTTTGGTGAAGTAACGTTGCAATTTCACTTTTTTTCGTAGCATGGTGTAAATCTGAGGATGCATTGACGAACTATCTGCAAGTGCTCGCATCCTTAAGCTCGACCATTGTGCCGTTGATGGCGGAGCAAAGCGTTTCGGAGCGACAGCAGGCTGACAACGATTCAGACAACGAATCGAATGGAAGCGTAACCGATCAGGAGCAGGCCGACATCCTGCGACAGTGCGTTGAGATGTTAAACGAGCAACAGCGCGTAAACGGCATATTGTCCGCAATTGAACAGAGCCAATCAGACTCCCCCACGCTGTTACAACCACTGTGCCGGTTATGTCATCATCTACTCATTACCAATAAGCTGGCCGTTCAAAAATACAAACTGCTCTATATGCTCGCGTTCAAGCCAGTGTTTCTTAAACACCTGTGGACCAGTTTAGCGTCAATTCGTCAGACATCGTTGTTCGGTGGTGGTGCTGCGACATCTCTTTTGCAGATTATATCGCGCGGAATCGCTCTCTCAAGCGAGGACACCGACAGGATAGTTCCGTTACTGGCGGTGTTCTGCTCGTTATTCAGCCTGCTGATCGCGACGTTACACGACACCGAGTTCTTTCTCGATCAGACCTCCGCGGAACATATGTCCAACAACCGGCAACAGCACGCAATGCCGTTTACCATCACGGAACTTGCAGTACTATCTGGTCACTTGAAGGGTGTCTGCCTTGGTTTGGTGGAGCTCGCATTTCCTGACACTCGGCCCACAGTGCGCGACGACTATAAAAATGCCGTACTGGGCCCTACGTCCGCTGTTCAAGGCCGACACGATACGCAGATCTGGACGCACTTGTTCAAGGTTCCCCACCTAATTATTTTGATGTTACTTTGAAATTTTTAAAATCTAATCAATATCTGTGTGATTTAGCTAAAGTTTTTAAATACAGAGTTCCATTCTTTCTACATCCTATTAGTTTTTAATGACAGATTCTTTGATCAATTCGATTTTTTTCTCAACATCCAAGTTCCTATTATTTTCATTTCAATTAATCATCAAGAGTGTTATTGTTATGTTAAGTAATAGTATACATTGTTATAAAAATCATGTTTATTATAAATTTGCTTCTGTTTACTTAAGTATATTATAAATTTATCACAGGTTACGGTGGGTCTTCTACGACAATTACACACGCGCGATCTCAGACGGCAATTCTGTCCGGAAGATCATTGGATTGCGTCCAACGTCGTCATACCCATCGATAAACCGCAGGATTTCGCGTTCCGCAGACGCCGGCTACGTGGATACGTTCCCTTTCAGAATCTGAGGGCCTTCACGAGGGAGGAGTTTGAGGAGGGGCCACCACTGTCGGCGACGGAAGTGCGGACGTTGACGTTGCTGCGCGAAATACCGTTCGTTGTGCCGTTCAACAATCGCGTAGTAGTGTTCCAGTCGTTGCTCTACAAGGACAAAGCGGAACAGCAGGGCGAACTCGCACACTTTATGCAGGGTCCGTCGATACAAATCTCTGTGAGACGAAACTACCTCTACGAGGACGCTTTCGAAAAGTTGTCTCCGGAAAACGAACCGGAACTGCGATTGAAAATGCGAGTACAGCTGGTCAATACCGCGGGTTTGGAGGAAGCCGGTGTCGACGGCGGCGGTCTATTCAGGGAATTTTTATCCGAGCTGCTGAAGACCAGCTTCGACCCTAACCGCGGCTTCTTCAAACTCACCAAGGACAACATGCTGTACCCGAATCCCACGGTGCAATTGCTAGTTGACGATTTCCCGAAACATTATTACTTCATTGGCAGGATCTTGGGGAAAGCGTTGTACGAGAATCTGCTAGTGGAGTTGCCGTTCGCCGAATTCTTCTTATCAAAGATCGTTGGACGCCAGTCAGATGTGGACGTGCACCACCTGGCTTCCCTCGATCCCATCATGTATCGCAATCTGCTGTATCTGAAGAGTTATAAGGGCGACGTGGCGGATCTCGGGTTGGACTTCACCGTGCTCAGCGACGAGCTTGGCGAGAGACGGGTCGATGAATTGAAACCGAGCGGCGCCAATATTCCTGTAACAAATCACAATCGCATTGAATATATTCATCTGATGGCCGATTATAAACTGAACAAGCAGATACGCGCGCAATGTTTCGCGTTCAAACAAGGAATCGGCAGTGTTGTGCCACTTGACTGGCTGCAAATGTTCAACAACAAAGAGCTGCAAGTCCTCATATCGGGCGCGCAGATCCCTGTAGACGTGACAGACTTGATGCTACACACAAACTACACCGGCGGATACGCGCCCGATCATCCGACTATCACTGCCTTCTGGAAGGTCGTCAACGAGTTCAACGATCAGCAGAAAGGTCAATTACTGAAATTCGTCACCAGCTGCAGCCGCCCTCCTCTCCTAGGATTCAAGGTACGTCGTAAATATGTTTACTGTACACAGTAATATGAAATGGCTATTACAAAATCAGCTTAGAATATAATTAACAGCAATCAGTCATTTCATCAACACTTGGCGCATTTACAGGAACTCGATCCACCATTCTGTATCCAGCATGCCGGTACTGTGGATCGTTTGCCGACCTCGAGTACCTGTATGAACTTACTGAAACTTCCCGAGTTTCCGGATGAGAAAACTCTGCGCGAGAAGCTCCTATACGCGATACAGGCCGGCGCGGGCTTTGAGCTTAGTTAGAGACTTTTAATTTCACTTTTACTGACCCAAACATGTAAATATAATGTAAAACTTGGCGAGTATATTGCATAAGGCGTAATGAGGAAAAAATACCATGGAGACTTTGTTTGTGCTGTAAAGTGTAAGGTAAGTGTACCAATGCCTGGACACGTATCTATGTCTGGACACTTTTTATTATTTTAGTCCTCAAATAAGTTATAACGCGAATTAAAATCAAAGAATCGAATATAAAAATATTTTTATTATATCGGGCATAACGTTACCACCCGTTCTTTCACGAAAGACGTTCATCTCGGCTGTCAGGGCGTTAATAAGAGTGGCTTCGGTGGTCGTTTGCATCTGAACAAAGTTTTCGGAAAGTCGAGGCGTCATTTTCTCCGACATTGCGCGTAACATCTTTGCGCTTTCGGAGCTCATTGTCTCCGTCAGACAATCAAATTTCTTCGTCCAAGAACTCGACGAAGGCGAAACGGTCAATTTCTGTCGCAACTTGTTGTAATTTACATTTACGAGATGCAGCAATTTCCTTATCAGCCAAATGCAGATAGCGGTCACCCACGTGATAAATTTCTTTGCGATGGACTGAGCTGTCTTCCATGAAGAGATGGAATCTGGTCTAGTTTTTACGTCGCTATTACGTCGTAAACCATAAGCTTATTGCACTTTAATCTCCACTATATGCCCGCCTAACTCTTGTCGTCGGGTGAGACGTCGGCGAGAGTGTCGGTCGGGGGCAATGAATGTTGCTGTCGAATTTGTTTATATATTTGGTCGGCGCGTTCGAGCAATTTCCTTATCAGCCAAATGCAGATAGCGGTCACCCACGTGATTAAATTTCTTTGCGATGGACTGAGCTGTCTTCCATGAAGAGATGGAATCTGGTCTCCACTATATGCCCTCCTAACTCTTGTCGTCGGGTGAGACGTCGGCGAGAGTGTCGGTCGGGGGCAATGAATGTTGCTGTTGAATATGTTTATATATTTGGTCGGCGCGTTCGAGCGCTCGCGAGAAAACGTGGCTGAATGTGTTGCTGTTTGGTAGGGGCGCGCGCGCGGCCGCTACAGTGGTAATGATTTGTGTCAAATAAAGAGAAAAGGATCGTATATTGGCAACACGCAACTCGAAGAATACTTTTTTACTATGTACAAACAGTCTCTTACAAGGTATTAGCTAATCTCTCCTCTTTTTGCTCCTTTTCAAGCTTCTATTTGTTTTACCTAAGTGTCTTATTCACAAAATTTTGGCAGACCGTAATGTGAGACCAATCGATAGATTCGCTTTCAAATTGTAATATGTTCCTAAAATACTTCAGAGATTTCGAGAAGAGCGCGAGGAGCCCTGCTTCTCTTCTGTGAAAAAGGTGGAATAACTAACAGCGATGAAATAAAGAGGCACGATAGACAAGTCTAGATGCGCTGATCAACTGCTTCTGACAAGAATCAATCTTTCTTAATTTTGATTTTGGATGTATATTTTAACTATTATATTTGTAAAGAAAATTATTTAAAATGATAAAGGTCATAAAGGTGTCCAAACATAGGTCTTAAGTATCCCGGCATTGGTACATTTACCTTATTTTCCATGAATTAGTGTTAGAACTGTACAAGGATTTTCACGGGGAAAACGCGGCGAAGATATTAATATTAACAGGAGGGGCCAACTACATATACCTAAACAATAGTACCTATCAGTGGAGATTATTATCGATGTTACTTCGACGCGCCGTTTGTAAAGAAAAAAGGAAGACATGAGACGTTTGTGTATGTACATACAACGTATGTTAAAGCGCATACGGATATTTTTTCGCTTTCGATTTTTCCTCTACTCTGCACCACCTTTGGCCTACAATTGTATAAATTATGTATATTTTTATTGTTTTATATTCGCCATGTGATGTGATTTTGTCACAACGACTGTTACTTTACTTCAAATGTACGTGAGAGAATAGATGTATGTATTTATGAAGTATTGCTAAGTTATGTAAATAAAATACCTTAAAGCGTTAAAAAAAATGTGTAGATATTATTTAAAAAAAAGTCAATCGTAGACATATATTAATTCTTTATTTTATTTGCAATGCAAATATCGATTATTCTGAATTAATTTTAATAATCTGTATCAATTATGGTATCATTTGTAATTACGCAGTTAACATACAACAATTCTAATTATGTTAAAGAAGACGTAAAGAAAACAGCCAATATCCGATTATTCACTTATGCACTGACAATAGTATATGCTAGTTTGACTAGTTATTGTTTTTACTCGGAATGTTAAATGTAATTAAAAATGCTAAGTAATCATTGTTTTAACTGTAATGGCGTCGTTTATTTATATAAATTATATTATGTGTCGATATATTCCATCACGATTTTAGTGCTCATTTTCGCATTCTGTGAGCTGAATAGTAAGTGACTTCATATCTCTTTTTGCTCAAGTTCTGACTATTTTAATTTTGATCACATAATAAACTATGATCATTACTAAAGCTGTACTTGGATTTTCTCGCGGAAAATTACGTTACTTTTAAACCATCAAATTTTGAAGTTACTTACTTACTTCTCGGTAAATGTGAGATTATTTTGATTTATAAACTATTACCACATCGCTGAATGGCGAGATGGCCCAAAGCAGAGTTAAAATGTTAGATTTATAATTTTGTATCTTATTAGTTATTTAAAAAAATCGATATAACGTTAATTTACGTACTGTTAACCGCGTTAAACTCTCAAAGCCTTTTTTTATTTGTCACTTGTTAATTTCATTTTTTATTGAAAGTCTCTCGTTTATTCAATTATTATAAATCTTAAGTAGTTAGAAGTGACGTTTCTTCCTTATCTATTTAAATATCGCGTCATGTGCTTCTTGTTTAACTATCCAAGAAACACAAACTTGTTCCATATTTGATGGACAGTAAGTTGCATTAATTCGATGGGTTACAGTAATAGCTTTACTTATTAGTGTAAAAAATGCAAGATAATGTGCCTTACTCTACATCAAATATTTACATGTACAGCTCTAAGTTAGAGATAATATTGTGGGGTAAAGAATTTACAGAGGTAATTTTTCTCGGAATGCCAAAATATAAAGCACAATTCTTTGAAGTGTATACACTACCGCTCAAAAGTATTTGTCACCTTATAGAAATGTGATTAAAATTGAGTTTATTAATTAATAAAATTTCAATGAAAAGGCCAATATGCCACATGTCTTTATTGCATAGGACAGGTGATTATATACATATTATTTAAACCATTAAACAGTGATTTGACAAGAAAATAACTTTTTAAATTTTTGCTTCATCGATGTGGCTGTCAATTTTTTGTATCACAGCTTTATACAATTTTGACATGGGTTGATTAATTTTGTAATTAATTTTTGGGTCCTAAATACACCAACGTGATAATCTCGGAAAATGTATTTATTATTTGATACTTTCTGCAAGCAAAATAATTATATAAAATTAGGAAGTAAGGGATACCAACATAACATCAGTTTCTCGTTATTTCCACTACAATATTTTATAATTTGACTTATCGTATAATCAATAACCAACAATTTATGAATGTTTAAACCAAAAGCAGGCATTCCGAACATGTTCCATTGTGCGTTCAAATTCACGCACTTTTGATCCCATGTGTGTTATAGACACTGCATATATTTATTAATTAAAAATATAAATTAAGAAATAATATATTACAGAAACTTATTCCACGTTAGAATACGCAATGGATTTATGCAGAATTATAAATTGCACTTAAAATTAAAAAATCGAATATCGTGTATAACGATATATAATAAATTTTACCTTTTGCACGTTGCCTAAAAGTTCAAAAGACAATCGTACTGGCGCTTGAATAGAACACTAATTAATTAACCTTGCTTTTTAATCTTTTAAACAGCGATTT